GTATCAAATGAACTACATTTGGGGTAATCTATAAGACAAAATATGATAGAGACATCTAAGGATCCCACATAGCACAACATTTCGCAGCAAGTTTGGGGTAAGTTTGCCATAAAAGTTTAGTCATTAACAATACCCTGGATGAGATCAAGCATACTTTTAAATGTTTCTTAATTCGTAAATTAAATCAGGTTTAATATTTTTATTCCAATGATATACGACAATGATTTTCTGCAGATTGTGCCACAAAAACAGCAATAATTTTCCACTCATGTATAAGGTATGAGCTGTCAAAAGATTACAATTTACAAAGTTAGTTTTTTTAATTTACTCTACTTTAATCTCAATTTAAAATGAAATTAAAATTTAATAACTACATTATCTGAGATGAAATATTAATATTAAATGAAGAAACCTGGATGCTCTTAACTAAACAAAATTGCTATTTCCATTTGGTGATATAGTTTGCAGAAACTTTAATAATAATACATCACAACTTTCGCCTCCAATATACATCATATTCTTCATACAAGTGTGAAATACGAACTTAAGTACGAAGCGCAGCATGCATAAATGTACAGATTCTATTCCAGCTACATGTTAAATAACTAACATTAACTTTTACTTTGAAGTTTAAAGTCTTAAGCTCTACGTTATTAACAAGTTTCTGGAGAAACAATTTCAAAAAATGTATTGACTAAAAAATTGTTTAATAAAGGGTTATGCATGTATCCAAAAAATAAAACTTCTTTAACCTGGTTTATTAATGATAAACCAGGTTAAAATAATTCGTACTATTTTTGTTCGAAATTTCATTTAGAATTCGTGGCACAGAAAAAAATCATAACCATTATATTATTATTGTAAATAAGATTTGTAATATTCCCATTATAATGAGAAAGTATTCAATTTGTTTGGATATAAGCATACTGACAGAGTGTGCGGAATTCCATTTAGGATATAAGTTGGGCTTTGTCCCATTTCCACGGAATATCGGTACGTAGTAATTTGTATAGTAGTTCGGCTAAGATTGATAACTGAGGCTCGGGGGGTATTTTTAAATCGGCTCTACCTTTTCTGGATCTACTTGTAAGCCTTCGTGATTTACAATAAATCCTAAGTATCGGGCGGACGTTACTCCGAATTTTGTTGTTTCTGGATTGATCGTGAGATTCGCTTCTTGTAACCAGTTAATCACGATTTTTAACCACTTTTTATGATCCTTGAGTTATTCAATGATAAACTATCTTTTATTTTTGTAACGACTTATTCAAAAATCACACTTAAATCCTATCCACTCGAAATTCTTATACTATTCTTTCGTATTGAGTTTATTATCATTCTATCAAATTTTTTATATAGTCTTTTTGATTTATCCATAAATAGAATGATAAAAAGTAAACTCTAGAACTTTTGACTGTATTTGACTTCGGTGAAATCGCCATGCACGCAAATTGGCATACCGGAAATTTTTTCACTGATATTAGCGCCCCTACAGGAGAAAATATATACCTACTCTCATGCTCACCGTGTTAAGGGGATGTCAAAGTCGATTGGATTTTTGCATTGAGCTTCAATGGGAAAATCGCATCGACTTTGACATCCCCTTAAAAGTTTTGTTTACATACCCGGTAAGAAGAGCGGTTGATTAAAACAGATTAAATTGTTTACACAAAATTTCAAAAATGACATATTGGTTTAGCATTAAAAGCATAGTGAATTTTAACTATATATGCAGTCATTTTAATGCATTTTATTACCTTTTCATTAAAATGGAATAAATGGAAAATAAATGGAATTCTATTTACAAATTTTAGGCTGGAGTCCCATGGTAGCGTTTTGCGTTGCGTTTTGTAACTAGACCATGAGTGTGAGAGAGATGGTGATTTATGTTTGCTATATTTGCACTCATGGCCTAGTTATAAAACGCAACGCAAAACGGTGCCATGGGACTCCACCCTTAGGCTGGAGTCCCATGACAGCGTTTTGCGTTGCGTTTTGTAACTAGGCCATGAGTGTGAGAAAGATACAGATATAGGTTTTCTCTATTTGCACTCATTGCCTAGTTACAAAACGCAACGCAAAACGGTGCCATGGGACTTGACCCTTATGGTGTTAAACAGAATAAAATTGTTTTCAATTCTAATTACCCAATAAAAAGTAACATGCATACCGAATTAAATAGAATATAAATGTGTGCAGATGAATTATCTGTAAAGGAATTAAAACATGATGTAGGGTGACCAGACGTCCTGCTTTGAAAGGACATGTCCTTATTTTTTAACGTCTGTCCTGCTATCCTGCTTTTTTTACTATTGTCCTGCTTTTTCATAAATTTTAATATTTGCAGATATATTCAAATAGCAACACAGATTTTATGGCTAATATACAATAAGTATAACAATGACTTACTAAAAAAAATTTGAAGTTCAGAAAAGTATTTAAAAACCTAAAAGACTTCTGTGATACTTTTTGATATTTAGTTAAATTTTTTTGTATTTACAATTTTAAGTACATATTCTGGCAAATTATTTTTAAGAATATATATAAAGTATATTCAGGAATAGGTATAATATTTCAAACTAATTAAAATTTGTTATTAATTAATATTAATTATAGGAATAATATTTATTTTATCTATACAGCGAGCAACAATTAAAATTTTTATTAACGACGAGAAGAAGAGAGGGAAAAAGTGGGGGTAATGTCCTGCTTTGTCAACTAAGACATATGCCTAAAAACATGGAACTTCAAAAATGACATAAGTTTGGCATTGAAATGATTCAAAATTTAGCGATATTTGTATACATTTTAATCTATTTTAATCAACCTCTTTTTACCGGGTAATTTTTTCGTTTATGTACCAAGTTGATAATGACAATAAGGCAATAGTAAAATGAGTTGTTTTATAAAAAATTGCATGTCAAGTAATAAAGCAAATAAAAATGATTCCGATAAAAGTATTTTTTCAAAGCACCGAGAATGATAAGTTTATTTAATATACTGTTTTGTAATAGGGTAAAAGTTTTTATACTTTTACTAACAGACACTTATGAATTTAATTTAAAGAATTTTTGGTTGCTCACTTGGAGTCCTTTCTGTTTATATAACATATAAAATTATTTAATTCTGTTGATTTATTTTACGATATATCCAATATAATATACAACACTTACTCTTCTAACCTTAAATATCAATCAGCTGTCACAGATGAAATACTTAAAATGTAAAATTGCACTTATTTTACGTCTGGCGGCGCTGCTATCAGTGAACATGAGGCTATTACTTTTTGCGTGCCTGTCCATTTTACATCAGAGAAGTACAGTCAATTTCCCAATTGGAGATAAGTCTCCTTATACTCCTTCATGGTTAAATGTCAAAACGATGCGCGCGCATCCAAGTCCAACTCTGTGGCACTAGCATTTGAACTTACCTAAAGCTACTTCTACAACAACTTTTTCTTCATTGACATGAACGTGAAAACGATGCGCGCGCAATTATTTTACCTTCTGTTTGTGATTTCGTTTCCGGTTACGTTTCTATTAAGGTGCAATCCCATGGCACCGTTTTGCGTTGCGTTTTGTAACTAGGCCATGATCAATATACAAATAATAATATATCTGACCTTTTCTAACTCATGCTTTGCGTTAGCGAACGACGTTCGCAAAGTAGTTGTGCATTGGCCTTAAGTTTTACGATTTACGGATTACAATTTGTCAATGTGCTTTTGCCCGTATTTTTTTTTTTAGAAAGGAAAGGAAAAATAACAAAAATTTCCACGTTCTCAGTAATGTAAATTTACACCTTTTGCAGTATCCAGAATCTATTTAAAATTAGTCTCATCACCTAATTTATATCTAAAAAAATGTGTTTTGTAAATTTACAATTTATTTTTATACTTAATTTTTCAAAGATTACTTTGTAAAAATATATGGGCGTTTTTACGAAAACAATTCAATTGAATTTTTTTCCGTTCGTCAAGAAATTAAGGCAAGGTTTATTGATAAAATTAAAAACTAAGTTCCACATTTTTTAACCTTTTAAATGTCTTTTTTTTAAATGTTTCTTCGATAATATTATAAAAAATATAGTTTTATTTAATCACAGTGACACACGCTTTTTCGTGGAATTGCACAAAAATTATTGTTAAATTCGTTAAATTAGCATCAATTTCATTAGTGTTAAGTATATTTAAAAACATTAAAATGCAGATCATTTATTAAAGAAAAATATAACATATGGCCTCTTGGTCTAGGGGTATGATTCCTGCTTTGGGTGCAGGAGGTCCCGGGTTCAAATCCCGGAGGGGCCCTTTTTTTAATTTTTTGTTCACTAAATATTTTATATCTCAGTGAACAGTTAATATTTATTTATTATACTGTTTATATACTTAGCAATTAATTAATATTAAATTGCAAACTCATAATACAGCTGAAAATACTTTTTTTCTTTAATGTATCAACGAATTAGTAAAATTTGGAAATTTCTTTTTTTAAGAATTCAATTTATTAAAATATTTTACTTGAAACCTTATAAATAAAGATTCTCCTGCTAAAATATTCGATAAAATTTTCGGTGGATTATAAAAATATAAAAAAATTTTATTTTCAAAAATTAGAAAATCTAAATTTTTTTATTACATAATTTAATAAAATCGAAAGCTTGGTATCATTTTAAAACTCAAGAAATTATATACCTACTATGTTGATTGAGTTTTATTTTGAAAAAATAATAAATTCCACTTTCTTTTTGTTATAAACTACCTTTTATTACAAATTATAAACTTTTCTTTATAAACTATTAAAAATTGTGTCTTTACAGTTTACACTGCTTATAACTTCTTGGGAAGACAGACAAAAGTCAAATTTTAATAATATAAATTACAAACTCTAAAAAAAATTCTTAAAAACACCTTTTCATAAAATGATAATTATAAGTAAACAATGCATATAACTTTTTAATGAAGAGTTTGGAGAATGTAAATGAATTAACAAAAATCAATGTATGTATAAATATAACTGTACTTATGCACATAGAACAATTGTTACAAAAGGAGAACAATCGAAATATACTGAGTCTTACAGCGAAATAATTAATATATAAATATACAATTATTTTATTGAGTACCAGTGGATAGGAGTGCTAGCAAAATGCTAGTTGTTCCTATTGAGAAAACATAGTTGAATGCAGGCGTCAACGTCTTGAGAATATAAAATGACAGAAAAATAACGAGAGCCAAGAACAGAGCGTTATTGTAGAAAATTGAGAATGTCGTTGCTTCATAGTCAGCTACTTCATTTTTCTTCCACAGAATTCTGAAAAAAACATTGAAATTGATTTTATTTTATATAAGAAATTAGGCTAGAAATCAACTTCATAATATTATATAAAATGGCAAGAAAATTATAAATCCTCCTTGGAGAATTGATCATTGATATTTTATATTATCTTTTACCGAGTGATAAATTCTACAACTATTTTCATAGTTTTATATTTTTAAATCAAGAAGCAAATTTACACTTAATTTTACATTATTTAATTTAATTATACAATTTATTTTAAAAGAAATTCGTAAAATTTACAAAAATTTGTGAAACTGATAGTTTCAAAAGTATGTCGAAACAGTGAATTTTTAAAAATTCGTTGCTATTAAACAAATTTTTATCCACTATGATTTAGGAAGGATTTTCTCTGCTTCTCTTTATAGTGTACAACTTCTTTCTTTAGAGTTGCGTATGTTTATTAAAAAAGTAGAAAATAGATTAAAGGATGGATGTTAATTAAATAAGTTATGTAAATAAGTTTTAGTTGTTAGTTTGTGATGTTCATGTAGCTATTAAGCTGAGGAGTTTTGTTATGGAATTTGTAAAGACTCTTTAAAAGAGTATACAATGAAATAAATTATTATTATTATTACAACTTCTTTCTTAAATTTTAACATTTGACCCTCTTTTTGAAAATTAAAAATATAACGTTTTTTTGTTGTTGATACATTTTTTATTAAATAAGCAAAAAACAATTTTGAAATTAGAAATTAAAATTAATTTAAAATGTTTTACAAAGGGCTTATTAAATATGGTATATTTAAAATAAATGCAAAGAAATATTCTCTAAAATTCAATTTGCAATATAAAAAGAAATCAAAATTTTGTTTTGAAAAATTTTAAAGTTATTAAGGTGAAAAATTTTTTTAAATAAAAACACTTGTAATACAACTAGAAAAAAAAATTTTTATCTTTTTGAATGGCATTTAATCTTTACCCAATTCTAATTTTTAAAGGTTAATAGAGGTAAAAATTAAGTTGTTTATACCTTTAATACACTTTATAATTATAAATTGCTTCTTGATCATTTGCTAAATTAACTAATTTGATCAGCAATTAATTATTACCTCTCATCTTTCTCCTTCTTGCTCATTTTCTTATCTTCGGACAATTTTCGGCTCATTTCCCGTGTAACGGCATCTTCTCGCTTCACCGCAATCTGTTAATAAAATAATAGAATTATTTTTATAAAAAAATGTTTAGTAATACTTGAGTAATAATAATTTTAAAACACGATCTCTTTCGTAAACAATTGCCAATGTTAGGACTATTGAAATAATTCTTTCTACTATTTAATGAAACCAAATTACAAAAAATTCTTTTTACCATTATTAATGTTAAAGAATTTTTATATTAAATTAGATAATAACAAATGTATACTTTGGTTTGATGGAATAAGAGAAATAATTATTTAAAAAGTGCCTTAAATTGGTAATTATTTATAATGGGGGTCGTTTTATTTGAAAATAAATTATTGCAAACGAAAGCTGAGGTACAGAAAAAAATTGAAAAAGTAGACGGTGCTTAGCAAAATTGGTAAAATTGTGACCCCCCCCCTTCCCCATTTAAATTTTCGAAAAAGTCAAAAATGTTTTTTCGGTCACATTTCTACTTGATAGAACAATAAATTCCCCGAGTTTCAATTTTTTTCAAGAATTTGAAATTTCAACTTGGGACATTTCACGTAAAATCCCTCATAAATATAAAAATACATAAATTGAAGTTTGAAATAATTGAATAATGTTATAATTTAAATTTTTTTTTCAAATTTGGATAAATAGAAAATTTAGAGCAACTAAATTCGAAATTAATCAAAAATGAGATGAATTGGAATTATTGATGAAAGTTTAAAAAAATAAAATTAAAATTTATTAAAAATGTAAGTTGAGTAAAAATTTTGGAAACTAATCTTTTGATCAAGAATATTTGAAAAATGTTTCAAAATAGGTGAAAACTAACAAAATATGGGAACAAATTTTAAAAAATGAAAAAGCAAAAGGATGTAATCTCTGTAATTAGAATGCTTCATAAAATAATGAATGTAAAAGTAACTAAAATTAATGTAAGCTGCAATCAACAATAATAAATAATTTTAGAAAAAGTTAAATATTAACCTTATGTTTTAAAACGAATTTCGTATTTTTGTAGGCTATGGCAAGAGCATAAGTACTTGCTAAAGTCACAAGAACGAAGGAAATTAAATTTGCGTATAAGTCAATGAGATGTATCCTCCAGAAAAGCCCTGAAATCAAAGAAATCATAAATTTGCAACATATTTAAAATATTTGTCATCGAAATCACTCCAAAAAGTCAAGAGTTATTCAAATTTTACAAAGTATTTAGAATAAAATCCAACTGTATAAAAATCTCAAATACTAATCAATATTGTAACGAAATTATAACTATGAAAATTATGAAAAATAGTAAATTTTATTAAACATTAATGTTTACAAAAGATAGAGAAAGCTAACCCTAAATAAGACGATGGAAAATATTGCAAACCATGACTTAAAAGAATCGTTTATTTAATGTAAACAATATGTTCAGAGACTAATTTTCATAGACTTATGTATAGAGTAACACGATATATTTTCAATGTTGTAAATAAATGTGTATTTACTTACAGATGGGAATAGATGACACAATAAAAGCATTGCCGTAAAACAATGCTGAAGACTTTGTTGAAACATTTCTTGAGAAATCTTGAAGTAAAAGTTCCTCTTCTTTTGTAAATGCTTTCGACTTTCCAGACATGTTTTATTTATTTTATTGGTCACGTTATTGTGTCAAACTAAATAAAAATTTGTGAGAGCAAAAGTGGCACGCGTGGAGAGTTTTAAATGTAATGTAACTTGAGGAACTGACAATTGTTGACGACGTAGGAAGCGCATGCGCGTACAGCGGTGTGGCACTTGCAACGTGTACTGTTGAACGTCATTTCTGTGACGGAAGGCCTCTAGTGATGTTTTTAGTAACTTTTTACATAAAAGGAGAAATCGAAAATCTCTAGAAAATTCTAGTGGTAAAGTTTAGGAAATTTTCATTTAAATATTTTACTACATTGAAATAACTATTTATGTGCTTATAATAAAGGTGCATTTATATGACTACTTATTTGTCTTTATAAAATTTCAAATATTTATTTTCTAAAGGTATATCCACATGTGCTAGCAGGGTTGGGTCAATAAGTTCTAATGGTGTAAAGGTACTGCCACAGCTCTTGTTGACAGCTGCCTGCGCAGGCAGCTGTCCTCAATTTAGGCGGAAGATTTAAATCATTTGCACTCATGGCCTAGTTACAAAACGCAACGCAAAACGGTGCCATGGGACTCCACCCTAAGGTAGTCCAAGTTGGGTGGGGGAAATGCAATATGGCTGACATCAGCTGATTTACCGGAGGACAAACAATGCATTGAATTCAATGGGACAAATCAGTTTTTTAACCATAACTTTTTAAATATTCATTTTTGAACCATAGTGTAATGGAAAATTATTCTTTATTTATCGAAATCTATTTTTTAAAACAATAAAATTTAATTTTTTGGTTTTATTGTTTTAAAAAATAGATTTCGATAAATAAAGAATAATTTTCCATTACACTATGGTTCAAAAATGAATATTTAAAAAGTTATGGTTAAAAAACTGATTTGTCCCGTTGAATTCAATGCATTGTTTGTCCTCCGGTAAATCAGCTGATGTCAGCCATATTGCATTTCCCCCACCCAACTTGGACTACCTTATCTGTTGATAACCCATCTATGATTTTAATTTTAATGATTGTAAATTGTAATCATATCAGTCATGTTGAACATTTTAAAATATAAAAATTAAAGAAATTGATTTTTTTCTTAATTTTGTAATTGAGACGTAAGTAAAGAAAAATTATTTTAGTAAAATATCTTAAATTCTTTCTGTTTGACCTGAACGCTTCGCAATATTTGATAATTAGTCCAGAATGTGGATTTTAGGTTATAAACCGTTGTCATATTGTCATGTAAACAAATTTAAAAAATACAGAAAAAAGATATTTACAGTTGAAATAATAATAAGAAATTATTTTCTTACCACAACTAATTCAATATATTCATTTTCAGGGCACATACACTTTTTCTTACCAAAACACAATGGAATCGGAATTTTTAAAACTTATGGACGAAAGAAAAAATGCGAGACATTTTTCTCGATTAAAAAATCCTCTAGAAAAATCACTACAGTTTGGTTCCATCGTGGAAATTCAAGATATCCTCCGTGAAAAATATGCAGCAACGTTATCACCAGAAAATGATTGGGCGAAGAAATGTAGACAAATTATAAATATTTGTCTGGACAAAAAACTTAACGTTAACATGAAAAGCACATATTATTTTGCTTTATTACAATTTGTGATAAAACATCTCGACGAAGATTTTGAATCAGTTTTCAAGAAATGCGAAAAATTTAATATTAATGCTTGTAATTATCTATATAATAACTACGGGACAAAGTCTTTACTGCATTTTGCGATAAAATTAAGAAAACAGAATGTAGTGAAAATTCTAATAGAATTTGGTGCAAAGGTTGATGTAAGAGACGGCAATAAACAAACACCTTTATTTCACGCCGTTCAAACTAAACAAACAGAAATAGCAGAAATGCTTCTAAAAGCGGGAGCGAATGTTAATGCGAAAGATTATTGTAATATGATGCCAATTAATTTTGCTTTTGGCGAAAGAGAAGATACTAGTAGCAATGAAAAATACAAACCCTCGAAGTTGGTGACGCTCTTGTGTTCGTATGGAGCTGAGTTAAATTTCAAAAATTGTGGTTCCGGAAATACATTGGTTGCTGCTTGCGAAATTGGCAATTTAAAAGAAATGGAATTTTTAATTGAACATGGAGCTGATTTATTGTCTACTGATGAGTACGGCAGAACGGCAATAAATCGTGCAGCCATAAAATATAATTACAATATTGTCGATTTTCTATTACGTCAGGGTGTTGATATTAATGTTAAAGATATCGAATACCAAAATACTATTCACGAACTATCAAATACTAAAGCGAACATTAAGAGAATGATTGCAAATGCTGGAGACAACACCTATGAAGCTATTAGCGTCGATTGGAATTTAAATTTTATAAGCGATGAAGTGAAAAAATCGGCAGAGATGATAGAATTTTTAACGGATAATGGCGCAGATATAAATAGTTTAGATTATCAAGAAGTTACTCCTTTGATGATAAGCGTTGAAACTGATGCTCTTGAAATTACTGAATGCCTTTTGGAGTTAAATGCCACAATTTACGAGCACAAAGTATTTTTCATGAGAGGTCGAATGTTTCCTCATGTTCTTGAAACGACCGATTTTTCTTCTAATGGAATTAATACGTGGGCAGTAATAACAGCATATTCAGCACTTAAAAATATTTCTGCTTATGAAAAGTTTCCATCTGAGCATTTTAAATGGATTCATAGCTTATTTGAGGAGTGCAAAGAAGAAGTTATTAAAATGCGAGGAAAAAAAATATGGGCTGATAGAAAAGTTTCATTCTTCGACTTTCTAAATAAAGATTTGATGGATGTGACAAAATTTTTCAGAAATTGTGAAATAATGTCTGTTTTGAAATCTGACAAATATGACGAATTTCCATGTTACGCATATTTGTTTGAAAAGCGTATGGAGAGAGTGCAGAAGATGAAACATTGTCAGAATGTTTTTATACGTTTTCTGAAAGAGTTTTTTAAGAGAAATTTACCAACCGTGGCAGTTGATAAAATTATGAATTACTTGACAGCTGGAGACCTTCGCAATTTTGGAAGAGCGCTCTGCATAACGAAAAAAACACCTAATGCATATTTCATTTAAATAGTTTATTGTTTATGAAAAATAATAAATTTCGTACATTATAAGAATCATTCACGACGAGAAAAAGTATTGTTGTAATATTTTTCAAAACAATTAATTTATTTTTGTTAATTGTAAAATTCTTTACAAAAATTCAGTTACTTTTAATACAATTTTAATAAAAGTTCATTAAAAAAATCCAAAAAAATTCAATTATTTCTATGCAAAGTAAAATTCATCACAAGAATTAAGTTATTTCTTATAAATAATAAAATTCTTTTTAGGAATTCAATTATTTTCAATACAATTTTAATGAACTTCAATAATCAAATATTTCTTCATAATTATTAACAGACACGTTTATTTTCCAAAATTAAAAAAAAAATTTATTTAATTTGTCTGTTTGTCCGGTTGTTTAATTCAATTACTTTCAAACTTTTCAGTAATTCAAATTATTCAAAAAACTTCATTATTTAAAAGAATTGAATTATTTACAAAAACTCTAATAAAATTATTTAAAAGACTTTATTTTTCTATATCAATAATTTTTTAAGAAAATTTTAATACTAAAATTATTAACAAAATCGATTACATTGAAAAAATAAAAAATTTTTTTTTGAAAGAATGTAATTATTGTCAAAATCTTTAATAATATTTATTTTTTAATTAAATTATTTTCAAAAAATGTTTTAAAAAAATTTAATAATTAAATGTTTAATTTCAATTATTAAGAAATACGATTATTATAAAAACTTGAAAGAAATTTTTCATAAAATTCAATTACATTCAAAATTTTTAAAATTTTTTAAATTTTCTATTTAAAAAAAATGCAAATAAGTTCTTCTAAATAATTGAATTAGGAGTTTCTAAAATTGTTCCCAAGAATTCAATTATGAATAATTATGACGTTTTCTAAAGGTGTATCCACATGTTCTAGCAGAGTTGGGTCAATAAGTTCTATTGGTAATAATAACGAGACCCACCTCTCCACTTGACCACTTTTCTTTTAAGGATTATTGACCCTATTTTCAAAATGAGCAGAATTGGTTCATATTCTGAGAATTAAAAGATAATATTTGTAGAAATATTACTGTAAAATTTGATTAACTTTCAGAACCTGGTTTAAAAGTTACAAACATTAATATTAACATATAGCTTTTAATGGTAATCGAAAATAATTACACGTCTTCTTAAACACTTTTATCAATTTTGACGAAAAAAATGAGCAGATTTTTACATAATTTTAGTATGTTATTCTTTGATTCTTTAAGTTTAATTATGGTGAATTTGAATGTAATTCAGAATCTAGTTTTTGAAAAAAAAGTCACGAAAGTTTGAAAATAATTATTAATTGGGAAAATATGTACTTCCAAATGTATAGATTTGGCAACATCGCTTTATAAATATACACAAAGTTTACATGTGTGAGAATATGAAAGGGGCGAAAAAACGCTAAAGAGAAAAGGCGGGAAAATATGTTTCGTGTTTTTCTCTTATGAAATTACTTACTTTAACAAAAAGATATACAATAAAATAATTACTTATAATTATAAACACTGAACCTCAACATTTGTAGGAGGCTTGCTGTCAGCCAGCGAAAGCTGGCTTTTTATAAAGAATATATAAATCCATTTTAAACAGAATTACATCTAAACTAAAATTTAACCTAAACATCAAAATATGTTTGTCTAGTTTATCATGCTTTTTCTAAAATATAACCTACAAATGAATGAGCATTCAAGATATTAGAAAAGTCAGATTTAATTAAATAAAATTTTTCATTAATGATGTTTCGCTTTTTAAAACTGTCTGCTCAGATGTATAATTGATTTGAAAATGATTTTTCTCCCAATTCAGACAGTTATTAAAAAATCGGAAAAAATACCAGATATCCTGAATATTTTATCTTTCATTTGCGCACAAAAAGTAAAATATTTATTTACATTTACAATGTCAGAAAGTTAAATAGAAAAAAGTTAAACAAATGTGTGGTACATAAAATTACCGCCAGGGGGCAGCACCTAATGGGCACATCAAATTTTCACATTTTACTTCCTTTAGGTCAGACGTTACCAGACGCCATTATTTGTTTTTAACTATATGTATATATATAGTGAATTTGTAGTCAGGTTTGCCACCCTTGACATACAAAAAGAAGGAAATGCTGTGTTGTCACGTCTTACTTTGACTTTTTCAATATCCAAAAATAATGTTTAAAAATAATTTAACTCTATTTTTTTTGCATGTAACAATATTTTTTATGATTTCACATACACTGTTCATAAAAGAATGCTTTCTAAAGCTAATAATCCTGTTTGTAAAATATTATTATTTTTTTTTGTTAAGTTGTTGTACACTCCCCGACAAAAGTTAATTTCTTAAAATAAATATTATAAATCTAAATATATACATTTTACAATTATAAATTCTTCTAAAAACTATTAAAAATGTTATATCTTTAAAGAAATTAATTGTTTGACATATTAAAATGACTCCGTATTAGTGTTATTTTATACTCCTATGTCACTAACTTTTGATTTTGTGTACCTGGGTCAATAATCCTTAAAGGTTATGTTATGAATGAACATCCTTAGGATCCTTAGAAAAAATTAACACATTGAAATTGCGGAGTCCCTACTGTATTATATATAATATTATAAAAAATTATTTATTTACATACGTGTGACATTCAAGACGCTTTAGGGTGTGATCCCATGTGAGCAGAATTCGTCGACCGAAAGCAGAAAATCATGAGAGTGAAAAGAACAACAATATCTACCTATCTCTTTTGCACTCGTGATTTTCTGCTTTCGGTCGACGTATTCTGCTCACATGGGATCGCACCCTTAAAATAGTATTTTTAACAACTTTAATAGTTATAAGTATAACCTACTAATTCAAATTTGAAATATGAAGCATTTTACGTGAAATGTCCTAAGTTGAAATTTTAACTTCTTGAAAAAATTGAAACTCAGGGAATTTGTTGTTCTATCAAGTAGAAATGTGCCCCAAAAAACATTTTTGATTTTTTCAAAAATTTGGAGTGAGTAGAGGGGGGTCAATTTGACCAATTTTGCTAACACTGGCTTTGTGAATTTTTTCTGAACATACTTGGAATGGGATAAATTTTGTAGAATATGTTTCTGAAAGGTTTTTTCGTCCTCTTTCTAATGGTGAATTTTATTTTTTTATATTTTAAAAATTTACCCGAATTTTTGATAATTAATATTTAATTTTCAATTTCCCAAAAATCGGTCCGTTTTATTTGAAAATAAATTATTGCAAACGAAAGCTGAGGTTTTTCCTGTCGGCATGTAAATTTGCAGAATGACCTTTTTTTTGTTTTTGAGTTATTAAATTTCAAAGAATAAAAAAAACTTATGTCGAAAGCGTAATATACATCAAAAACTCTCAACTTACGCGTAACTTCATGCGCCACCATGTGCCACATTGTAATTTTTTTTTTTTTTGATTTTTTACAGTGCGTTGTCAGCAAGACAATAATTGCTCTTTGAAATCCACGTGTCGACGATTAAAACATTCTGAACTTACTATTGTTAAAAATTTCAATATGACGAATTTCATTACTGTTCGATGGTTTCTAAATGCAAACATATTATTGAAAATTCTGTGTTTTTTAACTCAAGAAGACAAATAGAAAACGTGATTATTTAAAACCACAGTTTCTTAAAGGTTGCAATATTTAAAATATTTTCAAATTATAAACAAATTTCAAAAATATAAAATAATCAAATTATTGTTTGTTTACATTTAAATTAACTTTTTAATCATAAAAAATCTTTATTTCAAGTTTTATATTTTTTTTAAATAAATGTCAAAATTTTGAAAAATTCCTTATTTTAAAATATTTTAAGTAAATAACGTTTTTTTATTTTTATTAGTGAGTTATATGTGTTTTATAATTATTCTAGCAAATACAGTAGAACCTCGATTATCCGAACTAATTCAGGTAAATCCTATAGTTAGGATAATAGAAATTGCAATCGAGGTTTTTTTTTAAAAATTATTTTCATATTTAGCAGCCATCGATATTACTGTATCCTAATCCGATGTATAAAGATCTAAAAAAGATATTCACTGTAAAAATCATATTAGGAATTTATTTTCTTACCTCAACTAATTCAATATATTCATTTTCAGGGCGTATTCATTATATTATTACAATCGCACAATGGAATCAGAATTTTTAGAAATTATGGACGAAAAAAAAAATGAGAAAAGTTTTGTTCGAGGCAAAAATCCTCTGGAAAGAGCATTACAATTTGGTTCCATCGTGGAAATTCAGGATATCCTCCGTGAAAAATATGCAGCAACATTATCACCAGAAAATGATTGGGCGAAAAAATGTAGACAAATTATAAATATTTGTCTAGACAAAAAACTTAATGTTAACATGAAAGAGACAAATTATTGTGCCTTATTACATTTTGTGATGAAGCATCTCGACGAAGATTTTGAATCAGTTTTCAAAAAATGCGAAAAGTTTGATATAAATGCTTGTAATAATCCTTTTTATATGATCGATATATATATATCATCCGAGTTAATGTCATTACTGCATTTTGCGATAGAAGAAAGAAAACGGAATGTAGTGAAAGCTTTAATAGAATTTGGTGCTGATGTCGATGTAAAAGACGGCCTTGAACAAACACCTTTATTTTACGCCGTTAAAACTAAACAAACAGAAATAGCAGAAATGCTTTTAAAAGCGGGAGCGAATGTTAATGCGGAAGATTCTAATAATATGATGCCAATTAATTTTGCTTTTGGCGAAAGAGAAGATACTAGTAGTAATGAAAAATACAAACCCTCGAAGTTGGTGACGCTCTTGTGCTCATATGGAGCTGAGTTAAATTTCAAAACCAATGGTGGCGGAAATACGTTGGTTGCTGCTTGCAAAATTGGCAATTTAAAAGAAATAGAATTTTTAATTGAACATGGAGCTGATTTATTGTCTACTGATGAGTACGGCAGAACGGCATTAAATCTTGCAGCCGTCAAATATAATTACAATCTTGTCGATTTTCTATTATGTAGAGGTGTAAATATTAATAATTATAATTACGAGGGGGGAAGTGTTATTCAACACCTGTCAAAAATTGTAGATAACATTAGAGAGGCGACTTTTCGTAAAAGAGACAATTCCTATGAAGTTATTAGTATTGATTGGAATTTAGATTTTATAGGTGATGAAGTGAAAAAAGCGGCAGAAATGATAGAATTTTTAGCTGATAATGGCGCAGAATTAAATACTTTGGATGATGAAAACATTACTCCTCTAATGACAAGCATTCGTTTTAATGCTCTTGAAATAACCGAATGCCTTTTGGAATTAAACGCCAAACTTTACTATAATGACGATCATCCGATTTATGTTTGTGACGGTTTCAACAGTAACGTAGATACAGAATTTCATTCTAATAACATTACTACCTGGGTACTATTAACAGCATTTTTAGCACTTAAAAATATCGATATTAAAAACTATAGTTATTCACAATATATAAATTTTGATTCGGTCTTTTCCTTTTATGAAAAGTGCAAAGAAGAAATAATTAAAATGGAAGAAAGAAGAATATGGGCAGATCGAGAAGTTTCATTTTTTGACTTTCTAAATGAAGATTTGTTGAAGGTGACAAAATATTTCAGAAATTGTGATGTAATGTATGTTTTGGAATCTGACAAATATGACGAATTTTCAGGTTACAAATATTTGTTTGAGAAGCGGATACAGAGAGTTGAGAAAATGAAAAATTGTCAGAATGTTTTTATTCGTTTTATGAAAGAGTTTTTTAAGAGAAATTTACCAAGTGTAGTAATTGATGAAATAATGAATTACTTATCAGCTGGGGATTTTCGCAACTTTGGAAGAGCGTTGTGTATAACAGAAAAATCACCTAATGGAAAATATTTCATTTAAATAGTTTATTGTTTATGAAAAATAATTTCATACATTACAACAAAACATTCACGTTAAGAAAAAGTATTGTTGACAGTATTTTTCTAATCTTTTGATAATTACTACTTTTAGTACTTTTGTACTATTGAAAATTTTGTGTTATTTTGATAATAAAATTATGATTTCATGTGCGATTTTGATTTAATTTACTATTTACTTATATGAAATTTTTACAAATGTTTTTAAACCTAACAATATATTTTATTTAATTAACCTTTAAACTATTATGTCGGTTTTCTTTGTTTGTAACTTTCAAAGTATAATAAAAACTTGATCTTTTCAGTATAGTTTCGTATTTTATGAAAATCTGTTAGGTGACAACTTTTTCAAAAATTTATATTCGTTAAATTTTGTATTGTAACATATAAAAGTAAAAAAAAATTGAATCAAAATAATATAGAAATGACTTTTTTATGTTAAAAAGTAAAAAATATTTATAATAGTTGTCTTTAGAAAATTATACTAATTCCGCCTGCCAAACGATTATAAAAATTTATGAAAAATTAAAAAAAGCTTTTAAATAACAGAAATAATATTCAATAAAAGCTGGCGTTTCGGAACGGAGTTATTTTATAACACCAGTTTTCTTTCAAAATTTTTTAAAATTATTATTGTACTAAAAATTATTAAATCACATAGGGCTCTGTCCTTTTTGAAAGAATTTACAATAATTATGGAATTTTTCAGGAGAGTCAAAAAACTTTTCAACAGAATTTTTAGGTTATATTGTTATAGAACAAAACGAACAAAACGTGAACAAAACTTTAGGCCTAAGCACAACTGAGTGGATTCGGGGGATTCGGGAAACGGTTACGGGTAAAGGCCAACGCAGAATAGATCTGTAACCGGAACCGCAATCGTAACCGTAAGCGCAAGAATGAGTTAGAGAAGAATAAACAATATACCTATCCTTCTCTAACTCATTCTCACGCTTACGGTTACGATTGCGGTTCCGGTTACAGATCTATTCTGCGTTGGCCTTTAAGAAGGATAAACAATATACCTATCCTTCTTTAACTCATTCTTACGGTAACGCTTACGATTGCGGTTCCGGTTACAGATCTATTCTGCGTTGGCCTTATTCTTTTTGATAAACCGCATCTATATGTTTGTAATTTTAATGATTGTAAATTGTAAGGCTGGAGTCCCATGGCAGCGTTTTGCGTTGCGTTGTAAAGGCCTTTCTCCAATAGGTTTTAAAAAGTGTGCGAATGACTGCGTCTGCGTCGGTTGCTATAGCAACACATGCTAAAATCAACGCAACGCAGTCATTCGCAGACAAACGCAAAGTTTTTGGATCCTATTGGAGAAAGGCCTTAATGAGAGAGAATGCAGCAAACGTATATTTGCGTCTTTTTCTCTCCCATTACGACGCAACGCAAAACGCTGTCATGATGGAGAGTCCACAATAGGTGCAAAAGGCAAGAAGTGCAAGTGCGAACCAATGCTAAATGTATAGGAATCGCACTTGCACTTGGACTTACTACCTGCATTTTGCGAGACGCATGATTTTCCCCTAAACGCCAAGTGGTCGAATGTTCAAATGGTCGAATACCAAGTAGTCGAATCGTTAACTGGTCGAATGCTAGAAACATCGAATAGTCAAAACGTCGAATGTTCAAAACATCGACTCATCAATTGATCGAATGTTCAAAACGTCGAATCGTCATTTGGTCGAATGCTCAAAACGTCGAATCGTCAAAAATTCGAAAAATTTGCTTGGTTTAAGTTAATGTTGACTTAAACCAAGCAAATTTTTCGAATTTTTGATGATTCGACGTTTTGAGCATTCGACCATTTGAGAATTCGACGTTTTGAGCATTCGACCATTTGAGGATTCGATGTTTTTAGCATTCGACCATTTGACGATTCGACGTTTTGAACATTCGACCATTTGAGAATTCGACGTTTTTAGCATTCGACTATTTGACGATTCGACCTTTTGAGTATTCGACCATTTGACGATTCGACCTTTTGAACATTCGACTATTTGACGATTCGACGTTTTTAGCATTCGACTAAATGACGATTCGACGTTTTGAACATTCGACCATTTGAGAATTCGATGTTTTTAGCATTCGACCATTTGACGATTCGACCTTTTGAGCATTCGACCATTTGACGATTCGATGTTTTTAGCATTCGACCATTTGAGAATTCGACGTTTTGATCATTCGACAAATTGACGATTCGATATTTTGAACATTCGACGTTTTTAGCATTCGATGTTTTTAGCATTCGACCAGTTAACGATTCGACTACTTGGTATTCGACCATTTGAACATTCGACCATTTGTCGTTTAGGGGAAAATCATGCGTCTCCATTTTGCACATATTGTGGACTCTCCATAAGACTCCACCCTAATCATCTGTTATAAACAAGTTGTAAAGTACAATGAACTTTTTTGAACATTTTGACATATATAAAAGATAAAGAAATTGATTTTTTTCTTAATTTTTTACCTGAAATGTAAGTAAAGAAACATATATTAGTGAAAGATCTTAAATTCTTTCTCTTTGACCTAAATGCTTCGCTATATTTGATGGTTAGTCCAGAATGTAAATTTTAGGTTATAAATCGTTTTGTCACATTGTCATATACATAAACAATGCAAGACATAATTGTTCTTTGAAATCCACGTGAAGACGATTAAAACATTCTGGACTTACCATTGTTAAAAATTTCAATATGACGAATTTCATTACTATTCGATGGTTTCTAAATGAAAACATATTATTGAAAATTCTGTGTTTTTTAATACTCAAGAAGACAAATAGAAAACGTGATTATTTAAAACGACGCAGTTACTTGAAAGTTACAATTTTTTAAATATTTTTAAAGTTTAAAGAAATTTCAAAAATATAAAATAATCAAATTGTTTGTTTACAGCTAAATTAACTTTAAATCATAAAAAATCTTTATTTCAAGTTTTATATTTTTTTGAAAATAAATGTCAAAATTTTGAAAAATTACCTTACAAATATTTTAAGTTTTTTTTTAATATTTAAAAATTTATTTATTTATTATTTTATTTTATTTATATTTTAAAATATTTTAAGTAAATAACGTTTTTTTATTTTTATTAGTGAGCTATGTGTTTTATAATTATTCTAGCAAATACAGTGGAACATCAATTATCCGAACTAATTCAGGTAAATCCTATAGTTAGGATAATAGAAATTGCAATCGAGGTTTTTTTTTGAAAATTGTTTTCATATTTAGCAGCCATCGATATTACTGTATTCTAATCAGGTGTACAAAGATCTAAAAAAGATATTTACTGTATAAATAATATTAAGAATTTATTTTCTTACCTCAACTAATTCAGTATATTCATTTTCAGGGCGTATTCATTTTTGTATTACAATGGCACAATGGAATCAGAATATTTAGAAATTATGGACAAAAGAAAAAATGCGAGTCGTTTTTCTCGAGAAAAAAATCCTCTAGAACAAGCACTGCAGTTTGGTTCGATTGTCGAAATTGAAGACATACTTTGTGAACAACATCAAGCAACATTATCGCCAAAAAATGATTGGGCGAAAAGATGTAGACAAATTATAAATATTTGTTTGGAGAAAAAACTTAACGTTAACGTGGAAGAAACAAATTATTGTGCCTTATTACATTTTGTGATGAAGCATCTCGACGAAGATTTTGAATCAGTTATCAAAAAATGCGAAAAGTTTGATATAAATGCTTGTAATTATCTACATAATAACTACGAGACAAAGTCTTTACTGCATTTTGCGATAAAAGTAAGAAAACAGAATGTAGTGAAAGTTTTAATAGAATTTGGTGCAAAGGTTGATGTAAGAGACGGCAATAAACAAACACCTTTATTTCACGCCGTTCAAACTAAACAAACAGAAATAGCAGAAATGCTTCTAAAAGCGGGAGCGAATGTTAACGCGGAAGATTCTAATAATATGATGCCAATTAATTATGCTTTTGGCGAAAGAGATGATACTAGTAGTAATGAAAAATACAAACCCTCGAAGTTGGTAACGCTCTTGTGTTCGTATGGAGCTGAGTTAAATTTCAAAAATTGTGGTGGCGGAAATACATTGGTTGCTGCTTGCGAAATTGGAAATTTCAAAGAAATAGAATTTTTAATTGAACATGGAGCTAACTTATTCACCTGTGATGATGACTATAAATCGGCATTAGAAGTTGCAGCCGTAAAATATAATTACAGTCTTGTCGATTTTCTATTATGTAGAGGTGGAAATAATTATAAATACGAGTGGGGACTTGTTATTCGTCACCTGTCACAAACTGTAGACAACATTAGAGAGGCGTTTTATCATAATAGAGACGATTCCTATGAAGCTATTAGTATAGATTGGAATTTAGATTTTATAGGTGACGAAGTGAAAAAAGCGGCAGAGATGATAGAATTTTTAGCTGATAATGGCGCAGAATTAAATACTTTGGATGATGGAAACATTACTCCTCTAATGATAAGCGTTCGTTATAATGCTCTTGAAATTACCGAATGCCTTTTGGAATTAAACGCCATAATTTACGATAGTGAAGATTATCCGATTTATGACAGTTTCAGCCGTCACATAAATACAGAATTTCATTCTGATAAAATTACTACGTGGAAACTATTAACAGCATTTTTAGCACTTAAAAATTACGATATTGAAAGCTATAGTTGTTCAAGATATATAAATTTTGATTCGATCTTTTCCATTTATGAAAAGTGCGAAGAAGAAGTTATTAAAATGCGAGGAAAAAAAATATGGGCTGATCGAAAAGTTTCATTCTTCGACTTTCTAAATGAAGGTTTGTTGAAGGTGACAAAATATTTCAGAAATTGTGATGTAATGTCTGTTTTGAAATCTGACAAATATGACGAATTTCCAGGTTACAAATATTTGTTTGAGAAGCGGATACAGAGAGTTGAGAAAATGAAAAATTGTCAGAATGTCTTTATACGTTTTCTGAAAGAGTTTTTTAAGAGAAATTTACCAAGTGTAGTAATTCATGAAGTAATGAGTTACTTGACTGCTGGGGATTTTCGCAACTTTGGAAGAGCATTCTGTATAACAGAAAAATCACCGAATGGAAAATATTCCATTTAAATAGTTTATTGTTTATGAAAAACAATTTCATACATTACAACAAAACATTCACGTTAAGAAAAAGTATTGTTGACAATATTTTTCTAATTTTTTATAATTACTACTTTCATTATTTTTGTACTATTGGAAATTTTTTGTTATTTTGATAATAAAATTATATTATTTCATGTGCGATTTTGATTTAATTTACGTTACTTATGAAATTCTTACAAGTTTTGTTTAAACCTTACAATATTTTGTTTTTTTAATTAATCTTTAAACTATTATGTCGGTTTTCTTTGTAACTTTTTTTCAAAGTACAATAAAAACTTTATCTTTTCAGTCTAGTTTCGTATTTTCTAAAAATCTGTTAGGTGACAACTTTTTCAAAAATTTTAGTTAAATTTTGTATTGTAACATGTAAAAGTAAAAAAAATTGAATCAAAATAATATAGAAATGACATTTTTATGTTGAAAAGTAAAAAATATTTATAATAGTTCTCTTTAAAAAATTATACTAATTCCGCCTGCCAAACGATTATAAAAATTTATGAATTTTAACTAAAGAAAAATTAAAAAAAGCTTTTAAATAACGGAAATAATATTCAATAAAATCTGGCGTTTCGGAACGGAGTTATTTTATAACACCAGTTTTCTTTCAAAATTTGTTTTAATTATTTGACTAAAAATTATTAAATCACATAGCAGGGCTCTGTAAAGAATTTACTATTATTTGGGTTTTTTTTTAAATATGCGAGTTTTGATAATTATTTTATTATTATTATAAATTAAAATATGCAAAGATTTATATTTTATATTATTATTATTAAACACACTTCAATCCTTACTTGTGAAAAAAATTTGGTTGGTTTTGTTTTGTAAAATTTGGAATATTTATTTTTTAAAGGTATATCCACATAATTATGCTAGCCTGGTTGTGTCAAATTGAAAGTAACACTCACTTTTTTTGTTGAAATGTCCATCTATGTCCTACATGCTTAATATAATCATCTGTTTGTAAAGTGAAAGGAGTGAAAGAAATGAGATAAACATTCTAACAGTTAAAAGAAATTGATTTTTTTCTTAATTTAGTACCTGAAATGTAAGTAAAAAAAGATATTTTATGAGTGATCTTAAATTCCTTCTATTTCGCCTATTGGATTCAGTATATTTTATGGTAAGTCCAGAATGCCAATTTTAGGTTATAAATCAACGTGTAAAACAATGCAAAGACCCTATATAGAATTAACGTTTTAAAATTAATGTTTCGCCCCTACTAAAAATAAAGTCACAAACTTTTACCTGGAAAAAGGTCAACTGACCGTCATAAAATTGAAGGAAAATCTTTCTATTTGTTTACGTTTATATTTATTTAAACATTATACTTGTTTTACATCGACATAGAATTCTAACATTATGCTATTATTATTTATACAATATATCCTTTAGAAGTTAAATTCAAAAATGATATCCTTTTTTATTTATCAATTACGGTTTTCGAGATACGTTACAGTTTTCTTAAAAAAAGTGTTTTTTTATAATAAATTTTCGATATTTGTAATCGTGGATTCCATGAGAAATAAACGAAGTTGAAGTCTACAACGTTTATCAACGAAAAAACTATATTTAATACATTAAAGTATTATTTTTAATTTAATATTTAATTGTAAAATAATTATTATCAAAATATAAACATCAATCTTTTTTTTCTAAATATTTTTGTGACAATATTTTCTGCGTATTTTTAATTAATTTACTAAGTAAACAATTTTTTTTCGTTGATCAACGTTGTGGATTTCAACTTGGTAGAAATAATCACAATCCATAAATATCAGGATTCAACAGGAGCATAAAAAACCCTTTAGTCAGAATTAACCAAAAGCTTCAGGAAACGTCAAAGTAGTCACAAAACATCAAATTTTCTGACTTTTTCTTATTATTCCTGATTTTATTTTTAATAGGACGGCGTTTAAAAAATTTGCAGTCTGGACTTACCATGATGTGAAAAATTAAATACGACGCGTTTCTCTACATAACTGATTTCTTATCGGATCTAGAAAGATCTAAAAAAGTATTTACTCTATTAAAAAAATATCAGGAAAGTATTTGCTTATATTTAACTAACTAAAAAAATTAATTTTCAGGAAAATACATAGATTTTAAAATAAAATAATGGAGTCGGAATTTTTGGAAATTATGAACGAAAGAAAGAATGGGAGTCGTTTTTCTCGACAAAAAAATCCTCTAGAACAAGCACTACAGTTTGGTTCGATTGTCGAAATTGAAGACATACTTTGTGAAAAACATCAAGCAACATTATCGTCAGAAAATGATTGGGCGAAAAGATGTAGACAAATTATAAATATTTGTCTGGACAAAAAACTTGATGTTAACATGGAAGAGACAAATTATTGTGCCTTATTACATTTTGTGATGAAACATCTCGACGAAGATTTTGAATCAGTTATCAAAAAATGCGAAAAATTTGATATTAATTCATTGAATGTTGTCGATATGCCGGAAGACGAAAAGTCTTTACTTCATTTAGCGATTGATGAAAAAAAACCGAATTTAGTGAAAATTTTAATAGAATTTGGTGCAGATGTCAATGTAAGAGACTCCCGTTCATGGACACCTCTTTTTTACGCCGTTTTCTCTAAACAAATAGAAGTGGCAGAAATGCTTTTAAAAGCAGGAGCGGATATTAGTGCGAAGGATTCTGGAAATATGATGCCGATAAATTATGCTTTTGGTGAAAGAAAAGATACTAGTAGCAATGAAAAATACAAACCCTCGAAATTAGTAAAGCTCTTGTGTTCATATGGAGCTGATTTAAATTTCAAAAATCCAAGTGGCTCGTCGACATTAGTTATGGTGTGCAGGAAAGGCAATTTCAAGGAAATAGAATTTTTGATTGAACATGGAGCTGATTTATTGTCCAGTGATGTGCACGGCACAACGGCATTACATTCTGCAGCTGTGAAATATAATTACAAACTTGTAGATTTTCTAATACGTAGAGGTATTGATATTAACGCTCAAGATTGGCAGAAGGAAAGTTCTATTCATCATCTGGCAGATACTTTGGATACGATTAGTAATGTACTTCAATATTGTGGAGACAATACGTATGAAGCTATTAGCGTCGATTGGAATTTAGATTTTGAAGGCAATCAAGTGAAAAAAGCGGCTGAGATGATACAGTTTTTAGCTGATAATGGCGCAGATGTAAATGCTTTCAGTAAGCAAAACATTACTCCTCTAATGATAAGCGTTCGTTATAATGCTCTTGAAATTACCGAATGCCTTTTGGAATTAAACGCCAAAATTTGCAATAGTGACAATTCGTCTTTTTATTATGGCAGTTTAAGCCGTCAGATAAATACAGCATTGCATTCTCATAAAATTACAACGTGGGCACTATTAACAGCATTTATAGCACTCAAAAACATCGGTTTTCCTAAAAATACTTTTACATCGGATGAAATTCATTGGATCATTTACTCTTTACAAGAGTGTAGGGAAGAAGTACTTTATATGCAGGAAAAAAGAATATGGACAGATCGAAAAGTTACTTTTTATGATTTTCTAAATGAAGATTTGTTGAAGGTGACAAAATATTTCAGAAATGATGATGTAATGTCTGTTTTGAAATCTGACACATATGACGAATTTCCGGATTACAGATATTTTTTTGAAAAGCGTAGAGAAAGGGTTGAGAAAATAAAAAATTGTCAGAATGTCTTTATTCGTTTTCTGAAAGAGTTTTTTAAGAGAAATTTACCAAGTGTAGTAATTCATGAAGTAATGAGTTACTTGACTGCTGGGGATCTTCGCAACTTTGGAAGAGCGTTCTGTATAACAGAAAAATCACCGAATGAAAAATATTTCATTTAAATAGTTTATTGTTTAGGAAGAACAATAAATTTCATTCATTATAAGAAATATTCACGTTAAGAAAAATTATTGTTGACAATATTTTTCAAATTTTGTGCTTATATACTATTGTGTACCATAATTGGAAATTTTGTGTTATTTTGCTAATAAAATTTTAATTTCAAGTGGCGATTTTGATTTAATTTACTTTACTCATAAAATTGTTGCAATTTTTTTTTTAAATGTCAAGTTATTTTGTTAAAATTTAGTTAAATATATAATTTCTTAAATTTGTTTAAATAATTTATTGTATGTGCTTATTAATTGCTTTATAAATATCTAAATAATTCGAACTATTAATTTAATAAGCTGGAAGTTCATTTTTTTAAAATAACCAAAAGTTAACCGTAACTTTTGCTTTAAGTCCGTAATTTGATTGAAAAAGGTCCGTAAAGTCCGTAAATTATACGATATAATTTGGATAATTTTAGAGAAATTACAAATTATTGCAGAAATTCAATTATTTTCAAAAGCAATAAAATTCTTCGCAAAAATTCAATTACGTTCAACAATTTTTTTAAAAATTCTCGACAAAATTTCAATTATCTTTATAAATAATAAAATTCTTCTCCGAAATTCAATTATTTTCAAAAATTTTTCTTAATTCAATGATTTTTAATATTTATTTACTATTCTAATAAAATTTTCCAAAAGAATTCAATTATTTGAAAAAAAGAATTTTAATAAAATTCTACACAAACCTATAATTATTTTTAAAGAATAATAAAAATTTTACAGGAATTTTATTATTTACAATTTTTTTTATAAATCTCTTCGCAATCATTCGATTATTTTCATAAATAATAAAATTTTTACAGGGATTCAATTATTTTGGGAAAATAATAAGATTCTTATTAGGAATTCAATTATTTTTATAAATAATAAAACTCATTGCAGAATTTCAATTATTTTTTATACAACTTTAATTGAATTCCTCGAAAAATTTAATTATTCCTAAAAATTTTATTAAAATTCGTCAAAAGAATTTAATTATTTAAAAATTTATTGATGATACAATTCTTTATGAGAATTCAATTTAAAGAAATATTCAATTATTTAATAAATAATTTTAAATAAAAAAATTTATTTAAAAATTAATTTTAGTTAAATTTTTGGTGATAATTGAATAGGTATTAAAAGCATTATATGTAACAATATGAATTTTTAGAAATATAATTGGATTTTGAAAAGGTTTTAAATTAAAAGCTTTGAAAATTTGAATTTTTTATTTTTAACTAACAATTGTATGGAATTAATTTTTTTTTGCGAAAGTTTAATTGCGGATTTTTATATTATTTGAAGTTTATATTTCCTATAATTATCATAATGCGCAATTTCAAACAGTGATCGCCTTTTAAAAATTGCTTGAACATAAACATAATTTCAAAAGGATTTTTCTCCCAATTTGGACAATTATTGCAAAATAGGGAAAAATACCCGCAGTTATCCTGAAATTTTGTTCTTTCATTTGTGCACAAGAAATTGAAAATCCAATATAATACACGACGTCAGGAAGTAAAATGAGAAAATAGTCCGTAACAATGTTTTTTTTTTGTGAAAAAAGTCAATTTTGCAATTTTTTGGCCATAGACTTAAAACATTCTTATAGAAGGCACACCACTTTTCAAAAAGTTGTCCCAACCCGGAAGGAAAGCATATAATATGTTATTGAGTGTATTAAAATATGAATAATATCATTGTCTTCCTTACTAAAAAACCAATAAAATTCACTACAACTAACTTTACGTCAAATAGAAACGTTTTAAAACAAGTTTAAAATTTGCGTTCGCGAAGCAGTTGTGCGTTGACCTTTAGCCGTTAGAGAAAGATAGGTGTATTATTGTGAATGCACCGTTAGACCTTGAAAAGCTAGTTTTGTAGAAACACCCTAAATATAAAGAACATTCCACGAGTTGTTCTCACTGCAAGTGGTGGTACGAAATACCACCACTTGCGTCTGAAACGCTCGCTTCCGTGCAAAAAGCGCATATTAAAACGCTGCCATGTATGTATATATACACAGCCTAAAATTGGGGAGAAAAATAAATTGTGTTAAAAAAACGTGATTGACCTTGTGAGCATCGAGAATCTTCATAGAAGAAGGAGATAAGCATTGAATTCATTGAATTTTGTCAGTGGATGACAGTAAATCAACGATTGCGGCTGGGTCACCATTCCCAACGCGAATTTCGCCAAGTCCGGACTGGCTGAGGTACTCGGGTTTAATATCTCCAGGGTGACGCCGGCCGCCCTTAATTCGGAGCCTTGAACTACAAAAGGCCCAAAGTCCGACGAAGGTAAGGCCCCAGCATAACCCTCAAACTTATTTTTTACATAGTAGAATAGTCGCGTTATATTTATCTCAGAAGTACAGTTATTTTTACTTTTGAACAATATCAGCTGCAGCAACTTACGCTATATACTCAATATACGTATGTATCATCCATTCATTGTCTTTCATCAGTTCTGCCTTTTCGTTTTTTTTATTCTATTTATTTTCTCAAAGTCAATCGATTTCAATTTCATTTACTTTAATTTCACTATTAATCGAAGAATAAAATTTTTAAATGCCTATTATAATCTTTGAAATGTAAAATTTGTTTGCTGCAACAAGTATTGTCAATGACGTACTTATAAGTTCTTGTTATCAGCTATAGGAACTATATAATTCCAGTATTGTACATTTTTCCATTCCTCGACAAATATTTTTCATCCTTTTGCTCTCCATTAACCTTCAATCCCCGCACACACACACACTGCCAATTACCCATTCTTTCAGGTTAAAAAAAGTTCGCTCGTTAAATAAGTACCTAGTGAAGTACAGAAAAAAAAACAGTTCGCAGTTTATAAAAAGTTTTTCTTAGTTTGTGTTGTGTTCAAGTTGAAAAAAAAGTAAACAGTTCGTGTATAGTATGTCCTAAAAAAAAGTCTACATTTTATCTGTGAAAAAAAGTACAGTTAAAGTATATAAAGTATAAGTAAAAAAAAAAAAGTCAATCAGTTTCCGACGTGCTATAAAATGTCTCATACGACATGGATCGCGCGCGTTGCACCTTCAAGAGCGATTATTACCGCATGGGCTCTTTTCGATCCAGGTAAGCCTTGCGATGCTACTGTTGTAGCTTAAAGCGCTACACTGGTAGGTCTCCAGGTCTAACAGCATTTCCCTTTTTCCTATATTTATTAAAAAAATTATATCCGACATGCAGCAAACTATGAATGTCTAGATGACTAATACACAGGATATTTCCACGGATTTTTCCCAATATTTTTTTTATCAAGAGAGTCTCCGGGGTTTCTACAAAACCTGGAAATCAGGGAATTTTATTTTGGTTCCTGGAATTTCCATGGAAATTTTTATTATAGAAATTTAGGAGTGCATACAAATTTTTTTTTCTTTAGTTCGATTTTCCACTGTTTACAAATTTGTTTCAATTTTTTTTAATCAAACTTGTATTTCAATTTTATTATCTTTTTCACCTTTTTTTTTTGACGATTTGTCACCTTTTTACCCTTTTTTGGTGATTTGTCCCTTTTTCACATTTCTTTAATGAAAAATAATTAATTAACATTCAAATAATTAAAATATAATTATTAACAGTTTTTTCTGGAAAAACAAAAATTCTAATACAAAACTTACAATTTTTTCCAATTCTGAGAATAATTTCTTTTTAAATAACTTAATTCTTGAAGAACTATCATAAAATTATTACTTAGAAATTATTTAATGAATAATTTTACTTAAATATTTAAAAATTAATTGAATTTTAAAAGAGTTGCGTTTACAAATATTTCATAAAATAAAGATTTTAATTTCAATTTTGAATGAATTTCATTAGAAATTCTAAAGAACTTAAATTTTTGCAAAAATTTTCAAAATTTAAATTATTAAAAATAATAAATTTATCGAGGAATTTTAGTTAAAAACACTAAAAAAATTTGAATTTTAGAGAAGTTTTAAATGATTGCAAAAATTCAAATATTAAAATTTTCAAAAGTAATAAAACTCTTCGCAGAAATTCAATTATATTCAAAAATTTAAAGAAAGTCTCGTCAAAATTTCAATTCTCTTTATAAATAATAAAATTCTTCTTTAAAAATTCAATTATTTTCAAAATTTTTAATAAAATTCTTGGCAAAATTACAATTATTTGCAAGACTTTTCCTAAATTCAATGATTTTCAATATCTACTATTTTAATAAAATTTTCCAAAAGAATTTAATTATTTTAAAAAATTTGATTAAAATTCTACGCAAACGTTTAATTATTTTCATAAATAATAAATTGAATTATTTAAAAATTTGTTGATAAAATTCTTTATGAGAATTCAATATTAAGGAACATTCAATTTTTCAATAGAAATTATTTATTTTTGTATTTAAATAATTGAATTCTCGTATGATTTTCTAATAGAAATTGATTTAAAAGTGAATTTCAGTTAAAATTTTACATAATAATTGAATATTAAAAGCATTATAGCCTAAATTTTTAGAAATAATTGAATTTTGAAAAATTTTCAAATTGAAATCTTTGAAAATCTAAATTTATCCTATTTTTAACAAACAATTCTGTAGAATTTATTTTTTTCAATAAGTTTAATTGAAATTATTCCAAGTTTTTATTTTCAAATATATATTTAATTGAAAAATTTCTGAATAATCGATATAATTTCGTAAAATTGAATTGTAAATAAAACTATTTGAAAATTCTCAGAATTTTAAAAAAAAATTATTGTAAATAATTGATTTAAAGAAGAATTTTAGTTAATAATTCTAGAAAATAATAATTGAATTGAAACGATGAAAATAATTTTGAAGAAGTTACAGTAAAAATGCAATGGCATTAGGATATCATAAAATATTAAATTAAAAGAATTATAAATATTTTCTTGATAATAAAATATTTTTAACTTTTTCACATTCCTTTGACCAAAATTTAAAAATATTTTGCATATTCTTGAGAAAATTTACCACATTAGTTTCAAGATATGATAAAATGCAAAATTAGCTTCAAAATAAGCCCATAAGAACGTAAAAAAATTTCATTATTTTAGAAGTAATTTGAATTTAAAAATAAATTGCAAATAAAACCATTTTTGTGATATCTTACTTATTAAAAATATTGACGCATGACGCACAATTTACCTAAGTTATTTCAAGCGAAAAATTATACAGAGTCTGTTCTATTTAAATTCAAAAATTTTTAATCTAATTATCTAGTTCACCAAATTCTATTTTAGCATAATTTCCATTTATCAGAATTTATTATAACTTTCAGAAATTCAATTTAAGAGAATAATAATTTAACACTTTTAACAGAATTTTTATTCAACTGTTTTTTTTCATTTTAAAAAATACATATATAATCGAATTATCATTTAGTATAAATTATTATCGTTTGTTAGAATTCATAAAATGCCGAATTTTCATTTAACAGAACTTTCATTCTTCCGAAAAAATATTGGACAGCATTTTTTTTTGTGTAAATTTACATAAATTTCGATGAGTAGATATTCTGTGTTATTAAAATTGTGTTACATTAAAATTTTATTGAATAAAATTCGGTTTAATATAATTCTACTTTATAAAATTTGATCCACTGGAAATTCGAACTAATGATTTTTTTATGGAATACTCATGCGCATCAAAAAATTTGTTTCAATTTATGTAATGTATTTTGAGAGCAGCGTTATTACATATCATTACTCAAGTTTAATGTTTAGAATTAAAAAGAAATGGAATTTTTTTAATGGAAACACTTGTCGGACCCCTCAATGAGGATAATATATATGTCACTGAATTAACAAAATTATCAAATGCTTTTAGCAGAATTATTGTTAATTCAATATGAAAGTTTTCTTAGTACTAAAATCTGAATGATACTCGTTTTTTCAATTTTTGAGCAATAATTATTATAAAAATAAAACCATTCTGACGTTAAAGACTTTATTATAATATTATAATAATTTAATTTTATAATATTTTCTGATAATGTTCTGAAACTTAGTACTAATAATTCTTCTCAAAATTCAATTCTCAAAATAATTCTTCTCTTTAATAATGACAATTTTATCATTTTTCACCTGGAAATCATGAAAGCAGAGAGAAATTTGTAGAAACCCTGTTAATCGAATAGTTCTTTTTAAATATTGAATTTCATGTAAATTTCATTTAAATTCTAATTATTTTTAGTTAACCTTTAAATAGTTCATTTTTATTTATTGTAATATTCTCATTTTTAATATCAAATTGTTATTTTTTTCGTGGAAATGTTCAAAATAGAAACTAGATTATTCATATGTCTATACAAAATTCACTACGTTTTTTCATTAACGAAATGTAGAAAAATGTTGTCTACCAAAAACATTGAATTATCAATTTCGAAAAAGTTTTGATAATAAGCTGATGAAATTAAATTTTTCTCTTTTTCGTTTATCAGAAAACGTTGCGAACTTTGTCATTTATTCATTTCATATGTTTTTTTCTTTTAAGCTTTAAGATTCATATTATGTTTCATACTTATTTGAATAAAACGTTATTTTTTTAACAGTAAGAAATAATTTTTCATGTTTATTTATTTATTTAATATCATAACGGGACATGTTGAGGAAAAGTAATTAGTTTTTTTGTCAAAGTAAAATAAAAAAAGGTGCGTCTTGAATTCACAGCCCTTGAAGTATTAGCTATTTAGTGGAATTTGTTTGAAAGCGGTTGTCATTTCCGCTTTCAAAGAAGTGAATATTGTGTTAAAAGAAAAGAATTAATTGTAAAGATTCATCGTTGAGAGGAAATCATCATATTTAAATAATATTTTTGTCGAGAGGGATTTTAATTCATTAAATTGTTCGCAGGCTAAACAATGTCCGACTCGAGTTCTGACAATTCGTCGTCGGAGGATTATGAGGAAAGTCGTCGAAGTGCCTCGCCAGACACAGTCGCGTCCCAATCTCCACGACGCTCAACGCACTCGGACAGAAAGACGCCTTCGACCGAGGCTCGCTCGTCAGCTTCTCCACTGTCCGGTCGAGGATCCAAGTCGCCGAGAACTGAGGCGAAATCACACAATTACGTTCGCTCTCCATCAAAATCTGCCCGCTCTGTGAGCAAATCGCCAGCGTCGAGCAGGAGCTCGCAGAAATCACGCTCACCATCGCCCAATGAATTCAGCTACAAAGGCGGCTCCGAGTCGCCGCAATCAAATCGCAGTTCTCGCTCAAGATCCAATCCCGGCTCGCCCTCAAGATCAAATCAAGGCTCCCCCGTGAGGTCGAGTCGAAGATCGCCGTCAAGATCAAATCCAGGCTCCCCCGAGACAAGGTCGAATCCAAGTTCTCCCCAAATTCGATCAAATCGAAGTTCCTCCCATCGATCGAATCAAAGCTCCAACTCGCGTCCAAATTCGAATCGCAGTTCACCGCAACCCGCCTCGCCAGGCTCCCCAAGACCAGACTCCAATCGCAGTTCCCCCCAGTCGCCGAACTGTCGATTCCAACGAACGGGACCAATGTCGCCGAAATCCCCACGAATGACCTCGAGTCCAGCTTCGCCTAATTCCCCCGATCATGGGGACTACAATTCCGGACCGAATTCCCCAACTCACTACAGGGATCACTCTCCGAAATCGCCACTTGACCGCAATAGTGAATCGAGACCAAGTTCGCCAAAGTCGCCAAGATCACCGAGATCGCCAAGGTCACCAAGATCTCCAAGATCGCCAAGATCTCCACGATCTCTATCGCCGAGATCGAAGCACAGCTCCGTGAAGTCGCCCGACTCTGGACGAAATACTCCAAAGTCGTTGAAATCGCCGAGCGTCGATCGACACTCGCCACCGCGTTCGCCGCCACATTCGCCGGAGGACAAAAGAAATTGCTACAACGAGATTGATGGTGAACAGATTTCCGATGGGGATATGGACGATGTGTCGCAGTCGGCGCTCAAATCGAAGCCAACGCCGATTTCCCATGGGGAAGATCTGTCGGATGTTTCGGATTTGGACAGTATGGACGACGAGGGTGAGCGCGAACAAATGCGAAAGAAAACGGAGGAAGTGGTTCAACAATTGCCAATTGTCAATAGTGAGAAAATTGAGCGCGAGGAGAAAATCGCACCCGAGAGTTTGGCTGAGGAAAATGAACAACTTGACTTTGAGGCTGATGGTCAATGGAAAGATGAACGTGAGGATGGTCAGTAAACAAAATTTTTTATGGGGTATCACTCATCTACTAAAACCTAATATTTACTACTTTTTTACGATTTGCTACTATTTTAAAAACTTTTTTTTAAATCTGTGGTACTAAAAGCTACTTTTTTTGAGAAAGAAAATTTGTACTACTTTAAATTCGTTGATAGTTGAAGTAAATTAATTATTCTCAACAATTTTAGTAAAATTTTAAGTATAGAAACATTTCAAACAAATTTTGGTAAAATTCTTTGAAACGATTCAATTATTTTCAATATCTACTATCGTTACAAAATTTCCCAAAAAGAATTCAATTATTTAAACGAAATTTGAATAAATTTCTTCCAAAACATTGAATTATTTTCATAAATAATAAAATTTTTACAGAAAGCCACATATTTAAAGACTACAATTTTTATAAAATTTTTCGAAAAACAATTCTTTAAAAAAAATGTTATATAAAATTCTTCGCAGGAAGTTAATTATTTTCACAAGTAATTAAATTTTTTCACCAGAATTCAATTATTTAAAATACAATTTTCATAAAAGTTTTCGAAAAGAATTGAATATTAAATAAGTAAAGTATTTTCCAAGAGCACAAAATTAATAAACCTAAATCCCATAAAAGAGAGGAAAAAATGTTGAATTTTAAGAAATTCGGATTTATGAATTTTTGATAATTTTCGATAATTTTAGATTTTTTACCAAAGAGTCGAGACTATTTTATATGACTGAATGCCATAAAAGAGGAGAAAAAATGTTGAATTTTAAGAAATTGGGATTTTTGAATTTTTGATAATTTCCGATAATTTTAGATTTTTTACCAAAGAGTCGAGACTATTTAATAAGTAAAGTATTTTCCAAAAGCACAAAAATAATGAAGCTAAATGCCATAAAAGAGGAGAAAAAATGTTGAATTTTAAGAAATTGGGATTTTTGAATTTTTGATAATTTCCGATAATTTTAGATTTTTTACCAAAGAGTCGAGACTATTTAATAAGTAAAGTATTTTCCAAAAGCACAAAAAAATACACCTAAATCCCATGAAATTGAGGAAAAAATGTTGAATTTTAAGAAATTCGGATTTTTGAATTTTTGATAATTTTAGATTTTTTACCAAATAGTCGAGACTATTTAATAAGTAAAGTATTTTCCAAAAGCACAAAAATAATGAAGCTAAATGCCATAAAAGAGGAGAAAATATGTTGAATTTTAAGAAATTGGGATTTTAAAATTTTTGATAATTTCCGATAATTTTAGATTTTTTACCAAAGAGTCGAGACTATTTAATAAGTAAAGTATTTTCCAAAAGCACAAAAAAATACACCTAAATCCCATGAAATTGAGGAAAAAATGTTGAATTTTAAGAAATTCGGATTTTTGAATTTTTGATAATTTTAGATTTTTTACCAAAGAGTCGAGACTATTTAATAAGTAAAGTATTTTCCAAAAGCACAAAAATAATGAAGCTAAATGCCATAAAAGAGGAGAAAAAATGTTGAATTTTAAGAAATTGGGATTTTTGAATTTTTGATAATTTTTGATAATTTTAGATTTTTTACCAAATAGTCGAGACTATTTAATAAGTAAAGTATTTTCCAAAAGCACAAAAATAATGAAGCTAAATGCCATAAAAGAGGAGAAAAAAAGTTGAATTTTAAGAAATTCGGATTTTTGAATTTTTGATAATTTTCGATAATTTTAGATTTTTTACCAAAGTGTCGAGACTATATAATAAGTAAAGTATTTTCCAAAAGCACAAAAATAATAAAGCTAAATCCCTTAAAAGAGAGGAAAAAATGTTGAATTTTAAGAAATTCGGATTTTTGAATTTTTTCGAATTTTTGATAATTTTAGATTTTTTACCAAAGAGTCGAGACAATTTCATAAGTAAAATATTTTCCAAAAGCACAAAAATAATGAAACTAAATGGCATAAAAGAGAAGAAAAAATGTTGAATTTTAAGAAATTCGGATTTTTGAATTTTTTCATAATTTTCGATAATTTTAGTTTTTTTACCAAAGAGTCGAGATTATTAAATAAGTAAAGTATTTTCCAAAAGCACAAAAAAAATGAAGCTAAATGCCATAAAAGAGGAGAAAATATGTTGAATTTTAAGAAATTCGGATTTTTGAATTTTTGATAATTTTTGATAATTTTAGATTTTTTACTAAAGAGTCGAGACTATTAAATAAGTAGAGTATTTTTTAGAAGCACAGAAATAATGAAGCTAAATGCCATAAAAGAGGAGAAAAAATGTTGAATTTTAAGAAATTGGGATTTTTGAATTTTTGATAATTTTCGATAATTTTAGATTTTTTACCAAAGAGTCGAGACTATTTAATAAGTAAAGTATTTTCCAAAAGCACAAAAATAATGAAGCTAAATGCCATAAAAGAGGAGAAAAAATGTTGAATATTAAGAAATTCGGATTTTTGAATTTTTTCGAATTTTTGATAATTTTAGATTTTTTACCAAAGAGTCGAGACAATTTAATAAGTAAAGTATTTTTCAAGAGCACAAAAATAATGAAGCTAAATGCCATAAAAGAGGAGAAAAAATGTTGAATTTTAAGAAATTGGGATTTTTGAATTTTTGATAATTTTCGATAATTTTAGATTTTTTACCAAAGAGTCGAGACAATTTAATAAGTAAAGTATTTTCCAAAAGCACAAAAATAATAAAGCTAAATCCCTTAAAAGAGAGGAAAAAATGTTGAATTTTAAGAAATTCGGATTTTTGAATTTTTTCGAATTTTTGATAATTTTAGATTTTTTACCAAAGAGTCGAGACTATTTAATAAGTAAAGTATTTTCCAAAAGCACAAAAATAATGAAGCTAAATGCCATAAAAGAGGAGAAAAAATGTTGAATATTAAGAAATTCGGATTTTTGAATTTTTTCGAATTTTTGATAATTTTAGATTTTTTACCAAAGAGTCGAGACAATTTAATAAGTAAAGTATTTTCCAAAAGCACAAAAATAATGAAACTAAATGGCATAAAAGAGAAGAAAAAATGTTGAATTTTAAGAAATTCGGATTTTTGAATTTTTTCATAATTTTCGATAATTTTAGATTTTTTACCAAAGAGTCGAGACTATTAAATAAGTAAAGTATTTTCCAAAAGCACAAAAAAAATGAAGCTAAATGCTATAAAAGAGGAGAAAATATGTTGAATTTTAAGAAATTGGGATTTTTGAATTTTTGATAATTTTCGATAATTTTAGATTTTTTACCAAAGATTCGAGACTATTTAATAAGTAAAGTATTTTCCAAAAGCACAAAAATAATGAAGCTAAATGCCATAAAAGAGGAGAAAAAATGTTGAATTTTAAGAAATTCGGTTTTTCGAATTTTTGATAAATTTGGATTATTTTTTGTGAATTTTTACCAAAGGGTGGAGACTATTAAATAAGTAAAGTATTTTTAAAGAGCCTAAAAATTTTGAAATTAGATTTAAAATTCGACTGGAATTTCGTAAAAATTTGACCTGGAAATCATGGAAAAGTTATGGAATTTTAAATTCGAATTTCTGTAGGAATCCTGAAATTATTCAATTATTTAAAAAAAAAAATTTTCGCTGAAATTTGAATTATTTTTGTTACTAATAAAATTCTTTGCTAGAATTAAATCATTTTCGCAAATAAAATATTTTGTAACGAAAATAAAATTATTTAAAAAAATTTTGATAAACAACTTTGCAAAAATTCAATTATTTTGAAGAATGTTTAAAAATGCTTCTCAGGAATTCAATTTTTTCTAAAACTTTCAATAAAATTCGGTGCAAAAATTCAATTATTTTTATAAATAATAAAACTGATCGCAGTATTTCAATTATTTTGAATTTTCATACAATTTTTATAAAATTGAGTTATTTTCAAAAGTTTTAAGAAAATTCTTCGCAAAAATTAAATTATTTTCATAACTAATAAAAATTTTTATGAAAATTCATTTATTTAATAAAGAATTTTTAATAAAATCCTTCGAAAAATTCAAGCATTCTAAAAATAAAAAAATAAAATAAAAAACTATTTTTCAAAAGAATTCAATTAAAAAAAAAGTTTTAATAAATATTCAATTATTCAATAAATTATTTATTTTTGTATTTAAATAATTGCAATTTTTTAGAACTTTCTAATAAGAATTGATTAAAAATTGAATAATGGTAATAATAATGGTTGAATTGTGGAAAAATTACGATTGTAATATATAGTAGTTAAATTTTAAAAAGTTTTTACATTGAAATTATTTTTAATGTTTCAATTCTTATGTGGAAAAAGCAATAAGTATTTAATTATTCATTTAACAAGAATTATTATTCAAGTTTTGAATTTTATTCAATTTTGAAATTATGAAAAAAATTAGTCGGTTGAATAAGCGAATTAAAATTTGTTTAAAGATAGTTAAAATAATTAAAGAAGAATAAATTATATTTACAATTATTTGGAAATTTTGTCAAATTTAATTGAAATAAATTTTATATTTCAAAGAATTTTATTTTTTTACTTTTAAAAGTTATTTTGAAATATAATCGTACATGTTGAAGAATTTGAAATAAAAATTTGGAAAATAATTGAATTTTGCCAAAATTTAGAATTGAAGTTATATTAGCAGGAAAAGAAAAAGAGCGCAAATATTTTTTAAATGGAAATTTGGAAAATGGCGGGGAAATAAAATAGATTTAAATTTTTGTGATTTTTATGTATCGTCAATAGGTAAAAATGTCTGTAAAATTCATAACTTATTTTTTAACTGGTCACTTTCAAATGACTTTCAAATTGTCCTTAACTTGACCTTGAAATACTTCGCAGAACTCATTACCAAAAATATATTTTTGTCACAATTCTCTTCATTTTTTTCTTGTAGTGCAATATAAATTGCATCATAAAAATATGAAAATTGAGACTCATTTGAGAATTATGATTATTTCAGGGGAAATGGAACCAGCGCCAATTAAAGAAATAAAGGAATGCAACGAAAAAGACCCAAAAGATAAGGACAAAGACAAGGCGAAAGTAAAAGAGGCAGTTGAAGCGAACGATAAAGAGGATGGCGAAGAAGATGACGAAAAAGGTGATTCAGAGTTGGAAGAAGGTGAGCTGAGCGACGGGGAGGACGCCCGTCCTGAAGAAACGGAACCACGGCCAGTATGTAGATTTTATAATCGGGGTCAGTGCACTTGGGGAGTCAGCTGTAGATTTCTGCATCCGGGCGTCACCGACAAGGGCAATTACACCATGTTCGACATGGTGAGACCCATGGCCTATCCTCCGCATGCAGGTGGTCCACATGAATTCCGACCGCACATTGAGAGGCCAAGTTTGATGCGTCCACTTCCTGGTTTTTCTGCTGCTCCTCCTCATGTGCCGAAAAGTGATGAACTCGTCTCTGAGTCTCCCTGGGAACGCGGCTTACGGCAAGCTAAAGAAGTAAGTTCTGTACTTTTAAGGAAACCAGGCCTCGCACTCATCTACTAAAACCTACTATTTACTACTTTTTTAAGTAGTAAACAAATATCAATCATTAAATACTTTTTTAAGATTTGCTACTATTTGGATACTTTTTTAGGTTTGTGACACTAAAAGCTACTTTTTTCTTACTTTTCTTTTATTTTGAGAATTTGCATAACTTTAAATTCGCTACAGTTGAAATAAAAAAATTATTCTCAAAAATTATAATCAAATTCTTTAAAACGATTCAATTATTTTCAATATCTAGTATTTTCATAAAATTTTGCAAAAGAATTCAATTACTTATTTAAAAAAAAATTTATAAAGTTCATCCAAAATTCAATAAGTTTCATAAATAATAGAATTTCCACAATTAATTAAAAATTAATTAATCAATTAATCTAAAATAGAATTTTCAAAAAATTCAATTATTTTGACAAATAAAGTATTTCACAAGAATTCAATTATTTAAAATAAAATTTTCATAATATTTATTATATTTCGGAAAAATTAATTATTGAAAACAATGTTTATAAAATTCTTATGAAGAATTCAATTATTTTCAATAGTAACAAAATTTTTTGCAGAATTATTTTAAATACAATTTTAATTAAATTTTTGTTAAATAATTCAATTATTCTTTTAGATTTTAATAAAATTCTTCTTAACAATTCAATTATTTACATGAATAATTCTTCGAAAGAATTCAATTATTAATGATAAATAACAAAATTATTCCCAAAAATTCAATTACTTTGAGGCATTTTAATAAAATTCTTTGCAAAATTCAATTATCTTCACAAATAACAATATTCATCACAAGAATTCAATTATTTTGAAAAGTATCTAATAAATTTCTTCTTAGAAATTCAATTATTTTCAAAAATTTCAATAAAATTTTCCGAAAGAATTTAATTATTTAAAAAAAATTTTGATAAAATTCTACACAAAACATTCAAATTATTTTCATAAATAATACAAATTTCACAAAAATTCAATTTTTTAAAATAGAATTTGCATAAATTTATTGGAAAGAATGAACTATTTAAAACTGTTTTAGAAAAATCTGAGCAAGAATTAAATTTTTTTCACAAATAATACAATTTTTCTCTGGAATTCAATTATTTAAAAAATTTTAATAAAATTCTTCACAAGAATTCAATTATTATTATATAAAATGTTTCTCAGGGATTCAATTATTTTCATAAATAATAAAACTCATAGCAGAGATTCAATTATTTTCAAAAATTTTAATAAAATTCTTCCCATAAAAATTTTCGAACAAAATCAATTATTTAAACAAAATTTTAGGAAAATTCTTCATGGGAATTAAATTATTTAAAAAAAAAATGTAATGCAATTCTTCGCTAAAATTCGATTATTTTCATAAATTGTAATAAAATTATATTTACCTAAGAATTGAATTGCAAATTATTTTTAAAATTTTTATTAAAAAATTCTTTGAAAGAATTCAAGTTTAAGAAATAAGAGTTGATTTAAAATTTTAGATAATAATTGAATATTAGAAGCGTTGTATTATAAATTTTTAAAATTAATTAAATTTTAAAAGATTTTTAAATTGAATTGTTTGAAAATTTTAATTGTTGTAAAAGTGCTAAAATTAAAATTTAGAAAATTATTGAATTTTGGGTAAAAATTTAGAAGTGAAGTTATGTATTATCAGTATATGAAAAAACGTAAATACTTTTGATGAAAATTTAAACAAATCAGGGAAATAAAATGCAGAATTAAATTTTTGTGATTTGTCTGAATCAACTAAAACCAGTTAATTATTTGGTCGTCAAATTTGATTCTTTGATAGCTACTTTTTTTAGTTTAAAAGTTACTTTTTAATAAGTAATGATAGAATGCGAAGCCTGTATATAGACAAATCGACGAAACTTAAATTTTACGATTCTCGAATCAATCAACTTGAAAATGTGTTTTATTTTAAATTAAGCCGTAATTTATCATTATATTTAGCTAAATTATGTACAAAGTAACATTTATGTACAGAATTAAACCAAAATATTAATTTGTCAAATAATTTTTGAAAGTTACCATTACCACAAAAGGTTTTTAAATATTTTGAATTTTATAAATGCAGATGATGAGAAAGGCGAACAAACGTAAAGAATCTGACATGGATTTCGAGGAAAAGAAGATGAATTTGAGTTTAGGCCAAGAGGAGCTCGACAGAGAAGCCGGATATTACGTAAGACCAGCGAGTCCCGAACCACCAATAGAACGATGGCCACCACGAGAACCTCCACAAAGAGTTTCGCGAGCACCTGCTCCGAGAATAACGCCAGATCACTATGTAGACGAACCTGAAGGATATTATCCACCAACGCCCCACGAGTATTACAGGTTCAATTTTCACCTATCTTATTCAATTAAATCAAGTTTCTTATATTTTTCAAATCCTTGAAAATTCTTCAAGTCAGTTTGTTAGAAAAAATAAAAGAGTTAATTAAGTAAAAGAGTTAATTAAGAATGTTAATTTATTTTTAGACGAGTTCAGTACAAATCGGAAGGTAGAGGAGGTGGAGGAGGAGGAGGAGGAACAGGTATGGAGAATTATAGAGAACGTTATGATTATCATAACGTTCAACCACGTAATGCTCCACATTCAAATTCGCCACCGTCTCATCCGCGCGAGCGAGAACGGGACAGGGAACGTGAACGCGAAAGAGAACGTGAATATTACGAAAAGTATGAAAAGAAACATAAACGACCCTCTAGGGAAGTCATTGTGGAACGGATCCCGTCATCTAAAACATGGAGAGAAGAGGAACCACCACCGACAGAAAGAACTCGTGGAGACGAGTGGGCCGATCCTTGGATGCGTCGAAAATCCCCTGGTTCTGTTCGCAGAAACCGAACCTCCTCGAAGAGATCTCGACGACAGTCTTATTCTTCAGGTTCATCGTACACATCGAGCAGGCAAGTCTTCCACAAAATGAAACTTCACCTTTTTATTTATTTTAGTGATGTTTATAAATTACGAAAAGTCTTTAGCTACTCGTCGGGTGGATACGTTATTAAACAAATTATTTCTAAGATAAGTAAATGTTCCTCAATAATTTTACTGAATTTCGATATCAACTAAACAATTGACTTACGCTCCACACATTATATTAGAAAATTCCGCTAAGAACAACGCCGCGATTGATTTAAAGAAAAGATTTATAATTTCATTTAAAAGAATCAAAAACCTTGCTTAACATTTTACGTTGATTTTTTAGAGTGTATGGTCCAAATTCAATCTTTTTTTGTTTCTTGATTTTGTAGTAAAGTTTGAAATTATAAACTTTTAGCTCTAGCCGTAGTTCGAGCCATTCTAGCTACACTTCTTATGACTCCCAATCCAGGTCCAGATCACCATCCCCTCCTTCTAGGTCCCGTGTAAGCACAAAAACCAAACCTATAACCGCTCCTCCTGCCACTGTTGTTGCACCACCAGTGCGTGGTGCAATGCTGATGAACCCACCTGCTCCCTCTCCTCGAGGTAGTAAAGGCTCAACTTCACCAACTGGAACTCTACATCGAAGAGCTGGACTCAATCCACCGGCGCCGAGTCCATTGACCACGCATCCTCGACACAATGACAAAGCCAGGGACAAGGCAGCTCTTGCCGCTGCTGCTGTTGCTAAAGTTATTAAGAGCCATTCGCAATCCAGGTGAATCATTTTTATTTTTACTTAATAATTCCTGATAATTTCTTCCTTTCAGCTTGATTGACCCATAAATGGGTTACGAAATAAAAAGAATAATAGAATATAAAACAAAAAATTATGTAAGATTTACAGGCTTCACAGTCTGTCCCCTATTTCCCTAAAAGTCCCCTTTTTTATTTTGGCCCCTAAACGTACCCTATTTTCAAAATTTCCTCTATTCTTTTCGTCGCAGAAAATCAATTATTTTCAATAATTTTTAAGTAATTCTGCAAAAGAATTCAATTATTTTTGATAACGAACTGAATTCTCCTCATAAAATCAATTATTTTAAGGATTTTTAATGAAATTCTTATCCAAAATTCAATTATTTTGATAAATATCAAAATTTTTCTATAGAATTCAATTATTGTCGAAAATTTTAATTAAATTCTTGACAAAATTTCAATTATTTAAACAAAATTTAATAAAATACTTTGCACGAATTCAATTATTTTTATAAATTTAAATGAATATCTCGTCAAGAAATCAATTATTTTTATAAATAGCAAAATTTTTCGACAAAAATTCAATTATTTTCAAAAATCTAAATAAAATTCTTTGCAACATTTCAATTATTTAAAAAATTTTTTTGCAATTCAATGTTTTTAAATATTTACTATTTTTATAAAATTCACCAAAATATTTAATTACAGAAAAAACTTGTTGATACAATTCTACGAAAAGATTCAATTATTTTCATAAATAATAAAATTTCATTTACGAATTCAATTATTTTTAATTGAATCATCGCAGAATTTCAAATATTTTTAATACAATTTTAAATAAATTCCTTGAAAAATGCAATTATTATTAAAAATTTTATTAAAACTGGAGGAAAGAATTCAATTTTAAGAAACATTTAATTATTCAATAAAACAATAAAATTCGTTGCAATAGTTCAAGTATTTTCATAAACAACATTTAATTCGTCGCAGAAAATCAATTATTTTCAACAATTTTTAAGTAATTTTACAAAAGAATTCAATTAGCTTGATAAAAAAACAAAATCGCATAAATTCTTCCCATAAAATCAATTATTTTCAAAAATTTTAATAAAATTCTTTGCAATATTTAAATTATTTTTAAAAGATTTTCGCAATTCAATGTTTCTAAATATTTAGGTACTATTTTCATAAAATTTTTAAGTAATTTTGCAAAAAAATTCAATTATCTTGATAAACAACAAAATCGCATAAATTCTTCCCATAAAATCAATTATTCTAAGGGATTTTATAATAAAATTCTTTTCCAAAATTCAATTATTTTGAAAAATAATAAAATTTCATTTACGAATTCAATTATTTTCATCGCAGAAATTTAAATATTTTTAATACAATTTTTAATAAATTCCTTGACAAATGCAATTATTATTAAAAATTTTATTAAAACTTGAGGAAAGAATTGAATTTTAAGAAACATTCAATTATTCAATAAAACAATAAAATTCGTTGCAATAATTCAAATATTTTCATAAATAACATTTAATTCGTCGCAGAAAATCAATTATTTTTAAAAATTTTTTAAAAATTCTCATCAAGAATTAAATTATCTTTATAAATAGATAGGGAAATTCTTCTCAAGAATTAAAATATTGTCAAATTTTTTTTTTAAATTCTTCTCAATAAGTTTATTATTTTCAAAAATTTTAATAAAATTCTTCTCATGAATTCAATTGTTTTAAAAAATGATTATTTAAATTCTTCTCAGGAATTCAATTATTTTTAAAAAATTGAATAATAATTTATGTTATTGATTTAAAGTAGAATTTTAGTTAAAAATTCTAGAAAATTAGAATTGAATTGAAATGATAGAAATAATTTTGAAGAAATTACAGTAACAATATTCTTATAATAATAAAATAATGATTTTGGCAGTCGGTCATCTTTAATTATTATAAAACATGAAGAAATCGATTGCTTCGAGTCGAAGACTCGGAGTGATCGATTTCTTCATGTTTTATAATAAATATTCTCATAAATTGTTGAATTTCGAAAAGATTTGAATTTTAATATTTTGAAAATCTTAATTCCAATGGAAAAATAATAATGATTAAATATTTTTTTTAAAGTTATTGCTGTTTTCGAATAATTTTACAGTTAAAGAAATTCGTAAATAAATGTAATAGAACCCTGCTTGATTTGAAATGAATTCAGCCTGATAATTTAAATAATTTTTTTTGCAGATCATCTCACAGTAGTTCCGGATCGGATAGTAGCGGAAGTAGCAGCGATTCAAGTGAATCAAGTTACTCATCCTCATCGAGTGAATCGCGAAGAAAGAAAGGCGCCACTCCGCCTATTCGCAAAGATGCGAAGGCTCTCGATGCGCTCAAGGTGAGCGGCAATAAACAACAAATAAAGTTGACATTGAAACCCTCGCAGAATGTGCCAGCAGTCAAGAAAGTAGATCGTAGTGCAACAATTGCCGGCAAGAAGAGACCTTCAGACACTTCTCCAACGGCCGACAGCAAAGCAAGTGTTGCCGCAGCCGCTGCAAAGGCAGCGAAAAAGGCCAGTTCACGACGCGAGGAACTATTAAAGCAACTCAAAGCTGTTGAAGACGCTATCGCGCGCAAAAGATCAAAAGTTTAAACTCAAATAATTTGATAAAAAAGTTACTTTGCTATATATGTTACTTTACCATTAAATTCTTTGAGTAAACACATAAATGTGTAGTAAGTTTTTTTAATTTACAGAAAATATGTTAAAAGATGGTCATCTTTGTTTTTTATAAACAAACTTTTATACGCCTGTGCATTTTATGATTGTGCTCTAGTTTTTTTTTTTTTTAAAGAAATGCGTATAAATAAAGTGTCCGTTACTTTTCTCTTTTTTGTGTTAAATTTCCACCTAGAAATTTGCGAAATAAAGTAAAGTTGGAAATGAAAAAGAAAAGAAATTTTTTATTATAATTATAGATAATTCCCGATTTTAATTTAACATTCATCTCATGTATTTGTAAATACATATATATTAAATTTTAAAATATGGTAAAAGTAAATTATCAACAGTTTAGGTACATTCTTTTTCCAATAGTGAGAAATTCATTTCACTAAAATACTGAATTTTATTGTGTACCTTCTCAGGTACATCGCACAACCAAATCAAAAACAATAAATAAAAACTTTTGCAACGGTTAAAAAATATTAATTTGCATGCTAATGCTGTCGCTAAAGAGCAATAAAATACTTTTTTAGAAATTATGAATTTCAGCCTTTTCTTAATAATAGCAGTGAAAATTACTTGTCGATACTGACTAATATGACTTTTGTTTTAAGTAATGGACCTTACTAGCTTAGAATTTCAGTTGTAAAATAGATTTTCTTGTAATACGTATTAAAATTTAAAGAAAAATTATTAATAAGCACATTAGAGTCGTACAGAGAATTTTATTTGCCATTATGCTACTCCCTAATTTTATTTTATGGCAAAAAGTACGAGAAAAGAGTAAATATTGACAGAAAATAAAGTAACATATTTTATATCTACTTTATTTTCTGTCAATATTTACTCTTATGGCCGAGGTTTTAAAATTACTATGTTTCTATTTTTAGGATTTCTTTACATTATATATTATTACTATCAAAAATGTATTGTTCATTATTTACGTATTATTAAAAATATTTTTCATGAAAAGTTGAAAAGCAATAAAATAAAAAAAATTGCATTTATTAGATAGTAAGAAAGTAAAAAGAATAAATTGTTTATACAAACATTGTACCTACTCTAATGTACTTATTAGGTTCTTAAAACAATATATTATTTTAAAAAATATATCGTCGGTTGAAAAAGAAACGCGCCACTTCCGACTAGTTGTGAAAAACGTGCCGTTTAGAAAAAGTGTTAATAAATGTAGTGAAAAAAAGAGTATTTTTTTTAATGTCTTTCTTTTAATTAATTACAGGGCTCGAACTAGGTCCGTAAATTTGCTTCAAGTTCGTAAAAGTCCGTTTTAAAAAAAAAAAAAAAAGGTCCGTAAAGTCCGTAATATAATTTGATAGAAAAAGGACGAAAAGTCCGTAATTTGATAGAAAAAGGACAAAAAGTTCGTAAATTATAAGATATAATTTGGAGAATTTTAGAGAAATTATAAATGATTGCAGAAATTCAGTAATTGTCAAAAGTAATAAAATTCTTCGCAAAAATTCAATTATGTTTAAAAATTTTTAAAAATTTCTCGTCAAAATTTCAATTATTTTTAAAAGTAATAAAATTCTTCTCCAAAATTCAATTATTTTCAAAAATTTTTATAAAATTCTTGGCAAACATTTAATTTTTTTCATAAAATAATAAAAATTTCACAGGAATTCAATTATTTACAAATTTTCTAAAAATTTCTTCGCAATAATTCAATTATTTTCATAAATAATAAAATTTTTACAGGGATTCAATTATTTTCGTAAATAATAAAATACTTTTTAGTAATTTAATTATTTTCATATAAATAATGAAACTCATTGCAGAATTTCAATTGTTACAATTTTAATTTAAATTCCTCGATGAATGTAATTATTTTCAAAAATTTTATTAAAATTCGTCGAAAGAATTCAATTATTTAAAAATTTGTTAAAATTATTTATAAGATTTGAATTTTAAGAAACATTAAATTATTCGATAAATTTTTTTTTTGCATTACAAATTATTGCAGAAATTTAATATTATGTTCAAAAATAATAAAATTCTTCTTATGGATTCAATTGTTTTCAACAAATAATAAAACTTTTCGCAAAATTTTAATTATTTTTAATACAATTTTAAACAAATTTCTTGAAATATGTTATTATTTTTAAAAATTTTGTTAAAATTCGTCGAGAGAATTAATTTATTAAAAAATTTGTTTGATAAAATAAAATTTTTTACGAGCATTTAATTTTAAAAAACATTCAATTATTAATAAATTATTTAATTTTGTATCTAAATAATTGAATTCTAGTAGAACTTTTTATTAAAAATTGATTTTAAAATGAATTTTAGTTAAAATTTTACATAATAATTGAATAGAGCATTTTTGGATAAATTTTTAGAAATAATTGAATTGAGAAAAGGTTTTATGTCAAAATTTTAACTATTTTCAATCATTTCAAAAAAAAATGTTGATAAAATTCTACGCAAACATTTGATTATTTTCATAAATAATAAAAATTTCACAGAAATTCAATTATTTACAAATTGTTTCACAATAATTCAATTATTTTCATTAATAATAACATTTTTACAGGGATTCAATTCTTTTCACAAATAATGAAACTCATCGTAGAATTTCAATTATTTTTAATACAATTTTAATCAAATTTCTCGAAAAATCAAATTATTTTTAAAAGTTTTATTAAAATTCGTCGAAAGAATTTAATTATTTAAAAATTTGTTGATAAAATTCTTTATGAGAATTAAATTTTAAGAAACATTAAATTAATAAACTATTTATTTTTATATTTAAATAATTGAATTCCAGTGGAATTTTCAAATAAAAATTGATTTATCAATAAATTTCAGTTAAAATTTTAGATAATAATTATTTTCAGGAATAATAAAACTCATCATAGAATTTCAATTATTTTTAATACAATTTTAACCGAATTCCACGAATAATGTAATTATTCTTGAAAATTTTATTAAATTTCGTAAAAAAAATTTGATTATCTAAAAATTTGTTGATAAAATTCTTTATGAGAATTCAATTTTAAAAAACATTCATTCATTCAATAATTTTTTTATTTAAATATTTAAATTTTCTTAGAATTTTCTAATAAAAATTGATTTAAAAATGAATTTCAGTTAAAATGTTAGATAATCATTGAATATTAAAAGCAATATAGCGTGAATTTTTAGAAATAATTGAATTTTGAAATTAATTTTTTTTTTTTTAAAAAGTTTAATTGAATTTTTTTATATTATTTCAAGTTTTCATTTTCTAATGTTTATTTAATTGAAGAATTTACGAATAATTGAAATTCGTAATATTGAACAATGTAAACAAATGGATTTGAAAATTGTCAAAGAATTTTTTCGAAAATTAATTGCTTTAAAGAAGAATTTTGGTTGAAAATTCTTAGAAATAATAATTTAAGGGCATCCGGGAAAAATCGAGCCCAAAAAGTGTTTTCCCGCGTGTCGTCTCACTCCTAAATAATTAGAGATATTTAGTTCGGATTTATCATGATAATTAGGGGAATTCATGATGATAAAGAATATTCTCGAAATTTGCAAGTAATTTTTGAAATAAATATTGAAAAACGAAATTACAAAAGTTGGATTTTTGGCGAAAGTGAGAGACAATATGGCGGCGAGCACACAGACAAGTGGATCTATGTGTCAGTGGTCAAGGAGGTGGCGCCAATTCTCGGAAGTGGTCGCGGGTTGAACTGAGGGAAATGTATTAACCTCAAATTACTCCACTTTCAATCGTTAATAAAATAATTTCCTCGCAAAATTATTGCAAAAACGGAGAGGGCCGCTCCTCGGAGAGTCTTCCTCTATCACCCCTCCAAATATGAACCCGAAATATTTTATCCTCTCAAAATGAGACGTCTATACTGAACCGTGAAAAACCCCTTTTTTCCGTATATTTCAACAATTTTTTTCAATAATTATTTATTAAAATTTTTTTAAATTCCGAGAAGACCGCTGGTCCCAGAGCATTTCTCTATATTTACCAAAAATTCCCGACTCAAAATATTCTTTTCTTTTTAAATGAGACGTCTATCACGAAACCAGTATTATTTCCCGGATGCCCTTAATTGAAATGATGAAAATAATTTTGAAGAAGTGCAATATTCTTATAATATAAAATAATCATTTTATGACTGGGCCATCTTTAATTATTATAAAATTAAATTTATAGTTTTAAGTAAAATTGTTTTCTTATTTGACTCATTAAATTTTTGTCAGAAATTATTCCGTAATTTTTTTTAAATACTTTCACTGGTTCGAGCCCTGTAATTATTTTTATAAATAAACAATAAAAATAAAATATAAAATTTAATTATAAAAAAATTTAGAAAGTAGATTTATTAAAATATTTAATTAAATTAAGATTTGTCAAATTCGCCTTTCATTATTTTTGATATCGGAGTGGTTTCCAATTTATTTTCGATCTCGGGCCTAACACGTCAGGATTTTTAGAAAAATGGTGACAAAAACACAAAAAAGGTGTTTTTGAGGATTTTCTTTTTCGAAGCAGCACGTTTTTCATAACTAGTCGGAAGAGACGCGTTTCAGTTCCCAACCGACGCTATTTCGAGTATTGCGTGAGTATTAATTTATAGAAATTAAAATTTAGTGTCGACATGTAAAAATTACAATACTGCCAGGGGCAGAGCCAGAAAAATAAAACCCCCTGGCTGCGCCCCTGAATATACTGTCGAAAAGTTTATCAGTATCTTTCTTGTTAATTAAAAAAATACAAATATAGCTTAAATTTCAGTGAGGTTTTAAATTTTTAATACTTGAAGAATTAAATTGAAATTGCAGTCGCTCTAACGGCTGCACTTAAAAGTGGATTTGGATCGGGTTCTTCCGTGAGAACAGTAACTTTCGTCCACTCTCGTCGCTTGTTGCTCTGTCGTAGTGCATCGATAACGGCCTGAACGTAAAGGCCATCCTCGAAAGTTGCAGCTGAAGAGACGGGCTCCTTTATCCACCCTCGTTTGTCTTCGACAGGTAAGAAGGCTTCTCGCAGGGCACCAATCATTTTTCTCAAACCCTTGATGTAGGGACGAGGAATGAAATCCACGACGGAGGAACACGAGTCCTGTAGATGTTCAACATCTAAATATAAAACGTCCTCCTGTTCCTCTCGACATCCGTGTAAATCCCCCCCACGTACGACAAGATGACCACCAGGTCCACAAACTAATATCTCCTGCGACAATTGGCCCTGGAGGTGATTACTGAGAGTCGCTGTCACTAGGGTTCCACCATTAAGTTCCATTTGAAAGGTGCAAAAATCTGGTGCGGTAACGTTACGTATTCCTGTTATGCTTTTTGTCGTTCGAGTAAATGTTCGTATTACTGCGTGCACTCGAACAGCTCGTTGGCCGATTAAATGATGCACCAAGTCTATCACGTGACTGCCTACTAGAGCTAAAATCCCACCTCCCATTGTATCGTCGCACAGCCAGTCGTATCCTGCAATTTTTTTATAGTAAAAAATTACTAAAAAAAAATTTAGTAATTGTAGAAATAAGAACTTTTCATATTGTAAAATTTGAAATTTTTTTTTGTTTTTTTAATTAACATTTTTCCTAGTGAATTGTTTATGAATCATAATTGCAAACATTTTTATATCGAATATTATTTTTACTCTTGGTGAACATTTCCATTTTATTCTACTAAACTCAGGCTTCAAAGTCTGTCCCCTATTTCCCCAAAAAAATTTAATGCAATTATCCTGATAAATTGCAAATAAAATGCAATTCTTCACAGAAATTCAAAAATTTTTAGGAATTTTAATAAAATTCTTTACAAAATTCAATTATTTCCATAAATTACAATATTCATCCCAAGAATTCAATTACTTTCAAAAGTAATAAAATTCTTCGAAGAAATTCAATTATTTTTAAAAATTTTCACGAATATCTCGTCAAGAATTCAATTATCTTTACAAATAGCAAAATTTTTCGCCAAAAATTCAATTATTTTCAAAAATTTAAATAAAATTCATGGCGAAATTTCAATTATTTTTAAAAGTTTTTCGCAATTCAATGCGTTTTTAAATATTTACTATTTTCATAAAATTTATCAGCAGTTTTAATAATAGAAAAAACTTTTTGATACAATTCTCCGAAAAGATTCAATTATTTTCATAAATAATAAAATTTCATTTAAAAACTCAATTATTTTTAATTGAATCATCGCAGAATTTCAAATATTTTTAATACAATTTTAAATATATTCCTTGAAAAATGCAATTATTATTAAAAATTTTATTAAAACTTGAAGAAAAAATTCAGTTTTAAGAAACATTCAATTATTCAATAAAACAATAAAATTCGTTGCAATAATTCAAATATTTTCATAAATAACATTTAATTCGTCGCAGAAAATCAATTATTTTCAAAAATTTTTAAGTAATGTTGCAAAAGAATTCAATTATTTATCTTGATAAACAACAAAATCGCATAAATTCTTCCCATAAAATCAATTATTCTAAGGAATTTTAATAAAAATTTTTTCCAAAATTCAATTATTTTGATAAATGTCAAAATTCATCACAAGAATTCAATTCTTCTGAAAAGTAATAAAATACTTTGTAGAAATTAAATTATTTAAATTTTTTTTAAAAATTCTCGTCAAAAATTAAATTATGTTTATTAATAGATAGGGAAATTCTCAAGAATTAAATTGTTGTCAAAAATTTTTTTAAATTCTTCTCAATAACTCAATTATTTCCAAAAATTTTAATAAAATTCTTCTCATGAATTCAATTGTTTTCAAAAATCATTATTTAAATTCTCTCAGGAATTCAATTATTTTTAAAAAATTTAATAATATTCTTCAAAAAGTTTTCAATTATTTTCAAAAATTGTTATAAAATTCTTTAATATAATAAATTTCATTAAAATTTTAATTAAATTCCTTAATTTTCTCAAGAATTCAATTCTTTTCAATAATCGTATTAAAATTCTTTGCAAAAAGTCAATTTATAATATAGATAATAAAAATCTTTGTAAAAAATTCAATTATTTTTATATAAATAATAAAAATTCTTATCAGGATTTCACTTATTTTCAATAAAATTTTTATTGATTTATTCGAAGATTTCAATTATTTTTAAAAATCTTGTAAAAATTCTCCGAGAAAATTGAATTATTTAAAAAAATAATTGAATTTTTCACAGGAGTTCAATTATTTAAAAAACTTTTAATAAAATTTAATTCAAGAATTCCATTATTTTCTTAAACAATGAAATTTTCGCTGGAATTTAATTATTTTAAATACAATTTTAATTCCATTCCAAGGAAAATTAAATTATTTTTAAACATTTTTTTTTAAATTCTTCAAAAGAATTCAATAATATCAATAAATAATTGAATTGAAATTGAAAATTGAAATTGAAAATTGAATTTTTTTAAGGAATTTTATTAAAAATTTTGTGAAAATAATAATTTTTCTAAAAGAATTTGATCAAAATTGTTGAAAATAATTAAATTTTTTTGAAAATTCTTGAAAATAATAGAATTTAATTAATATTTTAAAAAATAATTGTATTCTTCGAGAAATTTGATTAAAATTGTATTGAAAATAATAATTGAATTTTATTATTTATGAGAATAATGAAATTCTTGCTTAAAAATTTTTTAAATGTTTTGAATAATAATAAACAAGAATATTTAATATTATGTACTTAATAAGTGAATTTTTTAAATTTAAAATCTAATCATTTAAAAATTGGTGTTTATTCTTGAAAATATAAAATTTTAACTTTAAATAAAAATTAGTCAATGTTGGCGAAACATTATTATTTGTTCATCCATTGGTGCAGTGATCTTAATTTTTAGCTTTTGTAAAAAAAACCCAGAGAGTAATAGATAATTGATATTATTTTAAAAAGTAATTGTTACCGTCATGCAGTAAGCTGCCCATTTGAACTCTGATATCAATTACAGTTGCAAGTCCCCCAAGAAATCCATCTTCCAAAGCCTTCTTCATTTGTATAAATGCCGGCAGAAATCTTAAACTGTGATTTATAATACTTATCAGAGAAGGATAATATTGGGCGGCCCGAACCATTTTCAGAGCTTCACTCTGACTCAATCCACCGGGTTTGTCACAGACCACATGTTTGCCAATTCCCAGAGCTTTCACCGCAATTTGCGCGTGCAAACTTGGCGAACACATTATGAAAATTAAATCGACGTCCCTTCTTAAGAGCACATCGTCAATTCGACTCGTGTGAAATGGAATTTCCAAGTCTGTCGCCAATTCTGAGGCTTCTGCAATTGTTCTGCCCCATAGTGCTTCAATTTTAAATCCTTTTTCACGAAGAAATGGAATTATAATCTTAACGATATTTCCAGTTCCAAATACTCCAATTCCTGGCAACATTGTGTTGTTGTTTTTTTTTTTTTTTGCAAAATAAATAGTTCACAATTACCGCCTTTTAGCTTCAAGTGTTTAAATTATTTTAACTTAAATAAATTAGAGAAATATTCTTTTAATAATTATTTTGTTTTGTTCAAATTTGATCACTTGAAACACACAAGTTTTGTGTTTATTTATAGTTTTATATGTTCATTTTACTTTTATTGTTAATTTATTATTCAAAAATTTCATCATTGTTTTTTCACATGCATTGTTATTGAACACATATTTTCTACAATTATATTGTAGACGCAAGTTATAGATTGATAAATTTTATAAAAAATATTATTTTGTACATATTTTCTGAGTTAAAAAAAACTCAAGAGAACTAAGAAATATTTAAAAATGAGGAGGTTAGTTTTGTTGACATTTCTGTTTTTTGGGTTTTTTGACAGCTTCTCTTCTTCTTCTTCTTCTTCCGATTCTTTTTACAAAAACATTTACTTTAAAGCCTACGCCACAACTGAGTCAGTTACGTAAATTAAAACGGAAGAACAGAACGGAGTATAGGCCTAAAGGTGCTAACACATCTTCTACACATTGTCTTTCTCTCTCCTATGTCAGAGACATAAGTTTGTCTCTCTCTCTCTATATATTTTCTACTTTGGGAAAATGTAGAGTGAGACAAATTTATGACTCTGACATAGGAGAGAGAAAGAAGAATAGTTTTTCCAAAATTCATGTGACGGGCCCTAAGCTGTGTTGTCGACACAGCCTAAAGAATCAATTTTACCTATTGTGAATGCTCCATAAAGTGAAAAAAGTGGTGACTGTAGAAACACCCAAAAATGATAAAGGGGAACGCACAACAGCTTCACAAAAGTCACTTCGCGAACGTGAAGCATGAGTTTGAAAAAGATGAATTTTTAAATTAAATGAATTAAATACAAAATTTGATTGTTTATAATATTAAACATTAGTCTTAGATTCTTTGATTTTGTCATACTTTTATTTTAAAAAATTTGTTAATATCGGTAATCCTTTCACATATTAGTTTTTGAGGTTAGAATATTTGTTTGGATTTACTCTCTGTAAATAAATAATTTTTATTTGATTTTGTAAATTTTATAAAATTTACATAATGATGAATACAATAATAGGCAATGAGAGGGAGATAATTAAACTTTTAAGAACAGCAGGTTGCTGTCATAGATGTTGTTTACGTTTTATTGGATCAAGAGAAACAAATTATTACGAAGATCCTTTATTAGCACTGGAAAAGGTAAACATTATTTTTTAATAATTAGAAAATTTAATATAAATGTATGGATCACTATAAAAATGTCAACAATCACTTTTTTTTGTAAAATGGATTCACTCACAATCATTCTCTAATCTAAATTTGTCAGACTTGATAATTAATAAATTCTGATGAGGAAACCGGTACCGGTTTTGAAAGGATACAATTTATAGCTTTGCATTAAGTGAAACTAGAACGTTTTAGGAGTTTATTAACCAAAATATAATTTATACCATTTTTTTAACTATTTAATACAATTCAGAATCTTTGAAAAAATGGTTTCAGTTGGAATATTTAGATAAATCTGACATTGTAAATACTCCTTGCACAGTATGCTTAGGTATTTTACAAGATGAATTATTTCAAAGCGCCATTCAAAAGGTAAATTTTTTTCATTTTTCATATTAGATAATTTATGTACTATAAAATTTATTGTCTAAATTATTTACTAAAATAATAAAATTTCAGACATCAGAGGAAATTATTCGAGGGAATTATGACTGCGACACTTTTACTGTTGCACTGACTATTCCAGTTTTAATTCTACTTAGAGAGCGTTCTCTACAAATTTATTTATCCCAGTCATTGAAATTATCTGACGAAGCATTTCGCGAATTGAAATTACAAACGCAAAGTATTAAAGAAATTTGGAAGTTATTGGCTGTACCAAAAATTGAGAATTTAACGAATAAGATTGGAGAAGCTCAGAAAGTTACCTCTGTCTTTCTTGTTGATATTTTTTTCTCACATTCTCGCGATGAAGAAGAATGTGTTGCCTTGTAAGTTAAAATAATTATTTTTTTTATTTTTTATAGTATTTGAGTGTTTATTTATTTTTAAGGCTCGTATTTGTAAATTCACACTTTTCAGATTAAAAAAATGCAATGCTGAAAAGAAGTCAGGCAATTCAAGACATAAAAATAGGGAAATTAGTTACAGTAGAAAAAATGTGGAATCTACATTGGACACTTTAAATGACGATCAATTTGTAGATAATTGTACAATTCCACCAACGTCTGTTGAAAATTTTGCAACCATTGATAAAGTGAATTGTGCTCACAGTAGTCTTTTCATAGGAGGTAGAAAAATCTTTTTGTCGATCTTTTTAAAATTATTTATTATACTCTCTATTTATTTATTTTTTTAATTGTGTTCTCATTGCAGGTCGTTATAATAAACTTTCGAGGAATTTATGCCAAACTCCTTGGTTTATTAATGGGGAGAGAAAAATGGAAACATCTGTGCAAGAACTTCTTTGTGATCCAATTCTCAAACACGTACAAGCTGATTGTACGTAACAAAATTGTTTAACCGATTTTAAAGTGTCAATAGAACAATTTCACGTGGAATCGCCCTTTATAAAATATTATGGGCGATTCCACATGAAATTTTTTTATTTGTTGAATAAATTTAAATGATTTACAGCGATGAAGTTTCTTTCTTCTGGAAGAGAAGACGTAGATGTGAGAATGTTAAATAATGGCAGACCTTTTGCAGTCGAATTACTTAATCCTAGAATTACAAAATTTCCCGAAGGATTTGAAAAGTTGGTCATGGATATCAATAAAAATTCGGAAATCGTTCAAATCACGAGCAACTTAAAACTTCTTTCCAAGTAAAAATAAAACATTTTTCTACGAAATAAATTTTATTTAATTATATTGCTACTGAAATATTTGTCTCTACTCTTTAATTTACAATTTCTTTCTTATTTTTTTCAGACTAGACTTAAAGAAGTTGAAAGAGGGTGAAAACGAAAAAACCAAGAATTATCGAGCTTTTTGCATTTGTAAGCCAAATGAAAATACTAGCGATTTAATTAATAAATTGAATGATTTGAAAAATCTGGAAATTGTCCAAAAAACACCAATTAGAGTTTTGCACAGACGTCCATTAGCTTCTCGAATTCGAATGATACACTCGATAAGAGCTCAGTTGATAAAATCCGAAGAGTTGGAGAAATTTTCTGTAGAATTGAAAAATCTTGAAGGAAATGAACTTTTTGTTGTTGATGTTAAGACTCAAGCAGGTACTTATGTCAAGGAATTTGTACACAGTGATTTTGGTAGAACAGTTCCAAGCTTGTGCAGTCTTCTTCAAACGGATGTTGATATTATTGCACTGGACGTTACAGGAATCAACCTGAATTGGCCTTGATATTATTAACGTTATTAATAATAGGTTGCAGTATGTATAATAACTTGAATTTACTTTAGATAAATACATACATTTTTTAATTTTACATATTTTAATTATTATCAATATATATTTTTTATACAATAAGTTTTTCTAAAATAATGCATAAAATATGCATTTATAAAGTGATCCATACAATTTATACAAAAAATAGGTACATGTTTCAATTAGCTTGATAACCAACAAAATTCTCTCCATAAAATCAATTATTTTAAGGATTTTTAATGAAATTCTTTTCCAAAATTCAATTATTATGATAAATATCAAAATTCTTCTCAAGAATTCAATTATTGTCAAAAATTTCAACTAAATTCTTGGCAAAATTTCAATTATTTAAACAAAAATTAATAAAATACTTTGCACGAATTTAATTATTTTTATAAATTTTAATGAATATCTCGTCAAGAATTCAATTATTTTTATAAATAGCAAAATTTTTCGCCAAAAATTCAATTATTTACAAAAATTTAAATAAAATTTTTTGCAACATTTCAATTATTTTTTAAGGTTTTTCGCAATTCAATGTTTTTAAACATTTACTATTTTCATCAAATTTATCAACAGATTTAATTATAGGAAAAACTTGTTGATACAATTCTACGAAAAGATTCAATTATTTTCATAAATAATAAAATTTCATTTACGAATTCAATTATTTCCATCGCAGAATTTCAAATATTTTTAATACAATTTTAAATAAATTCATTGAAAAATGCAAATATTATTAAAAATTTTATTAAAACTTGAGGAAAGAATTCAATTTTGAGAAACGTTCAATTATTCAATAAAACAAGAAAATTCGTTGCAATAATTCAAATATTTTCATAAATAACATTTAATTCGTCGCAGAAAATCAATTATTTTCAAAAATTTTTAAGTAATGTTGCAAAAGAATTCAATTATCTTGATAATTAACAAAATCGCATAAATTCTCTCCATAAAATCAATTATTCTAAGGAATTTTAATAAAATTCTTTTCCAAAATTCAATTATTTTGATAAATATCAAAATTCATTACAAGAATTCAATTCTTTTGAAAAGTAATAAAATACTTTGTAGAAATTAAATTATTTTCAAAATTTTTTAAAAATTCTCGTCAAGAATTAAATTATTTTTATAAATAGATAGGGAAATTCTTCTTTGGCAAAAACTTTTTAAAAATTCTTCTCAATAAGTCAATTATTTTCAAAAATTTTAATAAAATATTCTTCTCATGAATTCAATTGTTTTCAAAAATTATTATTTAAATTTTTCTCAGGAATTGAATTATTTTTAAAAAATTTAATAAAATTCTTCAAAAAGTTTTCAATTATTTTCAAAAATTGTTATAAAATTCTTTAAAAAAATTTCATTAAAATTTTAATTAAATTCCTTAGAAGAAATTAAATATTTTCGAAAGTTGTTAATACAATTCTTTGTAAAAATTAAATTTTAAGAAACATTCAATATTATTTATTTTTGTATTTAAATAATTGATTTCTCGTAGAATTAAATTATTATTTTTCGTACTTTTAACTAACAATTCTGTAGAATTAATTTTTTTTGAAAAAGTTTAATTGAATAATAATTTATGTTATTGATATAAAGTAGAATTTTAGTTGAAAATTCTAGAAAATGTTAATTGAATTGAAATGATAGAAATAATTTTGAAGAAATTACAGTCACAATATTCTTATAATAATAAAATAATGATTTTGTCAGTCGGTCATCTTTAATTATTATAAAACATGAAGAAATCGATTGCTCCGAGTCGAAGACTCGGAGTGATCGATTTCTTCATGTTTTATAATAAAATATTCTTATGAGTTGTTCAATTTGAAAAGGTTTGAATTTAAAATTTTTGAACATCTTAATTCCTATGGAGAAATAATAATGATTAAATATTTATTGCTTTTGATTTTATAAAATATAGAAAAATGTTTATGAATCAAGGTAAAACGAAAAACGTTTAGCCAATAAGAATTCTTTATTTGAGTAAATAAATTCCGAAGACTAAATTTCACTTTAAAATTATGGGTTAATTTATTAAAAAACCATTTAAGAGAATATTAATATTTATTAAATATATCGTTACTTTTAAGTAGGTTTTTATAAAATATAAGGAGTATACAGATTTAATACATATAATAAAATTAAAGGAATAACAGGAAACTTAATTTACAATAAATAGATATTATAACAAAAAATAAGTAACATTTGTTTCGAATAATCTTTAAAATTGAATATAAATTTTTTCGTACTTTCGTCTGGTATAATAATAATAATTATTATAAAATAGCAATTTTTGTTCTTAACGCAAATAAAATTTTAAAATTTTTGAAGAATTTAATTTGAAATCCAATTTCTTTCAAATAAAGAAAGATCCAAAATTCAATTTTCATTGAATATTCTAGAAATGATTTTTTTCCTTTTTTCCAGTAAAGGAACTATAATTATAATATTCAATCCTTTCAAGTCTGACTTGAAGTTATCTTGCAACACTTATTTCTGAATTTAGAGGCCCCGATGAATCTTTTATTACCACAGATCTCAATTTATTCTGTGGTAAAACTAAAATTTTCAATATTTGTAAAAACTTGTAAACTGATTCAAGTTTTTCTGTTGGAAATTTAATTCACATTGCGGAGCTAGTCTTTGTTGAAAAATTACAATTCGAGATTCTCCTTATCAGTTGTACTTGACTCCCCACACGATGATGTCGCTGATATATTTGCATCAGAATTATCACTTCCCACAGTTTGAAAAGTATCAGATGGCTTTGATCGGAAAACCAGACGTTTCGCACTAGGATGTACTTGAAAAGTTTCCAATAAATACGAATCTTCCTGTTCAAGGCTATCGAATAGTGCCTTCTGAGGCACTCCAACACCAATCACCTTAGGTTTGATTTTCAAGGAAGTGTTTGTTGCAATTTTATACTGTGTTCGATTCCTCGGTTTGTTTACAGTAAACGCTGATTTAAAATTCCGGACATGATCAGTTTTATTAGATGATGTTTGAAGATTTTTTAACAATGAACAACGACCGAACGGTGTTGTCATCAAACCCAAAATTTGATCATGTATCGGATTTGTGGTACTTGAGTTCTGCTTCATTGTTGAGGAATTGAAAGGAAATTGGGTTTTGAATATTTGAGGAAGTGGTGGAGGATTGGAATTGGGAAAATTAAAAGGTCGGTAATTTAGAGATGGTGCAAATGTATAAGTATTCTTCTGTAGATTCGAAAATGGATTATTATTCACAGCAGTTGCTGAAGGTGTTAAAGAAAAACCAGGTGGTTTGTATAGGAAATTTTGAGTTGCTTGGGTATTCGCAGTGGAAAAAGCGGGTTTTGGATTTAATTGATTAAATCCACTGGATGGACTTGGCCAAAAGGAATTTGGTTTCAAATTAAAGAAACCAGTACTCGGGTTAGATTGAGAAAATCCACTAGTCTGCGGATTATTGAAGATTGAATTTGTCGATGTTTTCGGGGGAAACAAAGAAGTTGACGGAGTAACAAATTGATTGTTAGTATTTGAAGAATTGGGGAATGTGAACGGTTGATTAAAGAAATTGGTTGATGCTGAAGGAAACAAACCTCCAGTAGACGCTGATGTGTTTGTGAATCCTGTTGTTTGCGTTTGCGGTCCTTTTCTACCTTGCTTATAGTCTTCAAATCGTAATTCCTCTAAAGATTTCTCTTCATATTCTTTCATGAAATTAATGCACCAATAAAGAACTCTTATTGTTTGTGTCAATCCTCGATTTTGTATTGTGTCAGTTCCTGCCACGGGATTGAATTTCACGACTGTTCCACTTACGTCTGTTGATCCTGCAGAAGAGTTCAAGGCAATAGGTGCAGAAATGTTCGTTCTTAAGAAAGGATTATTTAAATCTTGGGACGAAGGCTGACCATTGGGATTAAAACCAAAACCAGTTTGATTGTTGTTTTGACCAAGAGCTTGCGTAAGTGCATTAGTTCCAAACGGATTCATAGTTTGTTGATTAACAAATGGAACTGTGTTTGTATTTCCAAAACCTTTTCAAGATAAAATAGAAAATTTCATGAGAGATACACGGAGAGATATTTCAAGCTAAACTAGTTAAGACACATGAAAATTAATTAAATTAATTAAACCTATACATGAAAAAAAGTAATTTTTAAAATTTTACGAAACTTTTCCTACTTTTCGCTACTTATCAATACGTTTACTTAAAAAATTGAAATTCGCGTCATTTACTGATCAGTTTTGTAAAATTTTTCAAATTTTCAGCATCGTCTACTGAACATAGAATAATTCTACACGATAAAGTGAGTGCGCAAAAAATATCCTATTATTGCACTAATTTAACTTCAAATTTCTCTCTGCATGTATAAAAAAAAGTGCAAGAAAACAAATAATTCTCCTTACCTCCGAATTGGGTATGTGATTGAGAAGGTTGTCCAAACCCAGAATTACTGGTGGAACTATTTAAAAAACCTCCTGATATAGTTCCTGTGGCATTTTGATTAGGAAATGTAGAATTCCTGCCTGACAATGGTACTGAAGTAATACCAAAATCTATTTTCATACCAAAGGATGTACCTTCAGTTTGACAAAACATAGTTAAAGTATAAAATCTGAAATAATTTTCAAAATCAGTATTTAAATACTTTTCTGAAAAAAATATTAATTTTAATTAATGTAATTATAATTATATTTTGTAAAAAAAACCGCAATTCATGAAGTGCGCTTAGACGTTTCATGAAGTGTAGCCGCACACTGTGAAAAAAATATTTAATTCACAATGTGTCCAACATTTTTGGACATTTCATGATTCATGAAGTGCTACAGCCAATTAATACTTTGTGAATCTAAATGAAATTTCACAATACGTCGAAATATAGAAAATAAATTATGTCATGTATATAGAAATCAGTGTTCAGCTGAGACGCTTGAAGTATTTCACGCTGGTATGAAACGAAATTAAAATAATTATTTATTAGATTTTTAAATAAAAGTACATATGGGGCAAAATTCCTCAACTGTCCAGGTCAAAAAATGAATTTTCTCGAAACTTTGCCAAAATGTTACACTATTATTAGTAGAAGTGTGAATATGAATTATTATTGAATTTGATAAAATATTTTTGCAGAAAATAATTATAAATCATCATTTTCTTTATAAAATAATAAATTATTATTTTCTGCAAAACTTTTCAAGGTCCCACTTTGATTTTTACATGGCTCATAGGAAAAAATGTGAGTTTTCTATTGGGATAGGTTAGAAAAAAATAAAAAAAAACGATTTTGAGATATATTGAAATTAAGAATTTGACCTTGAAATTCAAGGTTAAATTAAAAGAAAACAATTTTTTTCATCTCCAGCTTGTAGCTCGTGAAAAAAACTTTAAAAATTACTAATTCACATTTTTAATTTCATTAATTTTACTTATCAATATATTAAATCGACGTCAAAGGATAATTTTATTATTTAAATATTAGGATAATGAATAATTCGATTAATTAAAAATTATCTTCAATGGTATTTCGAAATATGAAAATTATGTGAAATGACTTTTCGATAATAAGAATTTCGATGTTTTGAAAATTATGAAATTGAAATTTGGGGAATAATCATGCGCCCCAATAAATACACATTATAAAATAATCATCAAGAGTTTCATAATCTTTGTTTTCTTCTGCACTTGATAATATTGAAGAATTTTTTTAAATATAAGAAAATATGCTACTTTTAGAAGTGAAAAAACTCTAGTCACATTATAAATGAAAATAGCAAATGATATCATTCTTATGATTTCGTGAGATCAAGAATGTTGTACATTTCAAAAGACAATCTTAAAACATAACATCACATTGTTTTTACTGTACTATTATTATTATTTTGAAAATATATCAATTAAGAATTGAATTTATTAGTCTTTTTGTTGTGATAACTATGAAGTGACTACTGTTTACCTATATGTTAATAAAAATTTAGGGTAATAACAAAATGGATTCTAAATGTTTCAAATGTTTATTTACCTTTAAAATGCTGTTTTACTGTTTTAAATTAGCTTTGTGCGCGGTAATCTCCTGTCACTTTTAAAATAACACGTTGTACAAATGAAAGATAACGAAAAGAAATGTAAACATAACTTTGTTATTGTATGACGCAAATCATGAAGAATGTTGACAAATAAATAAAATCTCAGTCGGTAAAGAAAAGAAGCAAAAAAGTAAGTTTAGCTGTCGGTAATAGTTGAGAAGGTTGAGATTGAGATGGTTAGGCCTTAAGGTGCATTTATATCAATGTTGCAAAATTTACGTGGGATAAATCGGAAGCTTGTAAAGACGACACAAAACGTTATCTGTAATCCATTGTAGAAATACCTTTACAGCTAAATAAAAAAAATAATTACACTTTGACCTATAAACAAATATTTTTTCGTCATAATGGATAAATAATACGATTTTTTATATAACTTTCTTATCGAACATCATTCTGTGAACGGGCTGTGAATCTCATTACAAATAATTGTTTATTGTGAACTCAACTTCACGTTTGGCGTCAGCGTTTGTAACGTTTTTTGGATTCCTGCGAAATAATTGTGCATAAGCCTTAAATTTAAGCTTCCTTTAGTCTATTGTGGAGTCAACCTTATTCTCCACATGGCAAAGCTAGGCAAAGCAAAGTGGAAAAATACATGGAATAAAAGAATAAAATAAGTATGACTAAAATTGTTGCATAAAATTATAACTTAAAACAAGAGGAAGAGGAAGCGAGAATTTCTACTCCATTATTGATAAAAAAATAATTAAACATGCTGAAGTAAGTTTTTCATATATTTAATTATAATAATATTCAATTTGACATTCAATTTTATAAAAATAAATTGTATTGATTGTATCAACTATTACTATCAATTTTATTAAAACATTTCAATCGAGTCTGAACATACTTGCTTAACATTAGAAGTTATTAAGTATATACTTTATTAAAAATTCTGCAATTATGTTGAAATTTATACACTAAATATTAACAACTTTTAACCCAGTGAAAAGAAGTTTTCAATCACTTTTTTACACTTTTTCACACCCACTTTATAATATAACTATTAATGAAAGATTTAATTGCGAATTTATCAGTTTAAAATAATTAAAAAAGTTTAATTTTGTCTAACCATTACACAAAAAATATTACGTCAATTCATACTTTTATAGGTTAACGAAGTTAAATGCTAAAAAAGGTTAAAGTTGTTTTCATACTATAAAAGATAGTTTGTCCTTTCCGTGTAGTAGAATTCATCCTAAGAATTGATTTTTTTTATAAATAATCGAATTCTTCTCAATTCAATTATTTCCAATACAATTTTAATAAACATTCAATTTTATAAAATTTTTAATTTATTAACAAAATCGATAATATTAAAAAAAATTAAATTTTCTGAATGAATTAAATAAAATGTAAATTTGGTTCGTATTGACTGTACTGTACCTACATAATGGCTTGTAATACTATAATTTTCGTTCGAATGATTTAATTTTCGATATTAAAGTGTCAAAAATTTTGTTTTTAGATATCCTACAATGTAAACAAAATTTTAAGTAAAAAAATTTTTTTTTAAGGTTTTTGAAAATTTTTTTTCTTGTTTGAAAATAGATTATTATTTTAATTTTTTAAATATTTTTTTTAAAAGTCAATGCGAACCAAATTTACATTTTATTTTTTTACTCCGAAAAATTTAAAAAAATTAAAAATAACGTATTTTCAAAAACAAAAATAAAAAAAATGTTGTCTCAATTTTCTTTTTATCTAGAAACAAATCATTTGAAACTTTGAAAATAAAAATCGAATAATTAGAACTCAAGTTATAGCATTTAAAAAAAAAAAAAAATTAAATTAAAAATTTTAATGTTGCTTAAAATTAAAAAGTCCCGTATCTCCGACATTTATAAAAATTTAAAAAAAAATACTTGGCGATAATTTATGTCACTATAGTAGTATTATTTAAGCCAATTTATAGACAAATTCCATTCGATCAAAAAAATCTTTATCGATTTGACGCGGACTCTACCTGCTACTTAGAATGTATTTACAATACTGCCGTGGAAAATAATTTTTCTTTTAAAAATAAAAAATTTATGACCCGTTTTTTTTATCATGTGTTTTTTGACCAAAAAGAAAGTTGGTACGCAGGTTGAGACACCTATAATAATGAATTTTAAACGTAGGTAAAATGAATATAATAACGTAACATATTAATTGTTTATTATTTATTTATTAATTTTTGAAAGTTTTTGCCTAAATAAAGAGCTTAAATTATTAAAAATTCACTTGAAAGAGAAAAAAAGATGAAATTTTATCCTGAATAAAGAGAATAAAAAAATGTAAAATCTTGTTAGTTTTAATTAGAAGCGCAATAATTATAATAATGAATTTTATTAGTAATTCTAATCTTAAAAGAATAGAAACACTAGGTATTACGTTTAATTTATTGTCTAAATGTCCTTCGAATTAGCAACAGAGTATTCGCTAATTTATTATAAAATACCAATATATTATTAAAGGAAATAATATTCGCAAAATAATATAATGGTTAATAAACATATATTAAAATTAAATGTTTTAAAAATATGGGAGCAACGACTTACGAAAGTCAGTGGACCCTATTATTTTATTTGTTAAACTGTACACATATTCTGAAGAACATTCGTATCATTAGACATCACATTGAATTTGTTTTGCACATTTATCATTTTCTCAATATCACATAATGTTTTATTTAAAACATCTCAGTTTTATGTTACAATACGTTTTTGTAATAGAGCTGACTCAAGGAAACACATTGTAGATATGTTTCATTTAAAAAGTAAAATATGATTTTAAAATTTAACAATAAATATTTTTTTAAATAAAATGTTACATGTTTTTTTTTAAATGTTAACTTTCTAATAAAAATAAATTTTTTTGATAAATACCCAATTGTGTCAAAATTGAAAAGTAAGCCTTATTTTTTAAAGTTTTTTAGTTTGTGTTAAAAAAATTAAAATTGAGGCATAAGCAGAGATTTACAACCTAAAGCGTCATTCTTCTCACTCATAATAAAAACAATATTAGTAGATATAAATTGATTGCAATTTTTTTTCACATAAAGTTATCCCGTATCAACATGATAGGGCATTCTAAACTGGAGAAAAATTATTTGCCAATTAAATAAAATTAAAAAATGTTGAAATCGTCATTCCTCTCACTTTTCTGAATAAAAATTAAGAATTGATATTGATTGTCGATTGTTTACAAACTATCAGTGAAAAATCAACCTAAAATGTATGAAAAATAATTTAATAGAGTTAACGTTTGCTACGACGTTAACAATTTTTTATTATTAACCACTGATCACGGATAATAGTTCACAACTCCAATTCTTTGGGGAAATTAATAACATTTTTATTACAACGTTGTTATAATTATGAGTTATATTAAATAAAAGTTGAAACTGTTATTTTGTACAACTATTTTTAACGAAATTATATTTTTTTAGAGTATCTAAACCCGTTGTCTTCGTGACTGGAAATGCTAAAAAATTGGAAGAATTTTTAGCTATTATGGGGAAGAATTGTACAAAAAAAATTATAAGCAAAAAAGTTGATCTTCCTGAATATCAAGGCGAGATTGAAGAAATTTCAGTTGAAAAATGTAAAGCCGCCGCAGATATTGTGAATGGACCAGTTGTAATTGAAGACACATGCCTCTGCTTCAATGCTATGAATGGACTTCCAGGACCGTACATTAAATGGTTTTTGGATAAATTGGGAGCAGATGGTTTACACACCATGTTGAATGGATGGGATGATAAAACGGCTCAGGCAGTATGCACGTTTGCATACACAGAAGGTCCCAATGAGCCAGTTATCCTCTTCCAGGGTAGAACTTTCGGCACAATTGTCACTCCCAAAGGACCAAGAGATTTTGGCTGGGATCCCTGCTTCCAACCCGAAGGATACAATCAAACTTACGCTGAGATGCCTAAAGATCTTAAGAACACAATTTCTCACCGAAATAGGGCACTCGAGAAATTGAAAGAATATTTTTCAAGTGAAAATAACGAACTTCAATAATGATAAATTTTTTACATTTCTTTAATATTTATTCCTTGAATTCCAATGTTACCAAAGTACTTATGTTTTTACTTGAATAACATATTTTCGTGAGAAGATTATATAATTTTACTAGAGAATTCATGACATATTTTTTATAAAACTGACAATTTTTATTTTATAACTTCTCTAGAATTGTATTGCTACAAAAATACAGTTGAATTGTGAAAATTAAAATTAATTTTTAAGCGAATTGTTAAAAATTGGTTATAAAATTATAATCAGAAAATTATGAATATTAAATCTCAGCTTAAGAATATTACAGACATAGTTTCATGTATTATAATAATATAAAACATATTATTCTTCTTTGGACTTTTTTTGCTAAACAGTATTGTCTGAATTATTTGTTACTAAGATAAAATAAAGAAAATATGTACATAAAACTGTGGTTTCAATTTCATGCAAAGCAAAGTTTTGATACTTTCTATGTATTTAAAGAACTGTCGATATTATTTTGAATATTTATTTATCACCCAACAAATACGGCACTGACCGGTTTAAATGACGTGAAATTGGTAAACATTCATTTTGTAACAAATTTTTCTGTTTTCACAAGCACTTTTTACAAAATATGACAGCGTACAATAGTCACAAATGTTTTTAATTGTTACCCTACTATGTTAGACTGCATAACCAGTTAGAAATTATAAAAAATTATTTAAAAGTATGTAATATTTTACAATATTATATATTATATAATAATTCCATCATTTTTTAAAATCATCGAGCAACTGCTCTAGACGGTTTTCACGCACGTGTAAATTATTAAAAAAAACAAAGCTATTATTTATTATCTTTTCAAAAGTGGTTAAAGAAAGTAACACCTCTCTAGAACCCTAAAAAAAAGGCCTAACTTTGACAATTTATTTTAGGAGTATGGAAAAAATAATTGAATTTCTCTCTTTTAGGCTTTATTAAACATGTATTTAAGTATATAAAAAAAATTTTATTTTCACATGTTGATAAAAAATGGCGGCTTTTAAGCCAATCTTTGGAATCACCTTCTTCAAGAGGGCCTCTACGGGCGACCGTGATTTTAGGAACTCGTGATATTTGAATCAAAATCAATAACGAGATCTTAATCTACATAAGATTTGCTAGTAAAGTACGTACGATTTTAGCTTTACATCAATTTTTCGCAAAATGGCGGATTTTTTAAAAAAATGGTCCATTTTTGACCAAAAAAATTAGAATCAAATTGTTTATAAAAAAAAGTTGCAATGATAACAAAAAAATCGTACGTACTTTACTAGATTATGTTACTGTGAAGCTAAATACAATTATTAATTTACGCTCTAATTTCTTCTTCTACTTCAAATGACTTGTGGTTGTGGCCTTGCCGAGTGTCAGAACTAAACGCTCTAATTTTATTTTATGGAGAGTCCACAATAGGTGCAAAAGGCAAGAAGTGCAAGTGCGAACCAATGCTAAATGTATAGGAATCGCACTTGCACTTGGACTTGCTACCTACATATTTGCACATATTGTGGACTCTCCATTAGAGTGAGTAATTCCTATGGTAAAGTTATGGCGCACTTATGGAGCTCTCACAGCTCTGCCTGCCTGCGCAGGCAGTAATTGGAGTAAGAGAGAAAATCAATTAGAGTGAAAGAGATAGTAAATTCAAATTTGTATGCTGCCTACTAGCTGTGAGAGCGCCTTTACACCTTTGGTTTCATCACCTGCCGGTTGTCATGGTAACCACATAAGAGTAAGAGAGTCAGACAATTCAAATTTGAAATTATATGTTTTCTCTCCCTTACTCTAGTTATTTCACCAAAGCTGTGAGTGCGTCTTTATGTGATGAAACAATGCGACAGTAAACGTAAAATTCCATCTGCCGACTATAGTTATAAAGGGAAAGATAAACCAGATAAACATTCGGTTTTATAGGAAAATAAAAGAAATTCAATTTTTTTTCTTAATTTTGTACCTAATGTGTAAGTTAAAAACATATTTCAATAAAAGATAGTAAACTCTTTCAGTTTGGCCTAATGGTTTCTTTATATTTTATGGTAAAAGTTCAGAATGTCAATTTTAGGTTATATAAACCGACGCGACGTAAAACAATAATATTCATTTAAAAACGAACCTCCTTATAAACAATTAACGTTGTAAGGCAATTTTTTAATAATTATTTCTCCTACTTATTAAAGACAAATTTTATTTACTATTATAGTATGGTCTTAAAAAAAATTTCAATTTATGATGGCCATATATCGTAAAGTTGTAACGGTAAAATAAATTTTTTTTAAATAATATAACTTGTGAAAAAAAACTTCCATGAATGTAATATTCATCGTATTCGCTTGAAATTATTACTAAGAGGGTTTTGAATTTTGAGAATCTGACATCGGATTCGTAATCGCAGCGACTTCAAAATCCCTCGAGTAATGAACTTCAAGCCAATCCGTTGAACTTTAAAAATTATGTCCGCCATATTGGATAAGCCATTTTGAATTTTATAAATCTGACACCGGATTCTTAATCACATTTGATCACATTGAAAACAAAATTTATTTGACTCAAATATAACCGATTAATTGACTTATCAATTAAATATTTAATTGAATCGCAAATAATATTTATTAGAATCAATTACAGTAGAACCATGATTATCCGAGCTAATGTGGACCGGACCTACCTCGGATAAAGCGAAAACTCGGATAAAACGGACTTTTATTATAATATATACGTAATTTAACATTTTATTTATAAAAAAGTCTCTAATATAAACGAGAAAGGGATTTTTATATTCATATTTCATAATAACTTATGTAATTTATTAAAATAACAAAAAATTTTCAAACATTATTGAACTTTTTTTAATGTCGCAACTCGGATAACTCGGACTAGGCCAGCCGCAATACTCGAATAAAGCGGTATATCCTCTTCTGAGGCCACCTCGGATAAAGCGAGCTCGGATAACCGGGGTTCTACTGTAAATGGTATTTGCTTTAAATACTCAAATTATTGGTTCAATTACCATTTAATTGACTTCAATAAATATTATTTGATTCAAGTAAATATTTAATTGATAAGTCAATTATTCGGTTATTTGAATCAAATGCATTTTTTTCAGTGCATCGACCCCAATCACCCCCTAGTAACAAATTAACAAAATACTTCTAAATTATAAGCTTATATTTTGCATTATTAATTTTTATTATAACAATGGACCACATTGATGTTAAAAATAAGCAAAATGATGCGTTTCAATACCATAATATATATTTGAAAGCCTTTATTAATTAAGTATCCTCATCAGATGTACCAAAATCTATAAAAGATATTCACTTTTAAAAAAGTATTAAGAAGGTATTTTCTTACTTTAACTAACTAAAAAATTTTAATTTTCAGGTATATATAGATTTTGAATCAAAATCATAATGGAATCGGAATTTTTGGATATTATGAACGAAAGAAAAAATGCAAGATACTTTTCTGAACTAAAAAATCCTCTAGAACAAGCATTACAATTTGGTTCAATTGTTGAAATTAAAGACATACTTTGTGAAAAATATCACGCAACATTTTCCTCAGAGAATGATTGGGAGCAAAAATGTAGACAAATTATTAATATTTGTTTGGATAAAAAACTTGCCGTTAGCATGGATGGCACAAAGTATTGTGCTTTATTACATTTTGTAATAAAACATCTTGACGATGATTTCGAATCAGTTATTAATAAATGTGAAGATTTTGATATTAATGCATTAAATGCTACTTTAAATATGCCGAAAGACGATAAGTCATTACTTCATTTTGCGATAGAAAATAGAAAGCAGAATGTAGTGAAAATTTTACTAGAATTTGGTGCAAATGTGAATGTAAAAAACTCCCTTTCACAGACACCTTTATTTACAGCCGTTCTTTCTAGACAAATAGAAATAGTGGAAATGCTTTTAAAAGCTGGAGCGGATGTTAATGCGGAAGATTTTAGAAATATGATGCCAATAAACTATGTCTTTGATGAAGACGAAAATTGTAATTTCAATTGTGGTGAAAAATGTGAACCCTGGGAATTAGTACTTCTCTTGTGTGAATATGGAGCTGATTTAAATTTCGACAATGAAAATGGCTCAAAGACATTGATTTTGGCTTGCAGAAAGGGCTGTAAAAGGGATGTAGAATTTTTAATGCTACATGGAGCTGATTTATTCTCCTGCGATGAAGACGATATAACGGCAATACATTCTGCAGCTATAGGATATAATTACAAACTTGTGGACTTTCTATTGCGTAGGGGCGCTGATATTAATAATGAAGATTTAGTTCATGAAAGTCCTATTCACGATTTGGCAAATGCTTCAAACAAAATTTATAATGTACTAAAATTTTATGGAGACAAAACATTTGAAGCTTATAGTGTCCTATGGAGTTTAGATTATGTAGATGATGAAGTGAAAAAATCGGCAGATATGATAGAATTTTTAGCGGATAATGGCGCAGATATAAATACTTTTAACACTGAACACATTACTCCATTAATATTCAGCGTTCTTTGCAATTCTCTTGAAACCACCGAATGCCTTTTGGCGTTAAACGCAAACATTTACAATAATTTAGAAGTTCCGTATTATTATCGTAAGTATCCTGAAATTCATGTGAACACAGATTTTTCTTCTGATAAAATAACATCGTGGGTACTGTTTACGGCATTTTTAGCGCTTAAAAATATCAATGTTTATGATTTTACTATCTCATCGAATGTTTTTGATTGGGTGCATTCTTTTTATGAAGAGTGCAAAGAGGAAGTAATTAAAATGCAAAAAAGAAGAATATGGGCAGATCGAAAAGTTTCATTTTTTGATTTCATAAATGAAGATTTGATGAGTGTGACAAAATATTTCAGAAATTGTGATGTAATGTCTGTTTTGAAATCTGAAAAATATGAGGAATGTCCACGTTACAGATATATTTTTGAAAAGCGTATAGAAAGAGTTGAGAAAATGAAAAATTGTCAAAATGTTTTTATTTGTTTTCTCAAGGAGTTTTTTAAGAGAAATTTACCAAGCGTAGTAATTTATAAAATAATTAATTACTTGTCAGCTGGGGATCTTCGCAATTTTGGAAGAGCATTCTGTGTGTAACGTAAAAATCACCGAATGGAAAATATTTCAGATAAATAAGAATAAGAAAAGTATTGTTGACAATATTTTTTTAAAATTTGTAATAATTACTAGGTAATTATGTAGTATTTCAAATTAAAAACGTGTTATTTTTTAAATAAAATTTTGATTATTTTGTCTACGATATATATATTTGTGTCCTTTTCTATCTCATGCATCTAGTTCGTGAACGACTTTATATACATATATAGGGTAAGTGTATTAATTGCACGTTTGTGAAATGTGTATTTATTTATAACAACGATTAAATTTTTCATTTATATATATTATTATTTTACCTATAAAACATGAAGAACACATTACATGTTTTATAATAATTAAAGATTACACAGTGATAAAATTATTATTTTCAAGAATTTTTAACTAAAATTCTTAATCGATTATTTTTAATAATTTTCGAAAAAGTTCTTTGACAATTTTCTAATCAATTTATTTACAATATTCAATTTTACGAAATTTCGATTATTCGTAAATTCTTCAATTAAATATATATTACAGTCGAACCTGGATAAGTGGAACCTCAAGGGACCAAAGTTCTTGTTCCACTTATAGAGGTATTCCACTTATCCAGGTCATTTAAGGTCAAATTACTTGTGCAGGGACTGCAAAGAAAGTTCCACTTAAAGAGGATTCCCACTTATCAAGGGACCACTTATCCAGGTTCGACTGTATTAGAAAATAAAAACTTCAAATACCTATAATATAAAAAAAAATCCGCAATTAAACTTTCTCGAAAAAAAAATTAATTCCACAGAATTGTTTGTTAAAAATATAAAAAATTCAAATTTTGAAAGATTTTAATCTGAAACCTTTTTAAAATTAAATTATTTCTAAAAATGTATGCTCTAATGCTTTTAATATTCAATTATAATCTAAAATTTTTACTGAAATCCATTTTTAAATTAATTTTTGTTAGAAAATTCAACCAGAATTCAATTCTTTAAATACAAAAAAACAATTTATTGAATAATTGCATGTTTCTTAAAATTATTATTGTTTTTTATTATTATTATTATTGTTTATCAAAATAATTGAATTCCTAATAAGAGTTTTAATATTTTCCCAGAATAATTGAATTCCTGTAAAAATTTTATTATTTTCACAGAATACTTGAATTCCTGTAAAAATTTTATTATTTATGAAAATAATTGAATGATTGCGAAGAGATTTATAAAAAAATTGTAAATAATGAAATTCCTGTGAAATTTTTATTATTTTTTAAAAATAATTATAGGTTTGTGTAGAATTTTATTAAATTTTTTTAAAAATAATTGAATTCTTTTGGAAAATTGAAATGAAAAAATTGAATTGAGAAAAATTTTTGAGAATAATTAAAACTTTTCCCGCAGAATTTTATTAAAATTTTTGAAAATAATTGAATTTCGAGGAAGAATTTAATTATTTCTACAAAGATCTAATGAAATTTTATTATTTTTTGTAAATAATTAAAAGTTTGTGTAGAATTTTATTAAAATTTTTTTAAATAATTGAATTCTTTTGGAAAAATTTATTAAAATAGTAAATATTTAAAATCATGAATTGAAAAAAATTTTGAAAATAATTGAAAATTTGCCAAAAATTTTATTAAAATGTTTTAAAATAAATTTTGGAGAAGAATATTACTTTTAAAGATAATTGAAATTTTGGCGAGAATTTTTTAAAAATTTTTGAACTGAATTTTTGCAAAGAATTTTATTACTTTTGAAAATAATTAAATTCCTACAATCATTTGTAATTTCTCTAAAATTATCCAAATAATATCGTATAATTTATGGACTTTACGGACTTTTTTCAATCAAATTATTTATAATTTATTCTTAAAAAATGAGCTTACAGCTTATTAATTAAATTAATAGTTCGTATTATATTATTGCAACTGTTTTATGAGTATAAAGTAAATTAAATCAAAACCGCAAATGAAATCAAACTTTTATTAGCAAAATAACACAAAATTTTCAATAGTACATAAACACAAAATTAGAAAAATATTGTCAATAACGATACTTTTTCTTAACGTGAATGTTTTGTTATAATGTATGAAATTATTTTTCATAAACAATGAACTATATTTAAACGAAATAGTTTCCATTAGGTGTCTTTTTCGTTATGCAGACCGCTCTTCCAAAGTTGCGAAGATCCCCAGCTGACAAGTAATTCATTATTTCAATTACAACGCTTAGTAAATTTCTCTTAAAAAACTCTTTCAGAAAACGAATAAAGACATTTTGACAATTTTTCATTCTCTCAACCCTTTCTTTACGCTTTTCAAAAAAATATCTGTAATCCGGAAATTCGTCATATGTGTCAGATTCCAAAACAGACATTACATCATCATTTCTGAAATATTTTGTCACCTTCAACAAATCTTCATTTAGAAAGTCGAAAAATGAAACTTCTCGATCTGCCCATATTCTTCTTTCTTCCATTTTAAATACTTCTTCTTCGCACTTTTCATAAAAGGAAAAGACCCATTCAAAATTTATATATAGTGAACAACTATAGCTTTTAATATCGAAATTTTTAAGTGCTAAAAATGCTGTTAATAGTTTCCACGTAGTAATTTTATCTGAATGAAATTCTGCATTTATGTGACTGCTGTAACTTTCATAATTCGGATAATCTTCATTATTGTAAATTATGGCGTTCAATTCCAAAAGGCATTCGGTAATTTCAAGAGCATTATAACGAACGCTTATCATTAGAGGAGTAATGTTTCCATCATCCAAAGTATTTACATCTACGCCATTATCAGCTAAAAATTCTATCATCTCTGCCGCTTTTTTCACTTCGTCACCTATAAAATTTAAATTCCAATCGATACCAATAGCTTCATAGGAATTGTCTCTATTACGATAAGTCGCAGATATAATGTTTTCTACAGTACGTGACAGGTGGTGAATAACATTTCCCCCCTCGCAATTATAATAATTAATATTAAAACCTCTGCATAATAGAAAATCGATAAGATTGTAATTATATTTTACGGCTGCAATATCTAATGCCGATTTATAGTCATCTTCCCAGGTGAATAAGTTAGCTCCATGTTCAATTAAAAATTCTATTTCTTTTAAATTGCCAATTTTGCAAGCAGCAACCAACGTATTTCCGCCACCATTGGTTTTGAAATTTAACTCAGCTCCATATGAGCACAAGAGCGTCACCAACTTCGAGGGTTTGTATTTTTCATTGCTACTAGTATCTTCTCTTTCGCCAAAAGCAAAATTAATTGGCATCATATTATTAGAATCTTCCGCGTTAACATTCGCTCCCGCTTTTAAAAGCAATTCTACTATTTCTGTTTGTTTAGTTTGAACGGCGTTAAATAGAGGTGTTTGTCCACGGTCGTCTTTTACATCGACATCTGCACCGAATTCTATCAAAGCTTTCACTACATTCTGTTTTCTTATTTTTATCGCAAAATGCAGTAAAGACGTCTCGAACAGTGTATCGAACATATAATCTGGATCATTATAAGTATTTATATCAAATTTTTCGCATTTCTTGAAAACTGATTCAAAATCTTCGTCGAGATGTTTTATCACAAATTGTAATAAAGCAAAATAATATGTGCTTTTCATGTTAACGTTAAGTTTTTTCTCCAGACAAATATTTATAATTTGTCTACATTTCTTCGCCCAATCATTTTCTGGTGATAATGTTGCTGCATATTTTTCACGGAGGATATCTTGAATTTCCACGATGGATCCAAACTTTAGTGCTAGTTCTAGAGGATTTTTTTCTCGAGAAAAACATCTCGCATTTTTTCTTTCGTCCATAATTTCTAAAAATTCCGACTCCATTATGATTTTATTTTAAAATCTATGTATTTTCCTGAAAATTAATTTTTTTAGTTAGTTAAATCTATGCAAATACTTATTTCCTGATGTTTTTTTTTTGAGAGTAAATACTTCTTTAGATCTTTGTACATCTGATTAGGATACAGTAATATCAAGTAATATCGATGGCTGCTAAATATGAAAACAATTTTCAAAAAAATTTTGACATTTATTTTTAAAAAATATAAAACTTGAAAAAAAGATTTTTCATGATAAAAAGTTAATTTATATTTTCGAAATTTGTTTATACTTAAAAAATATTTAAAAAATTGTAACCTGAAACTGTGGTTTTAAATAATCAAGTTTTCTATTTGTCTTCTTGAGTTAAAAAAAACACAGAATTTTCAATAATATATGTTTTCATTTAGAAACCATCGAATAGTAATAAAAATCGTTATATTGAAATTTTTAACAATGGTAAGTCCAGAATGTTTTAATCGTCGGGATTTCAAAGAGCAATTATTTGTTATTGTCTTGCATTGTTTATGTACATGACAATGTGACAAAACTATTAAAATATGTTCCTTTACTTACATTTCATGTACAAAATTAAGAAAAAAATCAATTTCTTTATCTTTTATATGTCAAAATGTTCATTGCATTTTACAACATGTTTACAACAGATGATTACAATTTACAATCATTAAAATTACAAACATATAGATGCGGTTTATCGGCTGCCAGTGCCTCTGCGGGCAAATTGAAAAACCATTCAAATGTCGTGTGATCACACCATTAGGCATTGTTGAAATGCTTGTAAAAACAGCCTTAAGGCGCTTGCACACTTCCAAAATTTTGGGCGAGCAGCGAATTTTCATGGCCTTGAAACTCACATTACTAAATATGATTGGCTCTACAAAAAGCTGCGTGAAAATGTACTTTTGTCAGTGCCAATCATATTTAGTAATGTGCATTTCAAGGCCGTGAAAATTCGTTGCTCGCCTAAAAATTTGGAAGTGTGCAAGCGCCTTTATTTTGAGATTTCCGTTCCCACCGTTCCCACAAATGAAGTTTCCATTCTATTGCGGTTAATACATTTATGGTTATAAATATTTTTAACTGCCAACTGCCTCTTGGTTTACAAGTCAAAAAGACTAGAGTTACAAATCAAATTCTATAAATTTTAATATTAGATACTTATATAAAATAAATACAAGTTAAAAAGTCTTAGTTTCTGTAATCGAAACATTGTGAAATGCCATCATTAGTTTAATGTTTCGTCACGGAAAATCGTCGAGTTTATAAAAGCTAAGATAAAAGCGATGTTTTGAGATTGCATGGTTAGTAATTTTAATAGAAACTAATTTAATTACCCAGTAAAAAAAAACTAATTCAAACGGATTGAAATGAATTAAGATTTTTGGTAGAAAGCGGGATTCATTCAAGCTCTTTGTATATTCGATTGAATTCGATTCAATTTGCCTGAAGTTGTGCAAACGAATTCGCATTCGTAAGAAATGACCAAGGCATGCATTGAATTCGTGCTGACAATAAATTAAAGGCCCCAATACTTGTCCATTGAATTAGTAAGAATAGAAGGTTTGGAAGTTCAATACAGTTTTACGAATTCAGGAAAATTGCAACATAGCTCCAATTCGTATTTGTCACAAAGCGGGATTCACTGAAACTCTTTGTGAATTCTTTTTAATTTATTTCAATTAGTTTTTGTTTACTGCGGGTATTTATTTATTTATATCTCAGTTTTTTAAAAATATATTTTGATAATAAGTAATAATGTTAACAATATCACAAAAACTTGATACGTTGTATTTTTTTTACATTTTTACACTGCACATTTTGATTGCATGTAAAAATAAATATTTGAAATTAAATTTAATTAAAGAATTAAGATATGATATCAATTTAAATCAACTTATTAAAAGTAAAATGTTTACAATCTTGGGTAAGAATTTGTAAAGTTCAAATTTATGAATCCCATAATCAGCACGTAAGCTTGCCACAAACTTGCCACAACCTTTCCATCCCAGTAAATGAAAACTAATTCAAACGAATTAAGATTTTTGGTAGAAAGCGAGATTCTTTCAAGCTCTTTCTATATTCGATTGAGTTTAATTCAATTTGCACTAATTTTTGCAGATGAATTCGCATTCGAAAGAAATGATCACAGTATCCATTGAATTCGTGCTGACGAATTGAAAAAAATTAAAGTCCCTAATACTTGTCCAACGAATTAGTACGAATAGAAGGTTCGGAAGTTGAATACAGTTTGACGAATGCAGGAAAATTGCAACATAGCTCCAATTCGTATTTATCGCAAAGCAGAAATTCAAAATTTTTTTTAAATTCTCATCAAAATTTTAATTATTTTTTCGAAATAATTAAATTCTTCTCCGAAATTTAATTATTTAAAACATAATTTAATAAAATTCAATACAAACTTCTAATTATTTTCAAAAAGTAATAAAAATTCCACAGGAATTTCATTATTTACAAAATTTTTTTTATAAATTTCTTCGCAATCATTCAATTATATTCATATTAAATAATAAAATTTTTACGAGGATTCAATTATTTTCGTAAATAATAAAATTCTTTTTAGGAATTCAATTATTTTCATAAATGATAAAACTCATTTCAAAATTTAAATTATTTTTCATACAATTTCAATCGAAGTCCTCAAAAAAAATTCTTAAAAATTTTTTTAAAATTCGTCAAATTTATATAGATAAAATTTTTTATGAGAATTTAATTTTAAGAAGCCTGCAATTATTCAATAAATTGTTATTTTTCTATTTAAATAATGGAATTCTAGTAGAATTTTCTCATAAACATTGATTTAAAAATGGATTTCGGTTAAAATATTAGATTATAATTGAATTTTTAAAGCATTAGAGAGTAAATTTTTAGAAATAATTGAATTTTGAAAAGGTTTCAGATTAAAATCTTTGAAAATTTGAATTTTTTATATTTTTAACTAACAATTCTGTGGAATTAATTTTTTTCTTTTTTTGAGACACTTTAATTGTAAATTTTGTTTGAAATTATTTAAAGTTTTTATTTTCTAATATATATATTTAACTGAAAAATTTACGAATAATTGAAATGTTCTAAAATTAAATTGTAAAAAAATGAATTTAAAAAATTTTTTTAAATCTTTTTCAAATATTTATTGAAAATATTGGATTTATAGAAGATATTTAGTTAAAAGCACGAAAAAAATTCAATTTTATAAAAGTTATAAATTATTGCAAAAATTCAATTATTTCTCGAAAAATATAATTATTCTTAAAATTTTTTTTTAAAATTTGTTAATAAATTTCTTTATGGGAATTGAATTTTAAGAAATATTCAATTATTCAATAAATTTTTTGTTTGCATTTTATTTGTATTTAAATAATTGAATTCTAGTAAAATTTTCTAATAAAAATGAATTTCAGTTAAAATTTTAGATAACTGAATTTTTTTTAGATAATTTTTTTTAGATAATTTTTTTTAATATTAATTGAATATTAAAAGCAAGATAGCGTAAATTTTTAAAAATAATTGAATTTTGAAATTAATTTTTTTGAAAAAGTTTAATTGAATTTTTTAAAATATATATTATTTTAAGTTTTTATTTCCTAATATATTTATTTCATTGGAGAATTTACGAATAATTGTCGTATAGTTGAATCTTGTAAAGAAATGTATTGGAAAATTATCAAAGAACTATTTCGAAAATTATTAAAAATAATCGAAGAAGAATTTTAGTTACAAATTCTTGTAAATAATAATTCAATTTTGTATATGATTTTATATTCTCGGTCATCTTTAATTATATAAAACATGAAGAAAGTGATCTTCGACTCGGAGCTATCGATATCTTCTTGTTTTATAGTTACGAAAAATTTAATTTTTTGTAAAATATTCTCTTATTTGACTCGGACTGGTTATATATTTTTGTAAGTAATTGGTCCGTAATTTTTCAATTATTTGGTTCATAATGTCCGTATTTTTAAATACTTCCACTGGTTCGAGTCCTGGGTAGTTAATTTTATTAAATATTGCAATTTTAAATATTAAAATACTGAAATTTATTTAAAAATTTTTGTTACAGAATTCTGATAATCGTTGCCATGGAAAGTTTGAATGATTATGCCGACACTTCTGATTACAATGAATTGTTTCTCGCAGTCCACAATGGAGACTTAAACCTAGTACATTCTTTGCTCGAGAAATATTCTTCGACGAAAACGATACGTGGCAGAACATTGCTGCATGTAGCGACTGCAAGAGGACATACGGAAATAGCAAAATTGTTTACCACCAAGCGAGACGGAGATGGCAATACACCGCTGCATTTGGCGATAAAGGAAAACCAGCCTGAGTTATTTAGCCTTCATTTAGAAGATAGTAATCTAAGCGCAAAAAATCTCAAGGATGAAGGGCCACTTCACTATGCAGCTTTGTATAATCGCTCTGAATTTGCAAAAAAACTTATAGATAATGGCGCCAATATTGAGGAAAAAGATAGAGAGGGTAAAACACCTCTTTATGCTGCATTGTCAAAAGGAAACGTTCAGGTAGCAGTGGTTCTTTTTAAAAATGGTGCTATTTTGAGTGACAACGATTTAGAAAATATTAAACTCCTACCTCACGCAGTGTCCAATGGGAATTTGGAAATGGTAAAGTTGCTCATGCTGAACGGCTGTAATGAAGTCGACTTATCAACTAAATATGGTTCTTCTCTTGAACATGCAGTATCATCTGGTCGTTTGGACATTCTTGAATATCTCATGAAGAATGGAGTAATAAAAAACATCGCAACAGTTAATGAAGATAGATTAGGCTTATTTAGATCACTTATTTTCGACGGCAGTTTGGATACTTTAAAATTTTTAGTAGACATTGGTATTAAAGTAAAAAATAATTTAGATGACGTATTTAATAGTACTTTTAATTTGTGTCGTCATGACATGTGGAAATATTTAGTAACAAGGTTGTCGAAAATTAGTGCAGAAACGTATTTTAAGGAGAAGCAGCTTCATTTTTCTATTCGAATGGGCCAAGTGGAAACTGTTAAAGCAATTGTAAATGAACTATCAAATGAATGTGAATCAGAAACCTTGGCTAGAAAATTAGCCGTTTATATTGCTGTTGAAAGTGGCAGTGAAGAAATATTAAAAATTCTTTTAAACGCTGGTTATCCTGTTGACAGTCTGTTTAAGTTTATAAGCCCTTTGCACGTTGCTGTTACTTTTGAGCAGCCGAGATTAGTGAAACTGCTTTTGAAAGCTGGAGCTGATGTTAATTTACAAACTGAAGATTGTGGTCGTACACCGTTACATTTCGCAGCAACTGCAGCGCAGCCAGCTATAGTTAAGCTTCTTCTAAAAAATGGTGCTGATCCTTTTATAACTTCTAAATTCAGTGAATCTCCGTTGAAAGCAGCTATAGACATTCATTCAGGTCTATTTCATTCCATACCTGTTACTCCTTTAGTGTTTGTGGGATTGGTGAAAGTGACAGAGATGTTAATTCAGTATTCGAATAGTAAAACTAATGAGGATTTATTGGAATATGCAGTTGAAATAAGAGTTTCAAGTATCAATGATTCAAAGCCAAAGTCAAAGAGACAAATATCGTCTGCAGGTGATTCTGTATTTCGTCCTGAAATCGTCAGATGCATATGTAATTATCTAAGTGAAGAGGAAGTTAAATTTTATTTTGAGACAGTTGTACCTAAAGATACATCTTTTCATCCACCAGAATTGTTACAACTTTTGATGGAATACGATTCGAAATCATGTTTTGATATTGAAATAAACCCTTGGAATAAAAATAACAAGTGCCAATTGCTCTTAATTGGTTACTCGAAGAACGTTGATAATCTTTTAGATACAATTATGGAAGTTATTGATTCTTACGATGAAGATAACGACAATGACGTAGAGAAGAAGATTAAAATAGATTTATTAAAATTATTAATATGTCGTTTAGTATTGTTGAACACAGACTGTCATCTATATCGGTTTGCAGTATGTGAATTAATTCTTCTTATTGTTGATTGGGAAGATAATTGTATACAGGAAAAAATTGTCATGCAAAAGACGAATGTTAATGAAAATTTAAATTTTACTTTCTATGATGTATTAACGAAATCAATTGATAAAGTTACAATGTACGCAAATAACGAAGATTTTCTCCATGCAATGAAAACTTCAGAAATAAAATTTTCTGCATATGCTGATTTTTTGAAGACAAATGTCGAAATAGCAGAAAGAAGAAGAAATTTCATCAATAAAAGCACGACATTAATGTATCGTCTGGTTGAAAAATTTTACAATATCCGAATTTCTAATTTTGATATTTGTCATATTTTCCAGTATCTCTCTATTGTAGATTTGAGAAGATTTTCAGCTGCTTGTTATTCATCTTCTTTCGACAATAAAGAAATAGTAATTTAAGGATTTTATTTCCATGAATGTGTTGAAAAATAGTTTAAACTTTAATAATAATTAATAATAATGATGAATTTATCGATCACTCCGAGTCATTTACAAATAAATGACTCGGAGTGATCGATAAATTCATCATTATTATTAAATAACACCGAGTGATAAATTCGAATTAATATTTAATAATAATTATTAACATTAACATTTGAAGAGTTTAAATTTATATTAACTATAAGCTTTGAGCATTAAGTCAGTGTTTTGTACGTCGGCATATTAACAAATTAAACGTTTATTAAATGTTTTTAAATATACTTTAAGTGATGTGACAATACGCTTTTATTCAGTCATGTAAAGTTAGCACTACTTTTTCAAAAAATAAAAAAAAATCACATGAGTTCTGGGTTTTTAGGAATAGTTCTGTAGTTCTATAACGATTTTTTAATAGTTCCTGCAATTGACGCTAAAAAAACCGTATGAAAAATATTAGGTGCTAATTTCGCGTAGCACAACAATTTTAGCAAAAAAAAAGTTCTGAAAAATTCTGACATGGTATCTGAAATACTGCGATACGCATTCTGGTGGCAAAATATTTAACTAATACAACGGGGTCGAATTCAGTGTTGCCAGATACACCGCATTTCCGCATTTTACACCGCAAAACGAGACCTTCATCCGGAATCCGCATTGACAATTGCGGATCACTAAAAATTCCGCATTTTGACAATAGTTCTGCTTTTTTTAATAAAATTATGTGATACTACTATAGAAATATTGAAGTACGAAGCATTCTATATGTATATTATAAAGATATGACAAATCTATGATAGGTTTAAAAAACTTCTATCTATTATATACAGAACATTGGTCGTAATTGAGCTCCACTGGAGCAGGAGAAATACCTTAAAAGCAGTCAAAATAACATTAGTTTGCATTTTTCAGTCTCATAAAATTAATGTTTAAAAGCGTAACCGTAAGGGTGCGATCCCATGTGAGCAGAATACGTCGACCGAAAGCAGAAAATCATGAGTGCAAAAGAGATAGGTAGATATTGTTGTTCTTTTCACTCTCATGATTTTCTGCTTTCGGTCGACGTATTCTGCTCACATGGGATCGCACCCTAAGAATGAGTTAAAGAAGGATAGGTATATTGTTTATCCTTCTCTAACTCATTCTTACGCTTACGGTTACGATTGCGGTTCCGGTTACAGATCTATTCTGCGTTGGCCTTTAGGTTAACACGTTCAAACTGTACGATTCGTAAATCTTACATATCCCGAAACCGAATTAGTTGTGCTTAAGGCGCTCTCACAGCTAGTAGGCAGCATATAAATTTGAATTTACTGTCTCTTTCACTCTAATTGATTTTCTCTCTTACTCCAATTACTGCCTGCGCAGGCAGGCAGAGCTGTGAGAGCTCCATTAGGCCTTTACAAAACGCGACGCAAAACGGTGCTTGTAAACACACCCTTAATCTTATTTTGAAAATAAAAAGAATCCATTGTGAATTTAGCTTTAATATTATGATACAAATTTTTAATTTTTCATTGTTGGCAGCATTTGTTTGTTTATTTACATGTTTACTGAAGTTTACAATGCACAAATTACACAAGAGAGAAAGAAATATTATTTCATATTAATTTATTTATTTTCTTCATTCTTAAAAAAATAAAGTTTTTGTTTAACACAGAAGTTAATAATGACAAAATGTTATATTTGCAATCGAAAAGCCAGTAAATTAAGTAATTTATCATTTCACAGGTATGTTAGAATAAAAATGTCATTTTTTAATTTATTTTGCTATGATACTTTTAATTACAATTCTCTGTATGAAAACACATTGTTAATTTATCTTTGCAGCATAATTAACACTAATTAAAATTCTTTATTTACCAATTTCTTTGGATATGTGTTTTCTGGTTTTCTAACCTATTTTGCATATTTTCTGCTTCTCAATCACATTTCTGTTCACAAAGTTATGAGTTTCTTTTTGAAAGAGAAGAAAAAATTGTATAAAATTCCTTTTTCTTATCACAATTTTTTAACAAAATTCTGTTATTTTTTTGAAAAACAGAAATAATAATTTGCATCATTTTTATACCAAATTTTTCAAAATTAATATATAATTATAAAACATTTTTTTAGAAAATTTTAAATACACATCTTTATGAAAAAAATCTCAATAATTTCTATTTCTTAATTACGATTTTAAATTGAATATCGTTAGAAAGTTTTAGAAAAATTGTACTTCAACTAATTTACAAGTTTAGATGGAAAATATTGTTTTAATATTAACTTTTTAAAATCAAGAAAATTATACAATAAAAATCATTGCTTTTAAAATTCTAAAGTTAATGTTAAAAAAAAATTGTTCTGTTCAAAATCCTTTTTATTCTTTATATAATAAGCATAATATGTAATATTAATATTCTTTTAATTTACAAATAAATACTCTAGGTTTCCAAATGATGAAGAATCAAAACAAAAATGGCTTGATATAATAGGAAAATCAGAATCGATATCAAAGCGTTCCACGGTTTGTTCACTTCATTTCACCGAAGATTGCTTTCGATACGGATTAGTTTATGGTATGCGACGATTGAAAGAAGGCAGCAATCCTTCTCTATATCTCAATGAAACGCCTGAGGAAACTGGAATTCTCAATAAACTTCACACATCTTCTGTTAGTCAAACTTTAGACGAAGTCGTTAATAAATTTCGAATCGATGAATTTGATAACGAGAATTCAGATGATGAAAACTTTGATGTCGTTCAATCACCAAAATTAAAGTCACAAACAAAAAAGAATCATAAAAGGTAAGCAGAAATTTAAATACTAAATAATTTCAATTTTCAATGAGGGTTACCACAAAAATTTAATTTTGTTTCTCGCTGACTTTTTGTGAATAATAACATTCTTTGGAAGAATTCAACTATTTTTATAAATAGTATAATTTTTTGCAAAAATTCAATTATTTTTAACAAAATTTTAATAAAGTTTCACTAAAGAATTGAATTATTTTTTAAAATTTTAATAAAATTTCCCGAAAGAATTCAATTATTTTTATAAATAGTAAAATTCTTCGCAAAAATTAAATTATTTTTATAAATATCAAAATTCTTTGCAGGAATTCAATTATTTTCAACACAATTTTAATTGAATTCCTCGGCAGAATTAAAATACTTTCAAATATTTCCATAAAATTCAATTATTTCCCAAAATTTTAATAAATTCTTGGAAACAATTCAACTTTTTTATAAATATAATACCTATACTAACAGTCTTTGCAGGAGTTAAATTATTTTTAAACCAATTTAAATAAAATTACACGAAAGAATTTAATTAAATTTTCAAAAATTTCCATAAAGTTCAATTTCAACAAGAATTTAAAATTCTCCAAATATAATTCAATTATTCTCAAAATATTTTTAAAAAATTCTATATAAAAATTAAATTACTTTCAATGCAATTTTTAAATATTTATTCGTTAAAAAAATTGAAAGAATTTAATTATTTTCAAAAAATAATAAAATTCTTCTGGCGTATACCTACAGAAATTCAATTATTTTCGAAACAACTTTAATTGAATTTTTCGAAAGAATTTAATTATTTTCAAATATTTCTATAAAATTCTTCAAAACAATTCAATTTTTCTTTAAATTTTAATAAATTCTTCGATCATTTCAATTATTTCTATAAATAGTAAAATTCTTTGCAAAAATTCAATTCTTTTCAAAACAATTTTAATAGAATTCCTCAAAAGAATTTAATTATTTTCAAATATTTACATAAAATTAATTTGTTTTCTAAAATTTTAATAAATTCTTTGGACCAATTCAATTATTTTAATAAATATAGTAAAATTTTTTGTAAAAATTAAATTATTTTTATAAATAATTTTCAATAAAAATTATTTTAAAAAATCCATTATTTTAAAAAAATCCAAAAAAATTCTTCGAAAGAATTTAATTAGGATTTTTAAAAATTTTAATAGAATTCATCGCGAGAATTCAATATTATTTTCATAAATAAAAAAACTTGAATTTTTTTTTGTTAAGATTCTTTGCAAGAATTCAATGATTTTCAATATACAATTTTAAAATTGAAAATAAATTTAAAAAGAAATTTTTTTTTAAAAGTTAGGAAACAAAAAAGCAATTAACAACCAACTTTAAACTGCGAACAGATTACCGGAATACAACGATTATTAAAGTTTTTGATAAATAAAAAAAATATTAAATAATAATTTCGAATAACTTTTGATCGACCTGATGAAATTGAATGAAACAAACGCTAAAATAATCTTATTTGTGATTTTCTTTAAGATTAAAAAAAACCGTGAAACTTTTAAAAATTCATCCGCCATATTGGTTCCGCCATTTTGAATTTTCAAAATTTAACCTCAAATTCGTAATCAGCAACCCGAAAAACCCTTTTATAGAAAATTTGGATCGAAATCCAAAGAAATTTGTTTTTTCCGCATTTTAGTCATTTTTCTTTGAAATTGTAGCCGCTAAAGGGGCTGATAAAGTTTTTTTTAAAAATATTTTTCATTTTTATGAAACTAGGTACAAGTGGTACAAGTGTTTTTAAAACAATATTTTTAAAATTCCATATTTTGAAATGGAAATTCGCATTTTTGCTCTATCATAACAGTCGAGTCTGGCAACACTGTAACCAATTCTTGTGTTTACGAATTTCACCTTCACGTGTGTATAGAATTGTCAATTTTTTCTCCAGTTATCAATATAGTTTTAAATATTTGAAAAGATTTTTAAGTTTGTGAGATTGTTGTACGATATGGAAGCAAAAAATGCTAGGATTGCAAATCATTGTTGCAACCCTTTTTCGAAACATTCTCGTAGAAGAGATAACATTGTAGAAATGACACCGGCTCTGAAGAACCGCTTTCCTTTCTTGAAAGGGCACAAAAACATTTGTAAAAGTTGTAAAACTTTGTGCTATCGAAAGGCAAAGGAACAACAAAAAAGTCTTCAAGAAAATTCAGAAGAATTCGTCGATAATTGTGTTAAGTCTGAACTTATTTTGATAGTACGTATACCTATGAAAAGTATTTTTTTTAAAGTAATAGAATTTTTACAAATTTACATATTAATTTAGAATTCTCATTTTCAATACAAAAATTTTGATAATTAAATGTAATTTATCTACTTTGGTAGTACAATATAAAAAAATAGGTTATGTTTGTCATTTTCAAAAGTGAAAATCGTGAAAATATAAAAAGGATCAGTTATTCTCAATGCGAAATAACGAGGTTTAAGTTTTCATTTTACATCTAATATATTCAACAAAAATTATTTTTTTTTGTATTATTTTTTCATTTGCCAATAAGGACAATTTTTAACATTGTAAAATTTTATTCTGTTTCATAGTTTGTACATATAATTTTTTTAGTATTATACGTATTATAACAAATAGAAATATCTTTATAATTATTAAATTTAATCAAATTGAAAATTCTAGAAAGAAGAATTAGATATTCCCATGAATGAATCGCAAGAGATAGTGGAAAATGCGGAAGAATTAGAAGAAGAAGAAGAAAAAGCACATTTACGAAAAGAAAAAATTAGCATTGCACTGAATATTCTGCTTGAAGAATTTGATTTGACACCACTTAACTCCATAGATTTATCAGTAACAGAAGCCGCAGAAGAAAACTTCAACCAACTATTACAAAAATTAAAAAAGTTCTTCATAAAAAACTACAAGTCAGACAGAATTTAGTAAAAGGGACGATAGGGACCTAATAATTTCAGCTGATGAGAATATTTTTTACGATCAAAAATATTAAAATATATGAAGTCATTCTTGTAAGACGGTAGTTTTTGGAATCTTAACTAAATCACAGGTGAGATTATTTTAGCGTTTATTTCATTCAATTTCGTCCGGTCGCTCAAAAGTTATTCGAAATTATCAAAACTTTGTATAAACATAATATAAACTTAATTTTTGTTTTTTACGCTGAATTTTTTAAAAAAAAGTTAAATAATTTTGTTAATTAAGTTCTTTGAGAATTTTCAAATCCATTTGTTTACAATTCAATTTTAGGAAATTCCAATTATTCGCAAGAGTGTCTACTAACTGGGAAAACCGGGAACAATTTTTTCACAAAATTAAAAAAAGTTTTATTATTTTAATTTTTTTTAAAAAATCGCTTTTTATTTCAATTTTTATAGATATTTATACTGTTCTCTAAATTTTAATTAGTTGAAAATAATTAATTTTATATAGTCTTGAAACAAATGACCACTCATTTCAGCTTGAAATGGGCTAGGATTTTTTCATAATACTAATATATTCATCTGAGATTTCTACTATCTCCTGTCTTTTTAAAACTGACCCATACAGACCGAAATTTCGGTCGCATTGACAATAGCTATGTCCTCCAACAGGGAGAATGTGGATTATTTTTACATTACGCTTTGCAGATAACCAAGCGCAATATCGCATCATAGGGAGCTGCAGATTTTGTGCGTAATCAAATTCAAGAACCAATGTTTTGTTTTTATCGTCTTTACACACTCCAGTAGTGTACTCATTTCTCTATGATCTTTATACATTTTTTCATGAATGCGTAAGTCATTCTTACAGGAATCATCAGGATTCGTTGTTAAAAGTCGCAAACATCGGTTCTAAGTGATCGAATAGAGTATTTGCTCTTTTCACGAAAAAATTTATGGTAAACTTTGTATGTTAAATCAAGCCGAGTTCCTGTTTTCTTTTCGTGAAATTTCAAAAATAAAGAATGCAACTTTACAATTGTAAGATCTGCATTATCAAAGTATTTCCTTTTCGTGTTCTGGCCTTTATAATGTGATTCCTTGTGAGGCAGTGTTGACCAGTGTTCTTCAACTGATTCCCAAATATCATCCGGTATTTTTTTTGGATTCGGTGCCTTCCCACGAGTTTCTGTGGCAACAAGCAAACCTGTAATTTCCATTTCAGTATAGTTAGTTGAAAATTAGAAAAAAAAAACATTTAGGATAAAAATGCAGTTTTATATTATATTTTGAGTTATTTAATTGTATAATTGTATAATAATAAAACAAAAAACTTAATTTCCATGAATAATTTAGAAAATATTAAATTACTATAAAATACTAAAAATATTAACATTTCAATTAATACTAACTTGAGTAAATAATAAATTTAAAAACAAATTTTAAATCATACCTTTATTATTATACTGATGTATAGTTTTCATTCTTCTTTCAGTAATTTGAAGTAAAGTTATTAGGAATTTTTTACAAATAAAGGAATCTGAACCGGCACTTTTTACTGTATACTTCCAAGAATGTTGTCGATTTTTGGTTTTGGGACTAGGTTTTGCAGTTTTAATGTTCTCTCGATGCACGCAACTAATTAAAAAAGTATCCTGGTCTGCTTTCGAACCCAGAGACCAAAACTTTTGGAAAATATCCTTTTGTTCTTGTCGATTTAGTTTCGAACAACACTTATTATTACAACAGTTAGTAATTTGTTTAAAGATTTTGCAATCGATTTCATTTTCATTCTTAGAAACATAACCTCTTCCTGGATTCTTGCTGATTTTCCTCTTATTTTCTTTCCATTTATCTTTTCGCACACGTTTTTTTAATCCACCACATTCTGATGCAGAAGAACTTGATTCCATTGTAGCACTTTCCATCGCAATAACTTTTTTGATCTATATTTTTTTATTCGATAAAGCTCTATGTGACAAACGTCAATAAACGCGAAAGACAGCGCGCGCGGTACTGTGCAGCAGAACTGCAGAAGCGACAGACGCAGCTTGACGTTCGGCCAGCGCCGTAGTTTGAAATTGAAATAATATTTTTTTTTAATAATTAATTAAATAAATATTAAAAAAATTTAATTAATTTCAGAAGAATTTGAATTATTAAAATTTTTCAAAAATCTAAGTTCTTTAAAATTTCTAATTAAATTCATTCAAATTTGAAATTTTATAAAATTTGTAATTAAAACCGTTTGAAAAGTTTATTTATTTACAAAAATTATGATCGCAACTCTTAAAATTCAATTAATTTTGAAATAAAATTATTCATTAAATAATTTATAAGTAATAATTTTATGATTGTCTATGAGGGAAACGAAAGGCACAAAAAATGAGAATTTTCTTATGAATTCTAAAAAATTAATTTTTTCCAGTACATTCTTTTTATCCCTGACTTTTCTCTGACCTGTGGCAACCCTGTTAATTAACAAATTTAATTTATTTCAATTTCTGTATTTATGTTCTTATCAGGAATGAATTTAATGCTCCAAAAACGAAAATAAGTGTGAATCTCACATGGGAGAAAATTATATCGAGACCTGATGGAGGAAAAAAATATTGGGAACACACTCAACGAGAATTAATTGCCAAGAAAAAAAGAATAAAAACTTTAGAGTTAACACTTCGACGTATGAAAGAGAAATTATTAAATGTACAAACATCGATAAAAGAATTGAAAGAAAATCCTTACGTTGCTGTTTATGTTCAAAATGATAAATAACATATTTTTATAAAACAGTAAAAAGAAATTTTTACGTTTACAAATTAAAAAATAAAGTGATTGTATAGTTAATTGTAAAGCTTTTTTCATAAAGAAAAAAATGATAGAAATTAAAATGTAATTAACGAAAATTGGTATGTAAAAAAATTATTTACTGTAAATAAATTTATACACTGTTTATTTTTTCGTAAATACATAAAAAAATAGAGGTGGACTTTTTGTTTACGTATTCGTGTATCTATAGCTTGCAAATTATCCCTAACACATGCTTCTTAAAGGGAATGATGAGAGTAAAATTATAATAATAATACACATGTCTTGTGTTTCGGCACATTGAACATTTTGTGGCAAACACTTTTTTTTTGTAAACAATGCACAACGACGAGGAACTATTGAAATCTCCTCTGACGATTTATAACAATAATAAAAACTATAATCGTTCCAGACGACGTTACGTTCTAATAAGAGAATGTACACAGAATGTATTGTTTACACTGTGGCTCGAAAAAAGAAGCCAGTAATTCGCATTTCAATTGACTAATATAATCTAAGAAAAATGCGTTCTTCATTATAGAGAACGTGTTTGTGATACGCCTGAAATTTTCTCAATTTTTCTAAAGTCTTTGTAAAATTTTATTTCCCTAAATAAATATTAAAATAATTTTTCTTGCCATCATATTGACGAAACGAAAAATGTACAGTGGGCCTTTTTAAAAATGATGACTAATCCAGTAGATTTGAACATTCGTTATTAACAAGTGGAGAGAATTGTCTCGATTAATATGGCCGCGGAATATGCACTTGGAACAAGATTAACAACTTTAATTTCATCATGCAAATTTGCTTTTGTAAATTGACGTCATTTGCTCAAGGAAGATGAATGTTAAGACAGTGTGCGGTCCTAAGCGAGCGTAATAAGGAAAGAATCCTTTCCACAAGGCAAATAGACCTTCGTTTCGCACCACCTTCGTTAGCACATCCACTGAACCCTTGAACTCTGGTTTTCCGTCTATCATCTTCATGTTTTGGATTCTAAAATGCAAACAAAGTTTATTTTTCATTCTCTGCTTCGTATAAGTAAACATTAATAATCACTGTTCGACAAAAATTCACTGTTTTTCTGGCCCTTTGGTTCTTCTGGTTTCTAATTTTACTGAACTTTTTTGGAATCTAAAATTCCCAAGATGAAACCTACAGGAAAAACATTACGTCTCATTTTTGTAGTAAATTTCATTGTCTTTAATTTGGTGAATTTTAATTATAAATTTAGATTAATTTTCTTTGAAAAAAATAAAAACGAAAGATTCAAATTTATTTTTGTCACATTTGCCCCAAACCCAAAACTTTTAATAGAAAAACTTTATTTTTGAGTTGCTGCTATTTCATTTAATTTTCTTTCTGTTGAAATTTTTAGAATATTACAATTTTACAACAATTAAAATTTTCAAAGGTTTCAATTAAAAAAACTCTTGAAATTTAATTATTTTAAAAAAATTTCACTATAACGCTATTCTTATTAGAAAGCTCTACGAGAATTCAATTATTTAAATAAAGAAATAAATAATTGAATTTTTTTGAAGAAGTTTAATAAAATTTTTAAGAATAATTGCATTTTTCAAACAATTTTATAGCTCATGGAAATAATTTAATTCTTGTGACAAATATGAGTAAAATTTTTTTAAATAATTGAATTACTTTAGAACAATTTATTGAAATAGTACCTAAATATTGAAAATAGTTAAATTTCGTCAAATTTTTGGAATAGCAAAGGAATTTAATTATTTTAAGAATTTTGATATAATTTGTTTATCAAAATTTAATAATTATTTTCAATTCATTTTTAATTAAATTTCTTGAAAAAATGTAGTAGTTTTCAAAAATTTTAATCAAATTCTTTCTAATACAAATTTTTTTAAATTTATAATTTTAATAAAATTCTTCGTAGCAATTTTAAATTAAATTAAAAATTTGTATTGTTAGGAAGAATTTCATTAAAATTTTTGAAAATAATTAAATTCTTTCAAGAGTTTTATTAAAATTATAAATTTGAAAAAACATTTATTGTTAGGAAGAATTTTATTAAAATTTTTGAAAATAATTAAATTCTTTCAAGAATTTTATTTTTTATTAAAATTATAAATTTGAAAAAAATTTTATTGTTTCAAAAACTTTAATGAAATTCTTACTAACAATAAAATTCTTTTCAAATTTATAATTTTAATAAAATTTTTGAAAGAATTTATTTATTTTCAAAAATTTTAATAAAATTCTTCCTAACCATACAAATTTTTAATTTAATTTAATTTAAAATTGCTACGAAGAATTTTATTAAAATTATAAATTTGAAAGAATTTGTATTTTTAGGAAGAATTTCATTAAAATTTTTAAAAATAACTAAATTCTTTCAAGAAATTTAATTAAAAATGGTTTGTAAATTATTATTAAATTCTAATAAACAAAATGATATCAAAATTTTTAAAAATAATTAAATTCCTTTAAAGAATTTTAATAAAATTGTAAAAAAAAAAAATTGTAAAGAATTTATTTATTTATTATTTAAATTATTAATTAATTATTAATTATTATTATTAATAATTTAATTAATTATTAAATTATTTAATATTATTTAAATTGTATTGTATTGTATTGTATTGTTATTTAAATTGTAAAGAATAATTGCATTTTTCGAAAAATTTATAATTTTATTAAAAATAATTGAAATCCTGCAATGAGTTTTATTAATTGAATGCTTACAACGAATTTTATTAAAATTTTTTAAAATAATTGAATTACTGAGGAGAATTTTATTATATTTAAAAATAATTGAATTGTTGCGATGAATTTTATAAAAATTCTATTTTAATAATTAATTTGTTTCGAAAAATTATATGAAAATTGTGTTTTAAAAAATTGAATTACTGTGAAAATTTTATAATTTATGAATATAATTGATTGTTTGTAAAGAATTTAATAAACATTTTTTCTTATATAATTGAATTCTTTTGGGAAATTTTTTATTAAAATAGTAAATATTGAAAATAATTGAATTTTGAAAATTTTTTGAAAATAATATTGAATCGTTTCAAAGAATTTTAATAATATTTTTTGAATTGCATAATTTTTGAATTGAATAAATGTTTATCGTCAAACTTTCCTTAAAATTTAGCTTGAAACTTTCCTGAAAATTTAAATTAAATTTGCACCTATATAGATTTAGATGAAAATTTTATTTAAATTTTCAGGTAAATTTCACGATAAACATTTATTGAAGTGGGCCATTTAAATCTTTACACAATTTTCATTAAACTTTGCAAGTAAATACTCCGAAGTTTGCAAGTAAATCTTTAATAAACTTTTAGGAATGTTTCGGTGCTGTGTGGTCTTATAGTGATTCAAAAAGTGTCAAAACTGCGACTTTTTGCAATTTGACCCCGTTTTTCTCAAAATTGAGACGTGCTGCTAAAATTTTACTCACAGATTCGTAATCTACGGCAAAAATTCTATAAGAATCATCATCGTTTCTTTTTGTAGCAAAATTTTGTCAATCAGTGTTATCAATTAATTTTCGAATGATTGTGTCACCTCGTTTTAGCGATATCAACAGGCATCGAAGCTGCAGTTGTTACCAATCCAGAAATCATGGAAGCGACAAAGTGTAGAGTTATATTTTCCTCAAAATAACCTGCAATTTTAGTGAAAATTAAAATTATCAACAATAAATTATTTCAAATCAAAGTTAGCTGCTAATGTACAGTAAATTAAAAAGAATTTTAAAAAAGTTTGTACCCGTGTCGAGAAGTGATTCCTTTGCTTGTGAATAAGACGCAAGTTGTGCAGCATTCACCACCATGGCTCTTCCCATTGTTGGAATGGCTCCTCGCCAAAGAGTAAAGACTCCTTCCTCTCTTGTCATTCGTAAAAGTGCGTGGAAGACATTCTTGTAATTGCGCCTTTCAGCTGGAAAATCAAACAATTTTGGTTTGAATATAATAAGAAGTAAGTATTCATTAAGAAAATTTATTATTAAAGATAGTAAATAAACTCTAATTCGTTGATTAGACTACCTAAGGGCAATCTCCCATCGGCTGTCATTCTGATTAAGGCGACTTCCGCTGGCGTTCCAACAAATGCACCGACACAGCCTGCAGCCATTCCAATGCCTGCCTTCATAAAGAAATTCGGTTGTCCTTCCTTTCTAAGGAAATAGTCAAACAATTGTCCTTTTTTAAAATAAATGTTTTCACGAAAAGTAAGAAATGGAAGCGTTTTTGTAAGAAAAGAGACCAATGTTTCAAATATTAATGATATTAATGTTATTTTAATCTGTTTTTTGCTTCTTTAATTTCTGCCGAGTGACTAAGGCAATATGCAGAAAGCAATTTTTCTCTGAAAAATAAGATCGCAGTCTTCTTCTGATAACTCATTATCTTATTATTTCCAAACGTATGTCAGGTATCTCAGTGGTTTTTTATTCGAATATTAGGTAAAAAGAGTATTCTTTCTTTTATTATTCATATATAGTTTTTCCTTCGTTTTTAACTATATTATTCTCTGGTTATTATTTTATAATAAAAAATAAAATGGGGAAATCTACTCACGAGGCAAGTTCAAGGAGCCAAGTATATATTCCCAGTCTGGTAGTTGTGTAAGTAGCTTGTCTCAAGAGGCCTGCAGAAAGTCCTGAATACATAGCGAAAAGGCCTTCATTTTTTAAAATATTTGAAACAACGCTAACAGTCGATGTCTTCGTTCCGCTCAGTTGCATTCGATTTTTGATCAGATCTAATGGTTGCACGAAGCATGTTGCTGCCATTCTAAATCAAAAAAATTATTCACAATTAAACAACGATAAATTTTAATTAGTCAAATTACAGCTATTTAAATTATTAGTATCGTGCATTTTTACTGTTAAATTACTCATTTTATTATTATCTACTAAAAAATTGAGGGGCATGATAATAATGAAATTCTTTTCCAAAATTCAATTATTTTGATAAATATCAAAATTCTTCTCAAGAATTCAATTATTGTCAAAAATTTTAATTAAATTCTTGCGGCAAAATTTCAATTATTTAAACAAAATTTAATAAAATACTTTGTAAGAATTCATTTATTTTTATAAATTTTAATGAATATCTCGTCAAGAATTCAATTATTTTTATAAATAGCAAAATTTTTCGCAAAAAATTCAATTATTTTCAAAAATTTTAATAAAATTCTTTGCAACATTTCAATTATTTTTAAAAGTTTTTCGCAATTCAATGCGTTTTTAAATATTTACTATTTTCATAAAATTTATCAACATATTTAATTATAGAAAAAACTTGTTAATACAATTCTACGAAAAGATTCAATTATTTTCATAAATAATAAAAATTTCATTTACGAATTCAATTATTTTCATCGCAGAATTTCAAATATTTTTAATAAAATTTTAAATAAATTCCTTGTAAGATGCAATTATTATTGAAAAATTTTATTAAAACTTGAAAGAATTCAATTTTAAGAAACATTCAATTATTCAATAAAACAAGAAAATTCGTTGCAATAATTCAAATATTTTCATAAATAACATTTAATTCGTCGCAGAAAATCAATTATTTTAAGGAATTTTAATAAAATTCTTTTCCAAAATTCAACTATTTTGATAAATATCAAAATTCATCGCAAGAATTCAATTCTTTTGAATAGTAATAAAATACTTTGCAGAAATTAAATTATTTTCAAAATTTTTTGAAAATTCTCGTCAAGAATTAAATTATCTTTATAAATATTAAATAGATAGGGAAATTCTTCTCAAGAATTAAATTATTGTCAAAATTTTTTTTTAATTTTTCTCAAAAAGTCAATTATTTTCAAAAATTTCAATAAAATTATTCTCTCATGAATTCAATTATTTTCAAAAATTATTATTTAAATTCTTCTCAGGAATTCAATTATTTTTAAAAAATTTAATAAAATTCTTCAAAAAGTTTTCAATTATTTTCAAAAATTGTTATAAAATTCTTTAATATAATAAATTTCATTAAAATTTTAATTAAATTCCTTTAAAGAAATTAAATATTTTCAAAAGTTGTTAATACAATTCTTGGTAAAAATTAAATTTTAAGAAACATTCAATATTATTTATTTTTGTATTTAAATAATTGATTTCTCGTAGAATTAAATTATTATTTTTCGTACTTTTAACTAACAATTCTGTAGAATTAATTTTTTTTTTTTGAAAAAGTTTAATTGAATAATAATTGATGTTATTGATTTAAAGTAGAATTTTAGTTGAAAATTCTAGCAAATGTTAATTGAATTGAAATGATACAAATAATTTTAAAGAAATTACAGTAGCAATATTCTTATAATAATAAAATAATGATTTTGTCAGTCTGTCATCTTTAATTATTATAAAACATGAAGATATCGATTGCTCCGAGTCGAAGACTCGGAGTGATTGATTTCTTCATGTTATTAAAAAATTTAACTAATTTCAGAAGAATCTGATTTAATAAAATTTTTCAAGAACCTAAGTTCTTTAAAATTTTTAATTAAATTCATTCAAAGTAGAAATTTTCTAAAATTTAAAATTAAAACCTTTTGAATTTGATCTATTTATAAAATTGAATTAATTTTGAAATTCGTTGAAATAGAGTTTGAACTTAATAAATTTGGAATCACTACGGAAATTCGAACTAATGATTTTTATATAATTTCCATGCGCTCTGAAATTTCCATGATCTGATTAGAATTTTCAAGAGACTTTTAAGATTTCATGAACTAAAATGAAGTTCCATGACAATTCTATGATTTCCAGAGATTTTCCTTGACTTGCAGAAACCCTGCTGTTTAAAAATGCAAAAAAATAAGTATTCTCTTTATCACTGGAAATGACCTTAGAAGATTACATAACTGTCGAAGCATATGAATCTATAATTGTAACACTTTCGAGTTATGGTGTCAAATATCTTATATTTTAAAATAACTCAGTAAAAAAATAATGTATTTTCTCAAATATCCATTTATCAAGTTTCAGAAATAGGGAAATTTTTTTACATAAAATCTATATAAATATACATTTCACATTTATAAAATTAGAATTAGCCACTCAAGTTGTAAATAAAAAGTGACACATTTATAAAATACTTGTTGAATAAATAAATAATTATTTATAAATTGGCATTCAAGGAGAGAGTAAATGAACTTTTGAAAGGAGTGTATGACAGAAAAGCATCACATGCCTTGCAGGTATATTTAAAAACCTTGACTGTCGTTTACTACCGGCGAAAAACTAAATTAAGAACACTGCGACAATATTCTATATCATTTTTTTTAGCAAATTTACTCGACAATAAAATTCGAATTTCATCACGCGAGTAAAACAAATACAAACTATATTTCATATGAATAGTTAAAAATCCCACTTTCGACATATAAATACCCATTTGGAAATTAATTAATAAAAACAATAATATCGATGAGAGGTTCGTTAAAACGATAACAATCACCGATAAGAATTTATGCAAAAACATTTCAACGGGAAATTGTATAATTTTATTGATTTCACGATGCCTGCTTCGCCTGCTTTGACCTCTGCTTTTCGGCAAAATCATTAATTGATACATCAATTCTGACAGCTGAGAAAAAACAATTGGTAACTAACTCAAAGTCCAACAATCAATTTTTAAAATAAAAGAGTAACAATCCCCGTTCATTATTTCAAATTGAATATTATGTCTATTACAATTGAGGTTATAATTTCAAATTTTTGCCATTTTGAAACATTGAGAAAATTTTACTGAAAAGAAAAAGAAGTGCAGAAATTTTTAAGAACTCGTATTAAGTAATTTATTTTTAAGTTCTGAACATAGACTGTAATTAATAATTAAAATATTTATTACTAACCCAGAAGTTCCGCCGATAAAAAATTTGATTCCATTTGGCACCGTTTTCTCACTTCCCATTTTGACTAGTTTTTTATTCTAACGAACGCTACTTAATTTATTTTTTCTATTTTTTTTATTGATATCAGTTTTTTCTTTTTGAAATTTAACCAGAACCGGACACTGAATATTAAATGTTAACTCATATCAATCTACAATGAATGCGACTGAGCGACTGGAATGTCTCGTCTGCGCACGCAATTTTATATATACGTTACGTACATAATTATTTAGTGAAATTAATTTTTATCTCAAATTTGTTTCTTGTAGGTAGTTATTTTGTTAATTTATTATTTTTACAACGTTAGAATTTTGGGTATCCGAATTTTATTAACAAAAAAAAAGAAATGTGTCACTGTTTTCAATTAAAAACAAATGAAATAAATTTTCTCAATAATAGAAAATTTTTATATTTTTTTGCAATATAATAATTATTGCCTAATATATATAATACCGGTCTTAATTTTGCGATCATACTTTTTCGATGAATGAAAACATTTAAAAAATTTTAAATATTAAATAAAACCCCGAGAATTAATATTTTATTTATTAGAAATATGGAAAAAAATGTTTGTCGCCTTTTCAAGGTTTTCAAGGTACAAAAATAAGTTTTTTAATCTTCTTCTTTAATCTTTTAAATATTCTTGTTATACCTGTTGATGTAGTAACTTTTAACACTTTAAAACCTAAATTTTATATAAAATATATTTTTAATTAATAATTAATAATTAATTAATAATAATTAATAATTTTTAAATTATTTTTAAAAAAATCTTTATTTTTGAACTCGAAATGCTAAAAAATACACTATTTATTATTCAATTTTTTTTATATAAAAATTCATTTTCTTATTTTACTAAATAATTACAGGTCATCATTTTTATATATAAAAAATAAAATATTTTTAAAAATTATGATAAAATTGTGATAAAATTATGATCCGTAATTAGTTAGTAAAATAAAGAAATGAATTTTCAAATCAAAAATTTAATAATAATAGTAGCTACTTTATAGCATTTTCTGTCTAAAAACAAAAATTTTTTTTCAAAAAATAATTAAATAATTATGAAAATCAATTTTTTTTGTTGATCCAAAAACATATTTCCTAAAAAATACGCATGAATTTTAAAATTCATCAATTTTTAAAGAAAAATAAAAATACAAAAAGGGTCATAATATTTTCTGACCGATTCTATTTTTTTGCCATTGAATTCCTCACAAAAAATTATTTTCAAAATAATTTTGTGAAATATTTAAATTATTTTTTTTATAAGTATAGTTAATAATATCGGTGTACCCTTAAAAAACTCAATTATGTTTAATATAATTTTATACGGAATTACTATTATTTAAAAAATGTTTAATTAATTATTTTCAAAAATTTTATTTTCTTAATTAAAAAAAGTAGAATTAAAATTTTTTAAAAAACAAATTTATTTTATAAATTTTTTTTATTTTAAAGCTGAAAATTTTAACTTTTTAAAATTTTATCATTTACAAAATTTAGCTATTTTAGATCCATTATGAACATTTTTCTTGTTTTTACGCTAAAAAAATATTATAAATTGCTGCTCTTCGTAAAATTCAATAATTGTAAAATAAATACAAAGAAATATTCTCTAAATGTCAATTAGTACTTAATAAGAAAAGAAAGAAATTCGAGATAGCGTTTTAAAAAGTAGAGTAATTTAAAAGTTATTAAGGTGAAAAAGAATTCAAGAAAAATTAATGGTTTTCAAGAGTTTTAAATATTTTTAGACACCAATTATTTTCGTATAGTAATAATTGTTGAACTTTGATAGTTTTTTTTAGTATTTTTGATAAAATTCTCTGACCTATGACAATCATGTTGATTTGTTGATTTTTTTTAAAACAAAAAAAATTTCTGTAGAATTATGAAAACTTTATATTTTTATTATAGAATTTTTACGAGAATTTTTATAAAATATATTTGTTTGAATTTCAAAAATTATTTTCGTCTAAAAAAATGGTTACAAATTTTTCTTGAATTATTTAAACGTTAATTAATAATTTTTCTAGTACTCTGTATTCTCTTGAATTAATCACTTTAGACGTTTGTTTAGAATTTTTTTGAGCGTAGTTTATGTTTACAGAAACTGATAAATCTATTTTTGAAACTTTTATATCTAAAAATGATTTTTCTTCATAAAATCGCTAATTCCTAGTAAGTTTATATGTTTCGATTAATTGTTCCTAAAATATAAAAGAAAAAAAAATGTCATAAATTGAAGTTTGAAATTAAAATGGTTATGAATTTGAGATTGATTAAGATTAGAATTTTAATTTTATAGATTGTTTGAAAATTTGTCGATAAATTACAATTTTGATCAACTAAATTGGAACTAAATTCATAATAAGATTAATTATTGGCGAATTTCAAAGTTTAAAAGATTTGTCAAATTAAATTCAGTCAACTAAAATTTTAATAAAAATATGAAAATTTTACAAAATTAAAATTAAGATTATAAAAATGTAAATTAACTAAAAAAATTTAAGAACTAACTGTTGATTAAAATTATTTGACAAATAATTAAATTTTTGACTAAATTAAATATTGAATAATTCCACGTGAAACGTTCAAGTAAAAATTTTAATTTTCTGGGAATGGCTTAAAATTCTGGTAAATTGTTCTTCTGTATAAAACCTTATTTTTCAATTTTCACAAAAACTACCTTTTTTTAAATTTTTTTATCATTTTCACTGGAAAGCTGAGATTTTTTCCAATAAACTTTGTAAATTAAACAAATAATACAACAATGAGATTCCAAGAAAATAAAAAAAAAACAACTTTTTAAAGATTTTTTTGTGCTTATTTTATTGAAAACCCATTATTGTCCCATTTTTTTAACTTTACAATAATTTACTGGAAAAAAATCTCAGCTTTCCAAAGAAAAAAAAATGAAAAAAAGAAAAAAATAGGCACTTTCTAAAAAAAATAAAAAATAAGATTTATTATTTTTTTTTTTTTGAAAAAAGAGTTTTGAAATTGAAAATTTAGCAGAAATTGCTTTAAAATTCACTATATAAAAATTAAAATTGCTCAATTTTTCTAGAAGTCATGTCAATTTGAATAAAACAATGTCCCTTAAAATCGAATTTTTTTTATTGAATTTAACGTGAAAATGCTCTATACCAACACTTCTTCTGAAAATTGAATTAAATTTTTGAAAATAATAGTGTTGTAGAGATAATAAAATTGAGAAATCTTTTAAATTTATTATTATTATTATTATTATTATTATTATTATTATTATTATTATTATTATAAGTATATATTTACAGAAACGGAAAGATAGAACAGTAACGAAAATCTATTACTCATCAATTTAAATTTGCAATAAATTATTTTTGAATACCTATTATTTACAAAAAAGACTAATTATTCGCCTTTTGGGAATCATTAGAATGCATCGCGTGATTCATCATAGATTCAACTCGATTTACACTCTCTCTGACAACGTCGGATAATTCATCTGGCATTAAATGGTCCAAAGTGGGAATATGAGCAGAAAGTCTTTTATATACAGAATCTCTGTTTCCTTCCTTTTTGTTCCTTCGCTGCTCCTCGTATTTTAATTGCTGCTTGTAAAACATGGCGTTTTTGATAAATTCAATTGTATTATCGAAACTTTTGTCCGCTCCCTCGACACTTCTTATTGCACTCACTGCATATTCAACATCGTAACAACGACCCTGCAATTGATTTCGAAGAGCAAGAACTTCTACTCTTTTCTCAACCATCGGAGGCAATGCTTTTCTCACATGCTCCTGTAATCTATAGAACGCGAGTGATGGTTCATTTGCAACGATGTGCATATTCTCTGAAATCCGCTCCGTAGCTGTAAATTAAAATTTTTTTTAATCTCTTATTTATAATATCTAAAATCTAAAAATTCATTCATTCCTATGAAATTTTTATTATTTATGAAAATAATTAAACGTTTGCGTAGAATTTTATCAAAAATTTCTTTTAAATAACATAAATTCTTCTGGAAAATTTTATTAAAATAATAGTAAATATTGAAAAACATTGAATTGAGGGAATTGTTTTTGAAAATAATTGAAATTTTGCCAAGATCAATGAATTTGATCTACAGTAACTTTAAACGAGAGAAAATCAATTAGATTAGAAAAAGTTAATAAAAAATATAAATTAACAATGATTGTAAAAGTGTAATAGTAAAAATAAAAGACTACATAATATAATTAAAATGTAAAACTAACCTTTTTTCACTTTGGTTTCAAGTTCTTGATCTGATTGATAGACCTTAGCCATTGTTGTTAATTTAATGACAGACTAATAAACAAACTTTTCGTTTTTTTTTATTTATTTCACCTCTTGAAAATTTGTAAACTATTTTCTTCCCAAATATCATCCATTCGAAATCAATAAACAACCAGCAGTCAATATCATTTTAAATGATTACGTATTCAAACACAACCTATAAACTTAGAGATGTAAACTTCAAGTCCCATAAATAAGATTCATATACTTAAATATTATGATCTTATTTTGAATCAACATTGTCAAATTTTTGTCTCAGTATAAATTTTGACATTGTTTACGATTTTGAGACTTTTGACACATTGTCAAAAACAAATGTTCACACTTGTTGTCAGAAACAGCTGATTTCCTGTGTCGAAGACAGGAAGTGACGAAGCTTGAGATCTCCAAGTACGTGGCAGAGAAAGCACGGCGCTGTTGGCAGCGATTTGTCGAATTTTTTCTCAGTTCGCCACATGTACTAATCAGCTTCTATGCTGTTTCCACTTGTAGCATAAAAATCTAACATAGTTTTATGATACCTTAGAATATTATTTATATCATAACAGGTAAGTTTATTTTTCTATTAAATTGCAAACGACATATTTCCAAAGCATAATCTACTTTTAATTATATTTCAATATTTTGTATACCATAAAAAAACGGTAACATCAAGTTTAGACCGCAAAGTATGTATACAATTTTTGGAGCTCTTATTTTTTTATTTTCACGCACTTTTTCTAAATTACATCCCCAATAAAAAGTTGTAAACAAAGCAGGAAAATTATTTTCACTACTAATTTTCTAATTTCTCTCAAAGTTTCTTCATTATTTTTCTAAATATATTCAAAATTTGAAGAACTTGCTATTTGACAGCTTTCGGGAATTTTACTTTTAAACCTGAATATTAACAGACGGTGGCAAAATTTTTTAGAAAAATTTATAAATTATAAAATTAGAAGGACATAAAGTGTTTAGATACTGAGAAATTTGATAAATTTCATCTTGAGAATGTGTTGAGTATATAAACAATATGTTATTTCTGCATTCTTGGAATTAAAGGGACAATTTAAATGTAACTTTTTATTGTATAGGTGTTTTAAAAAAAAACTTATGTCAATTTTTAATAAACGTTTTAATTTTGAATTTTTAATTAAATGTTTAAATGGAAATTAGTAATAATTTTGAAATTCACATTTCAGAATGAAGTGCCACATATTTTTCGCAGTCACCCTGGCTTTGTTGGCCAGCACTTTAGGAAATGATGAGCCAGAACCAGAAGGTGCTAAATTGCTCATTGCTAAGCACATTAACAATAAATACCTCGTTGAAAATATGGATGTTGTCGTTAAGGTAATTTTCCTTCAATTTTAATTAATTTTCTGCTTTTAGGATCAATTTACCTATTTACCAATTTACCTTAGAGATTTCCATAATTTAGTAGAAGATAATTTACATACTAATTTACATTTTCTTTTTTTGGAGTAATGATAAAACATATTGCGTATTTCTATTTATTTCTATTTTATATTCTATATTATTATTATATTATTTATTAAAACTAAAATTAAATATTTAATTTAGTATAAATTCTATATAATTTGATAATGAAACAATGCAACAAATTAATAAAATTTTTATTGTTTCGAAATCTAAATGATTTCTTTTTCGGAGAGTCTATCAAAAATATACAAAATTAAAATAATTACAAAGAATAATTCAACAAAAAAAAAAATAAAAAGACATAAAATATAAATAATTATCTTACCAGAAATTAATAAGTCAAATAAACGAGGACTCTAACACTGGAATAGAATCTGGAGTCAGAAAAATTATAATGAAAGTTAAAAAATAATAAAGGAAAAAAAAATGGGTAAAAATTTAAAAAATACAAAAAATAATTAAATATTTGAAGTTAGGATTACATTAAATTAATAGTTATTAAGAGAATAAGTAGGTTACGAAATCAATAAGTTCAATATGAATTTTATAGAAACTAAATAAAAGAAAATCATTGATTATTTAATCAATAAATAATAAACATAAATAGAAATAAAAATGAAAGTAGTAAAAATTGAAAAGTAATAATAAAAATTAATAAAATTACGATTTATTCAATTTTTGCCTTTTATTTTACTCAATATTATTTTTTAATTTTCATTATAATTTTTCTGACTCCAGATTCTACTCTAATGTTAGGGTATAATAAAAATCTTTTTAATTTTATTTATTTGTTAAATTATTCTTTGTATATATTTTTTGATAGACTCCGAGGAAATCATTTAGATTTCGAAACGTTGGAGTAAATATATTTATATTTAATATGTTTTGATTTTAAATTTGTTGTTTTGAAGGGAGGGTATTTTAAACTGTATTTTTAAATGTATCAAGAAAATAAATTTTAAATATTCCATAAAATTATTTTGACAATTTTTTGTGATGAATTCTATGATCAGAAAGTATTTTGACCCTTTTTGAATTTTTATTTTTCTTAAAAATTGGTAGATTTTCAAATCCATTTATAATTTTATAGCATTTTTTTAAAAATCTTTGTTTCCAGGCTGAATTATTCAATTTTTTCATTAGAAAATTCATTTGTTTATTTTTCTAACTAATTTTTGATCATAATATTTTTTATCTTTTTTATTTTAATTATAATAATCGTAAGTTCCTTTCCGTTAGCAAATTATCTGCATTCATTTGTTTGTTTTGAAAATTAAATTTTGTGGGTTAAGTATTGGCATTTTTTATTTTTTAATGTCAAACTTTTTAATGTGGAAAATACTTTACTTATTAAATTGTCTCGACTCTTTGGTAAAAAATCTAAAATTATCGAAAATTATCAAAAATTCAAAAATCCGATTTTCTTAAAATTCAACATTTTTTCTTCTCTTTTATGGGATTAAGCTTCATTATTTTTGTGCTTTTGGAAAATACTTTACTTATTAAATTGTCTCGACTCTTTGGTAAAAAATCAAAAATTATTAAAAATTATCAAAAATCCGAAAAATCGAATTGCTTAAAATTCAACATTTTTTTTTGTCTTTTATGCCATTTAGCTTTATTATTATTTGAATTTTTATTCAAGAGAAAAAATGGAAAACTGAAAAATTTAGAATTTTTTAAAAATTACAGGCCTTTTCCATGATTTCCCTGATTTCCAGAAGCCTTTTAAAAATTCCATACCATTTCCATGATTTCCATGATTTCGTGATTCTGTAGGAACCCTGCTTTTGTCTGACTTTCTTCTAAATTATCGAATTCAGTGATTTCTGTGGTGAATTTGGTTAAGTTGTAAAATGATTAATTTCTATTTGAATTCGTTTTTTTTTTAAATGTAGAAAATCTGATGTTAATTTAATTCTTTTTTCGTTATGCACGGCAAAAAATATTTAGCTGGATGAACTACAGATTTCACTTTAGTAGCGAAATTTTTCAGTGCTTCAATTAATACTTTCGTTATTCTAGAGAAACTTATCGCTATTTCAAGTAAAACTTTTTTCATTGTGTAATAATTATTATTTCTTTGAAAAGTATTTAATTTAAAATGGCTTTATAAAATAAGCAATGCAAAAGATGACCCAGATACTAATTGTAATTGTTCTAGCCATAGTTTAAGTCTAGTAATGTAAATTCTATTTAAATTGAGACCATTGAGTGAAATTATTTAAATTTTAGTTAGTTAAATCTCTTTGTTAGGTTATAATAATTATTTCTTTAAAATTTTTTAAATTGTTTAAAATAAGCAGCCCCATACAACATTCCCGCGCGCGGATAGTTTGGCTAGTTATATAATAAATTCTGATAAAATTATGATTTTAAATTAGTTATAAAAATAAACAAGTGAATTTCTATATAAAAAAATTGAATAACTATGTTTTTTTTAGCATTTTCAACATAAGAACAAAATGCTTCAAAAATTAATTAATAAAAATAAAAAAATGGATTTTAAAATCTATCAATTTTTAAGAAAAACATAAATCCAAGAAGGGTCAGAATATTTTCTAACCGATTTTATTTTCTGACCATTAATTTTATGGAAGATTTAAAAATAATTTTCTTGATATAATTAAAAATGTACTCGAAGACTCCCCTTAAAAGAGTACATATTAGTTCTTTAAAGAGCTTCTATTAACATTAACTTCGATCTTATTAATTCGATTAAATTATAATTAAGTAATTAAATAAATTTTACTTGAAAAAAGTTTAGTTTGAAAGACTCTTAATTTTTGAATTTAACTTTGCAGTACACTGTCTACAATGTCGGCAATGAGGCAGCGTTGGAGGTCGCAATCACCGACAACTCATTCCCCGCTGACAGTTTCGTGCACGTGAGTGGAGAATTGAATGCCAAAATCGACAGGGTACCACCTCAGTCCAATGTGAGTCACACCGTCATCGTCAAGCCAAGGAAGTACGGATACTTCAACTTCACCTCCGCCGAAGTTGTCTACCGTCATCGCGAAGACGCTCCCAATTTACAATTTGCAGTCAGCAGCGAACCTGGCTTAGCCTATTTCATCTCTTTCCGGGAATTCGACAAGAAATTCTCCTCCCACGTGGTAAATTAATTTGCTTTCCATATTTATTATTTTCAAAATTGTACCTAGGCAATTAAATATATATTTAATTTCCATATTTATTATTTTCAAATTATACTTAGACAACGAAATATATATTTCATTTCCATATTTATTATTTTCAAAATTATACTTAGACAACGAAATATATATTTCATTTCCATATTTATTATTTTTAAAATTATACTTAGACAATGAAATAAATAATAATAGACATACAATGAAAAAACATATTTTAAAAAATTCTCTCCTTTGCAGATTGACTGGGCAGCTTTCGCTGTAATGACTCTTCCCTGTTTGGCGATTCCTTTCGGTCTCTGGTTCTCCAGCAAAAGAAAATACGAGAAATTGTCGAAAAGCTTGAGAAAGCATTGAACAATCTCCACTCACTTTTTAAGCAAATACTTAAGAACACTTCCTTGATCTTGATCTACTCAAAGATCGCAATAAAAAAAAATATTTTCTAGTATGATTGAAGCGTGAGATGAGCGACTGTTTCATTATACATATGTTGCATTTTTTTAAAATAAAGACTTATTTATGGAAAAAGTAATTTATTTTTTATCAAGTCGCTACATAATCATTACGCCTACGCTTGTCGAAGTCATTAATTAAAAAACTAATGACTACTATTTAAAGTTATAAAAAAAATTGCATGTTACAAAAGAAAATGGTATAAACAGTTTTTTTCTTAATAATAATGATCAATATGTCGAGGATATTTTACAAATGTTCAAAGGGTAACATCATTTATCATTTACTGGCATTTGCTTTTCATGTCTCAAATATTTCTCAATTTTTTATTCATAATTAGTTATGATTTTATAATTATTATAATTATAATAATTATTACAATTTTTCACTATATTTGAACTGTGAAAGTTTTCCAGACTGTCAATTTCAATTAATTACACCTAAGTCATTTTTTATTTTTCTAAGGAAAACATAAACTGAAATGTTTTTAAAAAACGAACCCTTTTTTAATTTTTAATTAACAAATTTGAGCTGTATCATATTTTCTATTATAAATAAACTGATTTATTTATTGTTTTTATATTTTTTATAATATATAATTTTATATATTTTATTTTATACAAAATATAAATCATATTTTATTTTTATTTAATAATACAAAATTTCCACAGTTGGCATCTATTTTTGTTTATAAACAAAATATAAACATTTTATTGAGTTTTAAGGGGGGAGACTTCGACTACATTTTTAACTACATCAAGAAAATGATTTAAATCGTCCACAAAATTATTTTTATAGTAATTTTTTTTTGAGAGGAAATCAATCGTTAAAAAATATTCTCTGACCCTTTTTAGATTTTTATTTTTCTTAAAAATTGGTAGATTTTAAAATCCATTCGTATTTGATTTTTACAATTTTTGAAGCATTTTTTTATTTAAAAAAAACATTGTTTTCATTGTTTTCATTGTTTTTTTGAAAATAATAAAGAATAAAATTTTTTTTACAAAAAAATGTTTATAAATAAAAAAATTGATTTTGACTGTTTTTCAAGCACTTTTTTATTTTAAAAAACATTCTTTTTACGTTGAAAATACAAATTATACAATTATTTTATAATAGAAATTCACTTGTTTATTTTTCAAATCATAATTTTATCACAATTTTTTTATATTTTATAATTTTTATTTTAAAAAATTATGATTTGAACAAAGTAAAAAAAATAAATAAGTGAATTTCCATATAAAAAAAAATTAATAACAATAGTATTTTACTGAATTTTTAATCTTAAAACAATGTTTTTTTGTCAAAAAAAATGCTTCAAAAATTGTAAAAATAAATTTTTTGTGCAGATACAAAAACATATTTTTTGCAAAATTACGCATTTATTTTCAAATCCTATCAATTTTTAAGAAAAATAAAAATCCAAAAAGAGTCAGAATTTTTTCTGACCATTGATTTCCTCTTAAAAAAAAATTCTATAAAAATAATTTTATGGAAGATTTAATTCATTTTCTCGATATAGTTAAAAATGTAGTCGAAGACTCCCCTTAAAAACTATCGATTGACATTTAATTTTTTCCTTATTAAATATAATTTTGTAGCAAAATAATCATTTTTTTTCCTTAAAAACAAAAAATGACTTTAGTAAATAAATATCCGAAGATATTTTTGTTTTCTTTATAAAACTTAAATGCTAAAAAAATACACTACTTTTTTTTAAAGAAGTTCCTATGAAAGAAAAGAAGAATATTTTGTAAATTCTTCAGAAATCGAAAAAATTAATTAGAGAAAAAAAGTTAATGTACCAAACGACTATTTACGAAAAACGAATTTGAGAAACACTTGAGAATTGAATTTTCCGCAAAATGATCAAGTATTAAGAAACTAATGAGGTAAACTTACGGAAAGCATGAAAAAAGAAAGATTTCAAACAAGTTGAAGAACTATATAGTTAAATATTAAAAAAGATTCGAAGAAAATATTCAGAGTTCTAAGTGAACATTAGAAGCTTCACTCGTTAGATATTTTAACACTTTTTCGTAATTACATTTATACAGAGTTCCATTCATCGATTGAAATCAGTATAACAATTTATTACCTTTGATAACAAAATAATTTTCAATTTAATGAAAATCCTGGTTATTCTCGATTTCGACCGTTGGTGGTTTTTAGAATACATTACTTCTTTTTTTTAACAAATGTACAAAACCTTAATTAGTAAATTGCTGCTCACATTTTGTCTATTAGGGAAAAATCGCTTGGAAATTATTTAACAAGACAACTTTATATTTCAGTGCTCAAAAATCTCTTTTAAAGAGTATTTCGATTCTTATTTTTACACTTTTTAATAATTAAAGTTTCCATTTGTATAAAGCTTATAATTTTCTACGTGTAAAAAAAAGATTTATTACTTTTCATAAACTGTTTAAAAATCATAAACTCTATTCAAATACAACTTCTAATGGTTTAGAGTGTCAAAAACTGTTTCTTGTTTCCAATTTTTATAAGAAAAATGGAAAATATAAAGTTGGAACAATTCTTTCGTTGACTGTGGTTCCAAAGACAATTTTTCCGAGAAGACAATTGAAAGTCGAAGATTTAACGATTTTTAGTATTTTCACAAAAACACTGGTTTCATTTTCAAATACTATGAATAAAAAAAAATATATATACTTATTAGCCATTGGTCAATATTTTATGAAATTGTTCATAGCTTTATATATAAAAAAAAGATTGTCAGTCTTTTCGAATTAGCCTATAAAAATGATAAGTACATTATTACATACTTAGGGTGTATGTAATGTCGTATTTCTTCTTGGCGTGAATAAACTTCGTGGGTCACCGTAAACAGGTTCAAAAGCCGAGAAAGGTCTCAAAGGTGACGAAGGCGATCGTTGTCTTGTAGTATTTGAGGTATTGTTCAAATTTGGAGAACAGGGACTAGTCGATTTTCTCAAAGGCGGCGGGCATTTTTCAGCTGAAATCAAAATTCAATATTTTACCAGATCTAAAAATAACTATTTTCTAATGATATATAAAACTTAAAAAATTGTATATTAAACTAGAAACTTTTCGTAACTTGTCCTAAAAGTATTTTTAAATAAAAATTTAATAATTATAAAATAAACATTTTTCAACGTACCAAATATGTTTCTATTTTTCACGTTCAAATCCACATTGGCCATTTTATTTTTCCAAACTGAAAATAAAAGAAAGAGTTGAATTATAAATTTCATTAAAAATTGCTTATTATTTAAAATAATAAAATTAGATTAATAAAATAAACAATAAATAAATTAAATTAAATAAGTTTTTATCGAAAATGGAGTTTTTTAAATTCTGGTTGAAATAAGTTGAACTTACAGTGAAAGAAGGTTATAAATAATACGATGAAAACTCCTAAGGTGTATCGATGGAAGTAAACGTAATCAAGCCAATGGATTCCTGAGATGTGTGCATATTGTTCGTATCTCGGCAATCGAATAAATAGCTGAAATTCAAATAAAAAATAAACAATCATTTTCGAATAAGTTTTTCTCTACACACAGAAATGTTTTCCAAAATTTGCCAACGAACAGTGGACACGTATCTTCTTAGTTATCTAAATCCAAAAGAATGCCCAATTTTTTAAATAAACATTTAGGCTTGAGTAGAAAAATGAAAATATTTTTTAAGATTAAACGTAATTTTCGATATAAAAATTTTTGGAATTATGATTCATAAACAATTTACTGGGAAAAATGTTAATAAAAAATAAAAAAAAAATGAAGCCAACACCACGCGGTATTCCCAAGCGGTCACCCATCCAAGTACTAACCGCGCTCAACGCTGCTTAACTTCAGTGATCGAACGAGAACTGGTGCACCCAGCGGGATTTGAGCGTTGGTTGTACATAAAATTTTCACCAATGAATAAAATGTTGCACTGGAGAATTTATATTATTGTATTGGAATTTTTTACTATTTTTTAACAAGAGGCAATTAAAACAAAATTCTTTTCAATGAATTTTTAATTAATATGATTTCCATTTAACCAAATTCCCTTAGTAGAACATTTTTTCGTATTCAAGATTTTCTTACATTACGTCAAATTTTAATTTATCGAAATTTTCATTTGCTAGAATTTTTATTGAATAGAATGTCATTAGACGAATTCTTAATAGACATAAAAAACATTAAAATTATTAAATAAAATTTCTAGCATATGAACATTCTAATAAATAGAATTTGTATTAAATAGAAATTCAGAAAAATCACAAAAATTAATTTCTGTATTTTATTTCCCAATTTTTTTTTAATTTTTCAATTTTTTTTCTTTTTCAATTCAATTCTAAATTTTAACAAAAATGCAATAATTTTCTAAATTTTAATTTTGGCACTTTAACAGTTTTACAATTAAAATTTCCAAACAATTAAATTTAAAAATCTTTTAAAATTTATTTATTACTAAAGATTTATAATATAACGCTTCTAATAGGTATTCAATTATTATCTAAAATTTTACCTGTAATTCAATTTTAAATCAACTCTTATTTTTTAAACTTGAATTCTTTCGAAGAATTTTAATACAATTTTTAAGAATATAATTGCAATTCAATTCTTATATAGAATTTTATTAAAATTTTTGAAAATAATTGAATCACTGAGAAGAATTTTATATAAAAATAATTGAATTCTTGTGAAGAATTTTATTAAAATTCTTTTAAATAATTGAATTCCAGCGAAAAATTTTATTATTTGTGAAAATAATTTAATTCTTGCACAGATTTTTCTAAAACAGTTTTAAATAATTGATTTCTTGCAATAAATTTATTGCAAATTCTATTTTAAAAAGTTGAATTTTTCTGAAATTTTTATTATTTATGAAAATAATTTAATGTTTTATGTAGAAATTTATCAAAAAATTTTTTTTTTAAATAATTGAATACTTTTTGCAGAAAGAAACTCTTTTTGGAAATTTTATTGAAATATTAGATATTGCAAATAATTGAATTTTGAAAATTTTTTGAAAATAATTGAATCGTTTCTAGGAATTTTATTAAAATTCTTTTAAATAATTGATTTTTTTTCGAAAACATTTATGAAAATTGTATTTTAAATAATTGGATTCCTTTAAAAATTTTATTACTTATGAAAATAATTAAATTTCTGCAAAGAATTTGACTAAAATTATATTAAAAATAATTCAATTCCAGCAAAGTATTTTATTATTTATGAAAATAATTGAATTTCAGCAAAGAATTTGATTATTTATGAGAATAATTGATTTATTACAATTTTTTAACGATGAATTCAATTAAAATATTTTTGAAAGTAATATAATTAAAATAATTAGATATTGAAAATTATAACCTGGGATTGGAAAAAATATTTTGAATTCAGGTAATTTAGAAGATGTGCCTATTGTAAGTTGGCAAATTTTGTAAATAGTATTTGTGATTGGACTATAAATTTTTGTGACAAAAATTTACATACAAATTTCTACGGTAATTTTTGAAATATAAAAAATAGTTCTTACCGAAATGTTCTGCTTCGTTAATTCATTGCTGATTAGAATCTTTTTCCCTTGAATATCGTCATGGGTGTGCATAAGACTCAATTTATATTGGAAAAGATGCTTGGAAATAAACTGCTGACCACTGATTGTAATATCATCTGGAGTCTCAATCTATAAATAATTTGAAAAAAAATTACAATAAACCTTCGCTTGAAAATTATTGACTACTAATTATTAATTATTGTCTATTAATACGAAATGAAACGTGTCTACTTACTGTTATTTGCTCCAAAACGTAGGGCAAACCATAAATTTCCAGAAAAGCGGTTGGCATTGACGAAGTTGGTAAATTTGTAAATACGACTTCTTTAATTCCAATGTAAATTAATGGCAGATAATTTATTTCCACAGGATTTCCCTCCATGTCTTTGCTGACGGCGTTCACTTGAAGACGAACTTCAGTTGTACTTGAAATCAAATTTGGCGTCCCCACGGGAATCACATCACAGTAGTAGAAACCTGATGAAATTGCAAAAAATTGAGGATATAATTGCAAAAAGATTGTTAGTCAGTAAAAAACTGAGGAGGAATTATTTACCAGTAACTATGTCGAATCGAGGTTTAGCTATGAAGAAATCTTTAACTCCAACATGAACATTCGCAGGAATAAATTGTATGGTGCACGTGAAGGGATAGGAAGTCAAAGAAAATGAAGTTTGTGTTCGACATCCACTCAATCCTCGGGAAAATACATTATTTTCCTTAATTCCTTCATCCTTGCCTCTAATTACCAGAGGTATGCTGAATACTTCCAGTCCGGTTATGTTTTTGCCCCTCAATTGAATTAACGTTATCTATTTGAAAATTTTTTTAATAATTAATAATTAATTATTTTTAACTAAAATGAATTCTATTCGTTTTCAAATTTTTGATTTATTTTTCAATAAGCAACATTCCAAACTTTACTTTTAAGAATAAAAAATTAATAAAAAAAAGTGAATATATTCATAACTGGGTCGTTAATTTCTTTGTAAAGTTACCTTCGCAACTGGAAGAACATTAATTTCTATTTCATCTTGTAAATGGGTCGTCAGACTGTGCTTGATGAAAGCTTGACCTGCATTGCGAGCTTTTCCAATTCCGGAGATTGGATCCACGGCGACGATTTCAGACGCTGAAGATTGCCAGATTCCTGGTTCGCCATCGGAAGATGAAAGAGGCATCGAGAAGCAAATTACATCGCCGACACTTACAGTTGCCTAGTAAGAAGACAAAAAAATAATTAGTAAATAAAAATGCTGTTTACTAACTTGAATACTTTAGCCCAGTCAGACGAGGCTTTTAATAATCAAGTTTCTATTTCTTTACATCATTTTGCTTTTAAAAAAAATTAAATTTACCTTTGTTGGGAAATGAATATCTCCAATTATAACAGACACATAATCGAACATTCCATTCGGATATTTCTCATTATAAATTTTAATAATCGATTTTCCGTTCTCTAAAAATTTGCCCAATAGGAGATTATTATTTCCGGGTATGAATGTCACTAAATCGCCTCTGTTTACAAATGTTTTGAAACTCGTGTCAGCGGCGTGGAATTTCGAACCGACGTTGTCGAAAAATTCTACGATATAATCCAGTTCCATTCCTTTTGGTAGCATATTTAACTCCTCGCCTAATCTTGTTCGAATGTTTGATTTCAGTGACAACATCATGTAATGAACTGGTTTTACCTTTAATAAAAATAAAAAGACAATTCATCAGACTTCGCACTCGATAATTAATTTTAAAAAAGTAGTTTTCAAACTAAAAAAAGTAGTAAAAAAAGTAGCTATCGAAAAATTAAACTTGACGACCAAAAAAACTAATTTTAGAAACTTCACAAAACTGACAAAAATTCCATTCTATATTTTATTTTCCTGACTTTTTCCTAATTTTCATCGCAAAAATATTAATTCCTTTCTTATCCTGCTAATAAACTAAATTGATATGATACGAATTTTATTATTCATGAAACAATTTCAATATTTTTTAAAATAATTTAATTCTTGCGAAGAATTTTATAAAAAATTTTAAATAATTCATTTCTTTTGACTAATTTTATGCAAATTCTAATTGAAACAATTGAATTCCTGAGAAATTTTTATTATTCATGAAAAGAATCGATTTCATACGAAGATTTTTACAAAAATTTTTTTATATAATTGAATTCTTTTTGGAAATTTAATGAAAATAGTAAATATTAAAAATTATTGAATTGCGAAAAGTTTTTAAAAATAATTAAATTTTACAAAGAATTCAATTAAAATTTTTGAGAATAATTGAATGTCTGTGTGGCATTTTATTAAATTTTTTTTGAAAATAATTGAATTCTTGCGAACGATTTTATTAGAATTTTTTAAAATAATTGAATTTTCAAGAATATTATTGAAATAATTGAATTTTGCAAAGAATTTTATTAAAATGCCTCAAAATAATTGAATTTTCGGGCATAATTTTGTTATTTATCGACATAATTGAATTCTTTCGAAGAATTATTTATGTAAATAATTAAATTCTTGGGAAGAATTTTATTAAAATCTAAAAGAATAATTGAATTAATTCAAAAAAATTTAATTAAAATTGTATTTAAAATAATTGATTTCTTTCGAACAATTTTATTAAAATATTTGAAAATAATTGAATTCCTGGGAAAAATTCTAATATTTTTGTAAATAATTGAATTCTTCAAAAGAAATTATAAAAAAATTTTTTTAAATAGGTAATTGATTTTTTCGAGGAATTGAAATTGAAATTTTTAATGAATAATTACATTTTTTGAACAATTTCTGAAAATTTGTATTAAAAATAATTGAAATCCTGCGATGAATTTTATTATTTATGAAAATAATTGAATAGTTGCGAAGAATTTTATTAAAATTTTCAAAAATAATTGAATTCCTGAGAAGAATTTTTATTATTTACGAAAATAATTGAATTCTTGTAAATTTTTTTAAATAATTGAATTCAATTCATTGAAAAAACGTTTTTTTAAATAATTGATTAAGAATAATTACATTTTTTTAGCAATTCCTGCAAAATTGTATTAAAAATTGAAAAAATTTTATTAAAATTTTCAAAAATAATTGAATTCCTGAAAAGAATTTTATAAACATTGTTTTAAATAATTAATTTTTTCGAATAATAATAAATATTATGAAAATTTTATTTTAAATAATTGAATAATTCTTGTGGAAAACTTCATTTTGGAAAATAATTGAATTTCCAGGAAGAAATTTATTACTTTTAAAAATAATTGAATTTTTGAGATGAGTATTGTTATTTATGAAAATAATTGAATTTTGCAAAGAAATTTATTAAAATATCTCAAAATAGTTGAATTTTCGGGAATAATTCTGTTATTTATCGACATATTTGAATTATTGCAAAATATTTAAAAAGAATTGAATTTCAGTCAAAAATGTTGTTACTTTTGAAAATAATTGAATTCTTCATAAGAATTTTTTAAACGTTTTCGAAATATAATAAATATTATGAAAATTTTATTATAAATAATTGAATTCTTATAAAAAACTTTATTTATGAAAATAATTGAATTTTTCGTTTAATTAAATTAAAATAGTATTAAAAATAATTGAAATTCTTCGATAAGTTTTATTAATATTTATGAAAATAATTGAATTCTTGCTTAGAATTTTATCAAAATTGTTTTTAAAAAATTGAATATTCATAAAAAATGTTATTATGTATTAGTGAAAAAAAATTGAATTATTGTGAAGAATCTTATAAAAATTTGGTTAAATAATTGATTTTTTTGAAATTGAAATAATTGAATTCCTGTGGAAATTTGATTATTTATGAAAATAATTGAATTTTGGATGAATTTTATAAATTTTTTTAAAAATAATTGAATTGTTTTGCGAAATTTGATGAAAATACTAGATATTGAAAATAATTGAATGTCGAATATTATTTGAAAATAATTCAATTGTTTTAAAGAATTTGATTATAATTTTTTCGAATAGTTTTTTGTTTTTTTGAATTAGAGAATTTAAAGTAGTGGAAATTCTAAAAAAACAGAATTAGTAGCTTTTAGTGGCTGATATTTAAAAAAAAGTAGTTTGCAGATGTTTTCGTTCTTATTCATTCAATACTGGTGCTAGATAATCCTCATTACGTGCAACAAATTTTCTTTATTATTTTCTATTTATACTTAAAGTTGTGTTGATAGAAATAGAATTAAAAAAATACATTATTTATCAACTTTGAAAAGATTGAAAATGGAAAAGAAAAGAATTAAAAAACTTTATACTCACATCAATGATGACGGTTAAAGTCTGCTTCAAACTGTACCCCTCGACATTTGTTATCGAAATCACCGTTCTTCCGTAATTCTCTCCAGATTTAACGACTCCATTTTTATCAACAGTAACCATTTTGGACGCCTGTGTTAAAGCATTTGGATCCTCAGCTTCAACACTATGAGGTCCGCTTGTAAGAATTTTAAAAGACGTCACTCCGTATTTATCTCGATTAGTTTGCAACTTGAAGACAGAATTTGGCGCCATTAAAATGACCGCCGACTCACTTTCCACATCATCGTAGCAAAGTTTCAGCTCCTCAAATATCTCAACCTTAACAAAAGCTTTGTAAATTCGTTCGGCAGTACATCCGCTTGAGTGATGACAAGGAGTAGAGACATTCAAAAATATAGTTGCAGTTCCCGGCGAATTGGCCTTGGCGCGAAGTGAAACATCGTTCTGATATCTCATATTGATTCCAGTCCCTTCGTACATATTGTGAAGACTCAACAAGGAAAGATCGCTCGACATCCACGAGAAAGAAAGAGGCGCTTTCATCGAACCGATAATCAGTGGTGTTAAACTGTCAGGTATTCCAAAGGCCCAGACGGGAATCGTTGCGCCGACTTTAATTCTCGTTGTCGGCACCATGACTTTAACTTCTTCGAGATTTGTCACGTGGATATCGGCATAATCCTGCGAGTAGACTATTCTATTTCCTTTAGAATTGAAGCCAATTGCTCTTGCTATAATTCGTGTCTCTCCAATTGATTTCCCTTCCAGAATTCCATTGCGATTGATACTGCAAATTTCGTCGTTTCCCACCGAGTATTCGATTTCTGCACCTTTTGGTCCTCCAGTGACTGTAACTTGATAGATGGTGCCAACTAGGTTGGTTAAATTCTTCGGTGTCAGTTTTAGGGGAGGAAAGACTTGAATTAAAAATGGTTCGCTTCGAATTTCGTCGTCGCCTTCGCCGCTACTAAAAGTCACCTGTGAATTTTAATTCAAAATTTTTAAATTATTATTTATGATGCGTAGGAAATATATTATAGTCTAAGAGCTAGAGACACTTTTGGTCAAGGGTTTTTGATAACACTTTCTATCAAAACAATCTAAAAATTACTACTAAGGTATTCACCTTTACAGGCTTCACAGTGTCCCTAAAAAATATTTTAGGGGAAATAGGGGACTGAAAATTAAAAAATCGGAGATTTTTAGGGGATCATAAAAATTGATTAAATAAAGATAAAAATATAATTTATTTATACAGGGTTGCCACAAAAATTTAACTTTATTTTTCCCTGACCCTAAAAAATATTCTAATTCACGACAAAAATTATTAGATACTCAAAAAAGTGTTTTATTAAATTTATTTACAAATTTCTTCAAAAATTAAATTATTCTAAAACATCAGTAGTTTTATTCACAATAAATATTTAATCATTCTTTTTCATTGGAATTAAGATTTTCAAATTCAAACCTTTTTGAAATTCAACAACTTATAAGAATAATTATTATAAAACATGAAGAAATCGATCACTCCGAGTCTTCGACTCGGAGCAATCGATATCTTCATGTTTTATAATAATTAAAGATGACCGACTGACAAAATCATTATTTTATTATTATAAGAATATTTTTACTGTAATTTCTTCAAAATTATTTCTATCATTTCAATTAAATTAACATTTTCTAGAATTTTTAACTAAAATTCTACTTTAAATCAATAACATCAATTATTATTCAATTAAACTTTTTCAAAAAAAAATTAATTCTACAGAATTGTAGTTAAAAGTACGAAAAATAATAATTTAATTCTAATCAATTATTTAAATACAAAAATAAGTAACATTGAATATTTCTTAAAATTTAATTTTTACGAAGAATTGTAGTAACAACTTTTGAAAATATTTAATTTCTTTTAAGGAATTTAATTAAAATTTTAATGAAATTTATTATATTGAAGAATTTTATAACAATTTTTGAAAATAATTGAAAACTTTTTGAAGAATTTTATTAAATTTTTTAAAAATAATTGAATTCCCGAGAAGAATTTAAATAATAATTTTTGAAAACAATTGAATTCATGAGAAGAATTTTATTAAAATTTTTGAAAATAATTGACTTATTGAGAAGAATTTTTAAAAAGTTTTTGACAATAATTTAATTCTTGAGAAGAATTTCCCTATCTATTTATAAAGATAATTTAATTCTTGACGAGAATTTAAAAAAAATTTCGAAAATAATTTAATTTCTGCAAAGTATTTTATTACTTTTCAAAAGAATTGAATTCTTGTGATGAATTTTGATATTTATCAAAATAATTGAATTTTGGAAAAAAATTTATTAAAATTCCTTAGAATAATTGATTTTATGGGAAGAATTTATGCGATTTTGTTCTTTATCAAGCTAATTGAATTATTTTGCAAAATTACTTAAAAATTTTTGAAAATAATTGATTTTCTGCGACGAATTAAATGTCATTTATGAAAATATTTGAATTATTGCAACGAATTTTATTGTTTTATTGAATAATTGAATGTTTCTCAAAATTGAATTCTTTTCTCAAGTTTTAATAAAATTTTTAATAATTTTTACATTTTTTAAAGAATTTATTTAAAATTGTATTAAAAATATTTGAAATTCTGCGATGAAAATAATTGAATTCGTAAATGAAATTTTATTGTTTATGAAAATAATTGAATCTTTTCGTAGAATTGTATCAACAAGTTTTATCTATAATTAAATCTGTTGATAAATTTTATGAAAATAGTAAATATTTAAAAACATTAAATGGGAAAAAAAATTGAATTTTTGGCGAAAAATTTTGCAATTTATAAAAATAATTGAATTCTTGACGTGATATTCATTAAAATTTATAAAAATAATTGAATTCGTGCAAAGTATTTTATTAAATTTTGTTTAAATAATTAAAATTTTACCAAGAATTTAATAAAAATTTTTGACAATATAATTTATTATATTAAAGAATTTTATAACAATTTTTGAAAACAATTGAATTCATGAGAAGAATTTTATTAAAATTTTTGAAAATAATTGACTTATTGAGAAGAATTTTTAAAATTTTTTTGCCAATAATTTAATTCTTGAGAAGAATTTTCCTATCTATTTATGAAGATAATTTAATTCTTGACGAGAATTTTTAAAAAAATTTGAAAATAATTTAATTTTTGCAAAGTATTTTATTACTTTTCAAAAGAAATGAATTCTTGTGATGAATATTGATATTTATCAAAATAATTGGATTTTGGGAAAGAATTTTATTAAAATTCATTAGAATAATTGATTTTATAGGAAGATTTTATGCGATTTTGTTCTTTATCAAGCTGATTGAATTATTTTGCAAAATTACTTAAAAATTTTTGAAAATAATTGATTTTCTGCGAGGAATTAAATGTCATTTATGAAGATATTTGAATTATTGCAATGAATTTTATTGTTTTATTAAATAATTGAATGTTTCTCAAAATTGAATTCTTTCCTCAAGTTTTAATAAAATTTTTAATAATAATTGCATTTTTCAAGGAATTTATTAAAAATTGTATTAAAAATATTTGAAATTCTGCGATGAAAATAATTGAATTCGTAAATGAAATTTTATTATTTATGAAAATAATTGAATCTTTTCGTAGAATTGTATCAACAAGTTTTTTCTATAATTAAATCTGTTGATAAATTTTATGCAAATAGTAAATATTTAAAAACATTGAATTGCGAAAAACTTTTAAAAATAATTGAAATCGTTGCCAAGAATTTTATTTAAATTTTTGAGAAAATAATTGAATTTTTGTCGAAAAATTTTGCTATTTATAAAAATAATTGAAATCTTGAGATATTCATTAAAATTTATAAAAATAATTGAATTCGTGCAAAGTATTTTATTACTTTTTAAAAAATTGAAATTTTGCCAAGAATTTAATTAAAATTTTTGACAATAATTGAATTCTTGTGAAGAATTTTGATATTTATCAAAATAATTGAATTTTGGAAAAGAATTTCATTGAAAATACTTAAAATAATTGATTTTATGGGGAGAATTTTGTTGGTTATCAAGACAATTGAATTCTTTTGCAGAATTACTTAAAAATTATTGAATATTTCCCCTATTTCCAGCGACGAAAAAAATTGGGGAAATTTTCAAAGTAGGGTACACGTTTAGGGGCCAAAATTGAATAAAAGTGACTTTTAGGGAAATAGGGGACAGACTGTGAAGCCTGCAAATTTCATTAGCAGGAAAAGATAGAAATTTATATTCGCCACCTTTTCTATTTTATGCATCACGTTCGCAAATCTATTCTGCTCAGGAGTTAAAGAATTAATAAAACTCACCTGAGTTTCTCCCTCTTCAAGTCCATGAACCATATAAATTATTTCACTGAACGGATGATCCCCCTGCTCACTTGCAGGCGCTTTCTTCACTTCAATAAATCTATTTTCAATCTCCACTTTTATTGCCAACGCGTCTAAGAATGGCAGTACCATCGACTGACCATTAGTGTCATACATCTTCAAAGCAGCAGCAATGCATTTTCCTTTCTCAACTTTATTCACAGCTTCGACCTCGAGATTCGCAAGTTGTTGAACTTGAATCACAGCTTCTGCCGGAGCCGACGCAAGACACAGGTCAATCAAAGTAATTCTCAAAGTTCCAAATCTTCTCGGAACAACAGTAATGGTTCTCGAAGGTTCAACGTATCGAATGTCCGCAATATCCTCAGAGCTGAGAAGAAATTCATAAAATCCAGAGCCTTGATTCACTTGCAAAAAATATTTACTACTCGGATCGTTTAACACCTTAAGTTCATTCGGCGTGATACTCGTGTCATTCACAAGAATAATATTAATCGTCGCTTCAATCAAGGGCGTAGTCAAGATTCCTCTTTCGTTTTCAGTCGGGAATGGCGGCCACTCCGGAGATATTCTCAACGAAGAGAGAACATTTTTCTGATAACCCGTGACTTTCGCTTTCAACACTAAGGTTTCGGAGAATAACTTCGAAGTGATACGCTGGTAGTGATTCCCCGGAAGCAGAACATTGTAGTCTTCAAAAGGCGCCTCGAGGGTTCCGACCGGAATGTCTATTTCGCCCCCAGTTTGCGGTTTCATTGTCCATTCGATATTCAAACTGGTAATGTTGTCCAGTTTCTTTCCATCCTCGTCCTTGACAATTACCAAGAGTTGTAACACTTGATTACTGTGGGTCATAATTTTGTTCGAATTCTGTTTCATGGGACAATTTTCACTGTTCTTGAATTCCGGTTGCAGGAAAATGTATCTCGGTTTTGCGCAAATCACCCGAATGGTTGCGGTGGCTTGGGTCATTTTGCAAGTTGGGAATAGGGGAATATTCGAGACAGTGAAAGTGAGGATACTCTCGCCAAGCTGTCGGCAAACGACTTGGAAAACGGATATGTCGGGGTCGGTCAGTTTTTCTTCCATAACGTCCACGATTTCGTTCTCAGAGACGGTCATTTCTCGCCGATAGCCGTCGAGCTTACCGGACCAGGGATAAGGTCCGCCTTTGAAGATGACTCTTCTGGAGGAGCCGACGGCTAGGACGCTTTCGCCACTGTCCGGATGGACGACAACGAGGGGATCGTAAGCGGAGACGGTGATATTGTCCATGAGGTAAAGACCATTTTTGTTATACGTGACAGTGATTGTAGAAGTTCCGGTGTTGAGGCTAACAACCGCCAAAGCAGCGCAAGCGATGCCGACCGGCTGAGTAACTTCAGTTTCATTGTAGACGAAATTCCCGTCCGGGATATAAACCTCAAAAGGCAGGTCTTTACAATCGCTGAACGGTATTTGCTTCACTTCGGCGCCGTCGATCATCTCGCCATAAAGAGCAATGTGCAAGAAGATTGGTTCCCCAATTGCGGCCTCCATGTTATACTGAATTATTTCCAGTTTCGTGGGGTCGAGGATATGAACCTTCGCCGTGTCCCGATTGTAAGGATTGCGAACCATCGAAGCCGTCACGTCGGCACTGCCCTTCTGCAGAACCTTGATGGCGCCACTTTGCGACACTGTCGCTATCGAAGGCTGTCGACTGCTCCAAACGAAGGATCCGTCACCGCCACTCGCCTTTAGAGTCATGTCGGACTTTGTCTTGCTCTGCGGATCCCAGGGAAGAGCCAGCGTTTGAGGATGAACGATAACTGGCGAATGAATCGTGAGTTCGGCCCGAGTTGTCAATTCCGGTGTCTGGGCAATCTTCCTTCCACTTTGATCAATCACTCCGTGCAAGGTCGCCTTTACGATTGTCGTACCCATTTGAATCGGAACAACAATTGCGTAGGTGCCATTTTGGGTTGTCAACTTCCTCTCGAAATATTGATCTTCAGTTTCTAGGGTTACTTCCGCGCCTTCGCCGATAAAGAATTTGTGATCCCGACTGTCGTAGAAGTCAACGACAATTTCATGCGTCTGTCCTAGAATCAATGACCAACTTCGGTGGGGAAGAACTGTCAGAGTTATGTACGCCACGTCGCTTATGCTGACAGACGCAGTTGGTAGAATTACTCCGTACTCTTCATGAACGTTCTTGTCGTGCAGGGATATTTTTGTTCTTCCACGTGCAAGAGCGTAAATACTTCCACGATCGTTGTTGATCTCAATGAGGTTTGAATTCTCTGCTGCTAGGTAATATTCACTGGAAGCAAGGTGTATTTCCTCCAGTCGGCCTTGATGAACCTGTTAAAAATTTTATACATTATAATCTCAACTTAGTTTTTAGCACTTTTAATTATTCCAGAGTTGCCACAAAAATTTAATTTTCCTTTTCCCTTATTTTCAAACTTTTTCCTGACCGATTTGAACTAATATTCTTCTTTAAATGGATTGTTTTTAATAATTTTAGAAAAAGTTCTTTGAGAATCTTCAAATTTGCTTGTTTACAATTCAATTTTACAAAATTTGAATTATTCGTAAATTCATCAATTAAATATTTATTAGAAAATAAAAACTGCAAATAATTTCAAAAAAAAAAATCCAAACTTTTTAAAAAAATTAATTCCTCTGAATTGTTATAGTTAAAAATATGAAAAATTCAGATTTTCAAAGATTTTAATTTGACAACTGTTTACATTCAGGATTCCTACAGAAATCCGAATTTAAAATTCCATACCTTTTCCATGATTTCCAGGTCAAATTTTGACGAAATTCCAGTGGAATTTTAAATCTAATTTCATTATTTTTGAGCTCTTAAAAAACACTTTACTTATTAAATAGTCTCGACTCTTTGGTAAAAATTCTAAAATTATCGAAAATTATCAAAAATTCAAAAAACCGAATTTCTTAAAATTCAACATTTTTTCTTCTTTTTTATGGCATTTAGCTTCATTATTTTTGTGCTCTTGGAAAATACTTTACTTATTTAATAGTCTCGACTCTTTGGTAAAAAATCTAAAATTATCGAAAATTATCAAAAATTCAAAAATCCGAATTTCTTAAAATTCAACATTTATTCTTCTCTTTTATGCTATTTAGCTTTTTTATTATTTGAATTTCTATTCAAGAGAAAAAATGGAAAACAGGAAAAATTTAGAAACTTTTAAAAATTTCAGGCCTTTTCCATGATTTCCAGAAGCCTTCTAAAAACTCCATACTATTTCCATGATTTCCAGATTCTGTAGGAACCCTGTCATTTAAAAATGACCTTATTTTTAAAAAAATAAAAATATATATTTAAAAAATTCAACTAATTTCAAAAAAATGTGAATTAAAATTTTTTTAAAAACTAAGTTCAACCAAATTTCTAATTAAATTCATTAAAAATGCAAATTTTCTTAAATTTCAATTATTTGAAACTTCAATTATTTTGAAATTCAATTATTTATGGAAATTATAAATGCAACTATTTCCTGACTTTTTCCCTGATTTCCAGACAAAAATTTCAACTTTTTCCCTGACTTTAAAGAATATTCTGATTCACTATAAAAATTATTAGATACTCAAAAAAATGTTCTATTACATTTATTTACGAATTTCTTTAATTAGAAAATTATTCGAAAACATCAATAACTTCTGTTTCAAATAATTATTTAATCATTATTATTATTCCATAGAAATTAAGATTCTCAAAAACTTTCAAATTCAAATCTTTATAAAATTAAACAACTTACAATAATTTAAATTTCCATAAAATTTTTCAAAAAAAATTGTAATCTAAATAAAATTTGTTTTTAGAAACTCAATTAATTTTTTCATAAATAATAAAATTTTACATATAAGATTTCAATTATTTTTAATACAATTTTAACTAAATTCCTCGAAAAATGTAATTATTTTCAAAATTTTTTTGCAAGAATTCAATTACATTTCACAAATAATGAAATTCTTCGCTGAAATTCAAATATTTTCAAAATCTACTGTTTTAATAAAATTTCTCAAAAGAATTCTAATATTTGAAATTAAAATGTAATAAATTATTTGCATAAATAATAAAATTTTTCATAGGATTTCAATTATTTTTAATACAATTTTAAATAAATTTCACGAAAAATGTAATTATTTAAAAAATTTTTTTTAATTCTTCGGAAGAATTCAATTATTAAATTTTTTTAACAATTTTGTAAAAGTTCCTTGAGAATTTTCAAAATCTATTTGTTTACAATTCAATTTTACAAAATTTCGATTATTAAGAAATTCTCCAATTAAATATTTACAAAATAAAAACTTGAAATAATATTGCAAAGAAAATTCGATTAAACTTTTTCAAAAAAATTAATTCTACTGAATTGGCAATTAAAAGTATGAAAAATTCCAATTTGCAAAGACTTTAATTATTACCCTTTTTAAAATTCAATGTATTTCTAAAAATTCACGCTATAATACTTTTAATATTAAATTATAATATAAAATTGTAAGTGAAATTCACTTTCTATTGAATGTTTATTAGAAAATTATTCGAGAATTCAAATTATTTAAATACAAAAATAAATAATTTATTGAATAATTGAATGTTTCATTAAATTGAATTCTCATAAAGAATTTTATCGAAATTTTTAAAAATAATTGAATTCTTTCGGCGAATTTTTAAAAAAATGTTAATAATAAATGCAATATTTTATCATTTTATTGAAAATTACATAAAAAATAATTGAAATTCTGCGATAAGTTTTGTTATTTATGAAAATAATTGAATTCTTGCAACGAATTTTATGACAAATTTTTTTTCAAGAATTGAATTCGTGAAAATGATTTTATTTGTGAAAATAATTGAATTCAGGAGAAAAATATTATTTTTTATGAAAATAATTCATTACTTGTGAAGAATTTTATTCAAATTTGTGTTTAAATAATTGAATTTCTCAGAATTGTTTAAAACTTTTTGAAAATAATTGAATTCAGGAGAAAAATATTATTTTTTATGAAAATAATTCATTACTTGTGAAGAATTTTATTCAAATTTGTGTTTAAATAATTGAATTTCTCAGAATTGTTTAAAACTTTTTGAAAATAATTAAATTCCATTGAGAAATTTCATTAAAAAATCGAAAATAATTCAAATCTGAAGAAAAATTATATTAAATTTCTTTAACATAATTGAATTCCTGTGAAAATGTTTATTTTTGAAAAGAATTGGAATCTTGCGAAGAATTTTATTGAAAATATTTGAATTTTATAAGAAAATTTATTAACTAAATCTTGTAAAGAATTTTGTCAACATTTTTTTAAATAATAGAATTTTTAAAAGAATTTTATTTAAATTTTTCGAAATACTTGCATTTTTCAGATTTTTTTTAATTTTCTGAATATATTTAAATTCTTTTGAGAAACTTCATTAAAAAACTAAAAATAATTGAAATTTTGTCAAGAATTTTATTATAAATTCTAAAATCTTAATTTTTTCAGTACTTTTAATAAAAATCCCTTACTTTTCCCTGATTTCTCTGACCAATTCTAATTTCCCTGACTTTTCCCTGTCCTATGGTACATAAAGATTTAAACAATTTTGATCAAGTTTAATAAATTATTTTCCACTTGCCTGCATTATTTTGTATGTAAAGCAGTCGTACATCATCATTGTCACATCGGATGGGATAATTATGAGATTGGCTACAACTATCAAGTCGACTTCAACTGGATGAACATGTTTGTATTCGTGATGAAGCAACTTTACAGAAACCTAGAATAAAGTCATTATATTTAATTTAAAGAAAGAAAGATATAGAAAACTTAAAAAATAATGTATTTTATTTGCTGCACGAGTCGATTAGTACCTTCGCTGCTCCAGTTTTGACTCCCTCCAGTAGAACAATATTTCCTCGCTTTCCGCTCGCGTCCAGCATTTCAACGGTATGAGGAGTTTCATAAGGAGATTCTTCAAAAGTCATAAATCTTAATACATTATTGGGTAAACTTTCACCCATCTTTGAACCTCTTTTATCGGCATTGCCGACGGCCCAAGAAAACTCAATGCCAGCAAGAGTTGTGAATTCATTTCCTGCGAATGTTTTAATGTAACTTAATTATCCATTTAGTATACACCTTTATAATTTAAAGATATTTTGCTTAATACGCTGTAGTTGGTTTAGGTACCCATTTTCTTTTCTTACCTTGCTCATCGTAAGCTCGAACTTCAAAAGCTTCTGGTGCTTCCTCGATGAACAGTTCCCTTGTTGTTGTAACCATATAAAGAGAGAAGATAGCATCAACTATCACATCGCATCTTAAGAAACTGCCATTATTAAGATCCTCTGCTAAAACAATTGCTGTATTTCTCGTCGGCTCTCTTGTCGTTGTTTGAACAATCACTGCTGATGAGCACATTCGATCATAGTTCTCGTTTATGGGAATTAATCGAACGATATCTGAACGGGAAGTTGACCTGTATAAAAATAATAAATAAGTGAAATTAATAGGAGTAGAAACAGTCCCTGTTGCAGACAAAAGCAGCATCAGGGTGGCCGCAAGATTGACTTTATCAATTTCCCTGACATTTCCCTGACTTTACTGACATGTGGCCACCCTGAGCATTTTTTAAGTTTCTAATTAAACATAATTAAAGATAAATAACGAAATGAGTAGAAAATGATCAAAATAATATATTATAATAAAGATAAGTTGGTTTTTTAAATAACTTTTCTTAAGGGGATGTCAAAGTCGATGCGATTTTCCCATTGAAGCTCAATGCAAAAATCCAATCGACTTTGACATCCCCTTAAATTAAAATCTCTTGTTAAAAAATAGTTGGTAAAAATTCAACTACAATTATATAAATTCTCCAGTGGAACATTTTATTCACTGGTGAAAATAATATGTTCAGCCAACGCTCAAATCAGGCTGAATTCACCAGTTCTCGTTTGATCACTGAAGTTAAGCAGCGTTGAGCGCGGTTAGTACTTGGATGGGTGACCGCTTGGGAATACCGCGTGGTGTTGGCTTCATTTTTTTTTAATTTTTCATTAACATTTTTCCCAGTAAATTGTTTATGAATCATAATTCCAAAAGTTTTTATATCGAAAATTACATTTAATCTTAAAAAATATTTTCATTTTTCTACTCAAGTCTAAATGTTTATTTCAAGAATTAATTTCTTAAAGTATTTTTAAGCTATTTATTTAAGTTTTTGAAGAAACTTTAATGATTAAGTTGCAGGAGTTTTTAATTTCTCTCTCAATTTTTCTAGATGACTGTGCAGCCAAAAACATATTGCACGAAAATAGAAAAATTAAACAATTTTTTTTCAAAACCTCTTTTAGGTGATAAAATCTCTCAAAAATATAAAATAATATTTATTTATATAGCAATAGACGTAGAATTTAATAAGTTTTTAAACAATACAAGAACCAAGTTTCTATGTCAGTTTTTAATAATAAAATATGTTAATTTAAGCTTTCTAGCATTTGGAAATTCTGACAAATAGAAATTGTACCTATTACCTAAATAGAAATTTTGACCAATTAAAATTTTACGTAATGTAAATTCTACCAAATAAACTTTTGATTATAAAAAGATGTTGTATTATGGAAGTTAGTTTAAATGAATATCATAGTAAATAAAAATCCACAGAACAAAAATTTCGGTTTAAAAAAATTCTGATAAACAAAATTTCCTATGTTTAGAAAATTATAGAAAAATTGCTTTATGGAATAATGCGCCCAAATTTTTTAGATAACTTATTTTTTACTATTAAAATAATTTAAGTCATCAAAAAAAGCAGCTGTCGCACAATTAGTTTGAATAAATAAAATTTTTAATAATATTCATGAATTTATATATTCGTCAAAAAACATATAACCTGAAAAATGAAACATTTTTCAAGTGTCCCTTTTCAATTATATTGAGCGTAATAAAAATGAAAAGCAAAAACTGTCAAAAGCATAAATATAATAAAATTATTATTCTTATCTCTGCAATCTGGGAAATGCAATTTTATTTCATAAATAAACAACTTTTCAAGTAAGAAAATAATAGTGATAATATGTGACAAGCAAAAAATATAAGAGGTTATGTAACAGAAAATATTATTTTGTGTCAGGGAAATAAGAAAACATTGAAACAAATCGAATATTTGGTATGAAACTAATTTTGAAAAATAGTTTTATTCATGAACTTAATCATTTTATGCAGTAAAATAACAACTTTCACTCACCATTGATAGCAGCCACCCTCGGTAACTTCGAGGGTAAAGTTGACAGGAAAATCATTGAAAACCGGTAATAAAACACGTGGAACATTCAGTCGATGTCTATCACTGTCAACTGATGCAAAAAATTTTACCACACACAATAAAAATACAATTATTTTCACAAAGTTTTGCGGTCCCGCCATAATTTCTTTTTTTATCTTTTTTTTTCCTACACTCACATGTCTCTCAGCTATAAATAAGCAACTGCGGTCGCCAGACTGCGGCTCCTGCGGCTCGAATAAGGTTAAGGAGTTTCTACAATAGAAACAATTCCCGTCGTTGTGAAAACGTTAAATGGAAAGCGTTTAAGGTGCATTCACACCTTTGTCGGTAGAAAAAAAATGTATCACCAATGACCAACCTGCTAACGTCGTTCGCGTCGTTCGCTAACGCAAAGCATGAGTTAGAAAAGGACAGAGGTATATATCTGTGTCCTTTTCTATCCCATGCATCTCGTTCGCGAACGAGTTTCGCGAAACTATTGTGCGTTGGACTTTACCTTCGGCAATTTTGTAGGTTATACATAGTTTATAATCACGTAATCTAGTCTAACATTTAAATAGTATATATATTACCATTAATTTCTTTACTATAGAACGTATAGTATTTTTTAATTTTAAACATTTAAAAACCAATCAAGTAATTAATTAATTAATTGTCAATTTTCCAGTCAATTAACTGCACAAACCGGAATATCCCCCCTCTCCCACCTCACCAAGGTGTGACAGTACCTTAACATTGTCGTTTTGTGTTCGTGTCAAAAATGTTAATAAACATGAATATTTTACGAGATTGTTTTTAAAAATAATATATTTAAGATAACAAGTTGTACAACTATGTTTCTCTTTAATATTCTGACGTGACAATAAAATTGTGATTGCGTATTCACAATAAATGTTTAAAAACAAAGTGTCGAATAGCTTATATTATATTGTTTGAAATATATAAGTCCGCAGTTATTCAAAATTCGTAGAATTCAAGTGCAATAAATCGTTGTAGGTATAATATTATTGTGATTTTTAAACATAAAATAATGGAATTGATTCGGTGAGAACAATATAATATTGTAGAATTTAAAAATACAGATAAGGAAATGGTTATTGAAAGTATGAGGGTAGGAGGAGGACGATGTCCACCACTTCTCGTAGGAGGTCTTCTCGTAGTTTGCTTAATGCTCATCGTCAATTGGTACAGTCTCTCATCCGAAAATCTGGATCTTCTTCGACAGCTTGACGAACTTGGGGAGCAACTTAAAATTGGGTATTTTTATTTTTAATTTAAATAAAACAAACTTTTGACTTTTTCCCAAAGTTTTGAACGTTCCAGGTTTCACAGTCTGTCTCCTATTTCCCTAAAAGTCCTCTTTTTTCAATTTTGGCCCCTAAACGTACCCTATTTTGAAAATTTCCCCTATTTTTTTCGTCGCAGGAAATCAATTATTTTCAATAATTTTTAAGTAATTCTGCAAAAGAATTTAATTATCTTGATAACCAACCAAATTCTCCCCATAAAATCAATTATTTTAAGGATTTTTAATAAAATTCTTTTCCAAAATTCAATTATTTTGATAAATATCCAGAAATTCTTCTCAAGAATTCAATTATTGTCAAAAACTTTTTAAAAATTCTTCTCAATAAGTAAATTATTTTCAAAAATTTTAATAAAATTCTTCTCATGAATTCAATTGTCTTCAAAAATTATTATTTTAATTTTTCTCAGGAATTCAATTATTTAAAAAAAATTTAATAAAATTCTTCAAAAAGTTTTCAATTATTTTCAAAAATTGTTATATAATTCTTTAATATAATAAATTTCATTAAAATTTCAATTAAATTCCTTAAAAGAAATTAAATATTTTCAAAAGTTGTTAATACAATTCTTCGTAAAAATTAAATTTTAAGAAACATTCAATATTTATTTTTATATAACTCTTATGAGTTGTTCAATTTGAAAAGGTTTGAATTTGAAATTTTTGAACATCTTAATTCCAATGAAAAAAAAATGATGAAATATTTAATTTAAATAAAACTATTGATGTTTTCGAATAATTTTACTTTTGAAGAAATTTGTAAATAAATTTAATAAAACATTTTTTTGAGTATCTAATAATTTTTTTAATTTTCAGTCCCCTATTTCCCCTAAAATACTTTTTAGGGGCACTGTGAAGCCTGACGTTCAAATGAACGAATTTTTATTTCTGTTTACATAATTTCAATATAAATACGGTTCTGAAATAAAAAAATAATATAAATTGAACATTCAATTTTTGCAAAATAATTTTTTAAAATAAAATACACATTCAAAACAGTAATAAAAATATTATCCTTCATTTGAACTTTCGAAACTTTTGGAACATTATTTTAACTTTGATATATGTAATTTAAAAAATTGTGAGTTTATACTTTTTATTAATTACTAAACAGCATAGAAGAAAGGGATCAATGTATGAATTCACGTGCGAAGTTGGAGCAACGAAACAAAAAGTCAGATGAGGAGAAAGCTTCTCTGCATGTTCGCATCCTACAACAAGTGGAATTGAAAAGGCAGAAGGAGGATGCGGAAATGTCTCTCACTGCCTGCAAGGCCGAAGTATCGTCTCTCAAGGATGTTGATAAAACGCGACAAGCCACAATTGATGCGTTACATCTGGAAAAGAATACAACTTCCACCAAACTTACTGAGACAAAAGAGGAAAATAAAAAATTACATCAAGATTTAGACAGGGTACGAATGGCAATTTTTCAAACATTACGACGCCCTTCCGAACGATAAACTTATTCAAATACTAGAGCAATAAAATTACAAAAAAATATTAAAAATTCTGAATTAACTGCTAACTCAGAATTTCGTGCTTTATAATTTAATTGCTCGATTCTGAAAACCTCGAGAGTTATTTTCAGTAGAGCAGTTGTCAAAGTGGACGTGCAAGTTTTAGATAATAATTGAATATTAAAAGCATTATAGCTGAATTTTCAGAAACAATTGAATTTTGAAAAGGTTTCAAATTAATATTTTTGAAAATTTGTATTTTTCATATTTTTAACTAAAAATTCTGAAGCATTAATTTTTCTTTTTTAAAAAGTTTAATTAAATTTTTTTTTTTTTGAAATTATTTCAAGTTTTTATTTTCTAATATATATATTTAATTGAAGAATTTCCGAATAATCAAAATTTTGGAAAAATTGAATTGTAAACCAATGAATTTGAAAATTCTCAAAGGATTTCGTCAGAAATGATTAAAAATAATTGATTTAAATAAGAATTTTAGTTTGAAAATTTTAGAAAATTCAATTAAAATGATGAAAATAATGTTGAAGAAGTTTCAGTGACAATATTCTTATAATATAAAATAATGATTTTATCACTCGGACATCTTTAATTATTATAAGTTGTTGAACTTAGTTTTCAAAAAAAAATTTAATTCACATTTTTTTGAAATTAGTTGAATTATTTTAATTTATCTTTAATTATTAAAAATAGGGTCATTTGGGGTAAATGTAAACAGTTGTCAAATTAAAATCTTTGAAAATCTGAATTTTTCCTATTTTTAACTATAACAATTCAGTGGAATTAATTTTTTTTTGAAAAAGTTTAATTGCGGAATTTTTTTTTTGGAAATTATTTGCAGTTTTTATTTTCTAATATATATATATATTTAATTAAAGAATTTACGAATAATTCAAATTTTGTAAAATTGAATTATAAATAAGTAAATTTAAAAATTTTCAAAGAACTTTTTCGAAAATTATTAAAAATAATCGATTTAAAGAAGAATTTTAGTTAAAAATTATTGAATTGATAATCATTTTATCACTCGGGCATCTTTAATTATTATGAAACATGAAGAAATCGATCGGTAAATGCACACAGAACTTGAATTACATTTTAAAAGAATCAACTCCAAGAAACATTATTAAAGAATTTAAGAAACTTAATTTAAGAAATTTAATTTAAGAAATATTATTTTAAAGATAAATATTTTCTTTCAGTTGAAAAACGAGTTGGAAGCTGCAAAATTAGCAATGAACGCACCGCAGAAGACTAAAGTGTCGGAAAACGCACTGAAAGGTAAGGCGATTAGTTGATAATTTTGTAGTTGAAAGAATGTTTGCAATGTTTTGAAAAATTTGCGATTTAGCAACTGGAGGTGAATTAGGCATTGGTCAATTGGGTCCCGTCAGAATAGGAGCAGTTGAAATCTCACAGAAAGGTCTGGAAGGTATGAAGTTCCATCGGGGAAGTCCGATCCTTCCACAAGATCCGCCGGGCGCTGTGCGCGAACCTCCTCGCTTATCAGTAACAATGTTGCATGAAGACGCAGATAATCCTTCCCTATTAACTCAAGAAACTAATAAGCCTTAGTCATTTTATTGCGGAGGTAGAGAATTATTATTTAAGAGAAAATCATTCCGTCCGTAATTTAATTTTAATAACTTATCTCTTAAGTTAAGATAACTAACTTTATTATCTTCTCTGACTTTGTCTGAAAGTCGTCAAATTTTTTTTAAATCCGGTCGCTTATTTTTACTGTTATTTGCTATTGCAAAAGAAGATATTATTATTTTAATTAAAATTTGTATTCACTTTATTAATTTATATTATTTAAGTGTGCTTAAGATATTTTTTATAAAAAATCAAATTTGTATGTTGTGATCTTTTATGTCTACAAAAAAATGCCATCATATTTTGTAAACTAGATATTTTATTAAAGGACTGAAAAGTTGATGCCAATGGTTTTCTTTTAACACCGAACAATCGTTTTCAGCTCAAGAAAATACAAAAGTAAAAAACAATGTTGAGGGAGGAGGTCAAGATTCTCAAGATGAGGAGGATGAGATGAAGAAGCAAATAAATCACATGATCTCAGGTTAATTTTAACCCAAATATTTTACTTTATGATATTTAATATTTAATATTTATTTAATATTTTTTTTATTTATTTTTACTTTTTTTATTTTTTAAATTTCTTTTTCAAATTTTCCTTTCTTTTTCAGGTCACAATCTTTTCGAAGATACTGATGACGTAGAACTCAATAACGTAGCAGACGAAGAGAAAGATCCAAAATTAGTAACAAATGAGGAAGAAAAGCAGAAAAATCTAACAGCATAAACGTTTTTTTTTCAATATTTTAAACATTTTTTTTTTATTTGACAAAAGCAAGATTGAATATGCCAGTTATACATTGCATTTTTGTTTCAGTAATTATTTATAATTCGCAGTATTTTTTTATAAGTTATTTGCTCCAAGACTTATGGCTGATAATTCCAAGTCTGTCCGAAAAACAAGTTTATTTTGTAACTTTAGAAAAAAGTAAAAAAAAAAAAAAAGACAACTGATAACTATCCATATCGCTCATATATGTATAGAGATAGAGAGAGAAAGGAGGAAATCATGACAATTTTTAGATAAATTTAATTATAATTTTACAAATTAACCGTTTTATAAAAAATTTCAGGAATTTACAATCTTGAAAAATGTTTAGACTAGATGAGAATGTACGTTTGTATAAATAAAAAGGGGTAAAACTTGAAATTATAAGCTTTATCATTCAAACATGGTATCACATTATTATAGCTATTATTATTATTATTATTATTATTATTATTATTATTATTATTATTATTATTATTATTATCATTATTATTATTATTATTATTACAAGTTGTAGGTAAAAAATTTATTTTTTTTCAGAAAAGATAAAAAAAATTTTTTTCAGAAAAGGTAAAAAAATATATGTGTATGATATAAATGATGTTGAGATAGTTTTTTATGATTTTATCATTTTTTTACTCCATACGATGAAGAGAAAATATAAATTGCACAGTTTTGCGAAATTCTAAGTTTTTTTAATAGTTAATATTTTTTTCGTATGAATTTCGAAATTAATTATTTTTTTACCGTTCTATAAGATTCAAAATAATTTTTGGTATGAATAATAAGAAATAATAACTGTTTTGATTAATATTTGTCACTATATAAAATTTCTAAAATTGCTAAAAATGTAAATAATTTATTTAAACAATTAAAAATAATTTCATGTTCTCCAAAAATTTTTTAGAATTTTTTTATTAAAATAGTATTCCTTATTTAATGATGAATAATTTAAAAAAAGATTTTTAATTATTTTTAATTGGGTCAAAAGTTGTTAAAAAAATTTTTTTTTTACAAAACAAAAGATAATTTTTGTAAAATTTACATTTTTATTAGTAAACGAACGTAATTAGTTAGGAAATTTTTTCTAAACATTTTCCAGCTATAGAAAATTAATTAAAAAATGTTTTTTCATTTAAATCTTTTTATATTTTGTTGTTTCCGAGTAATGTTTATTTCTTAGAAAGTATATTATTTAATAAGAAAACTTATTAAAATACTAAAAATTAATAACAATTTTACGAAAATATAACTTAAAGCAGATTCAATTATACTCAAAAGTTTTAATAGAATTCTTTGTAAAAAAAACTCGTGGAATTAGTACAGAAAAAAAAATTTGGTTTTAATTAAAATATTGAAAAAATATTTCATTTCACCATTAAAGGGTCAAATTTTCTAAAAAAAAAAAAACTAAAATTGGTAGCGTGTCGAAACTTGAATTATGTAAACGTAATTTTATATAAAAAAGCGATTTTCAAAATTTTTCAATTTTTCAAAATTTTGGATTTTTTTGGATTCAAAAATTGTGGATTTTTCCCAACATATTTTTTTAAACAAAAATAAAAAATGTTTCATATTTAGAACGGAAAATTTGACCCAAAATAAAAATAAAACTTTGACTAATCAGGGGATTTTCCAAAATGGACAATGACGAGGACAATGACAATTCTCGATAAATCAAACTCGTGACATTTTTTTATAATACATATTTCTAAAGTTTTACATGGTTTCAATTTTTCTATAATATTTCTTTCATCTTATAAACTTTGATTCACGTGCTAACATTTATAATGTTTTACTAAACACACATTTAACACACCATAAATCAATTACCTTTTTTTTTTTTTTAATTTTCCTTATCTGCCTCTTGGAAACAGACAACTCTCTGTTTTTAAAATTTAATCGTACGCGTCTATTAAAATATATACCACATTTTAAAAACAACATTCTATTTTTGAGATGTATTTGAACAAGATTTACCTTTGGTACGCGATTGTAAATACATTTAGCGTACGACTATTCTTAACAGCTACAAAATTGTCATGTTATTAAATATATATATATATATATCTTTCAACATAAAATGACATATAAGTCAATTCATATCATTCATATTATGTTTAGAAAAAAATTGTGCCAGTAAATTAAACAATTAATACTTATTTCGGAATTATCAATTTATTTTCATTGATAAAAAGTAATTATGCTTGAGGTATTCTTTCTCAAGTGGGCCATTCCTTTTTTCAATTTCAAATTTGATTCAAAAACATTTTATGGGACTCTTTTTGAAATATTTGCTTTCAAACGAAATAAAAGAATTTGAATCACCAAGAACGTTTTTTTAAATTTTATTTAAAATTTAGTTAAAAATGAAAAAAAAATTTTTTTGAACAATTTTACATCTACAGTGATATTTAGATTTTTCCTAATATTCGAAAAATGTGTGAAAATCTCGGAAAACTCAGAAAAAGTCAAAATAGTAAAAATAATCTCAGGCTTCGTACTCGATAATTAATTTTAAAAAAGTATCAAAAAGAAGCAGAAAAAAAGTAATAAAAAAGTAGCTGTCGAAAAATTGAACTTGACTAAATTTTTTCATAATTTCTTAATTACATTCAAAAATAAAATAATTTTTTAAAATAAATATTTAAATACCTATTTATTTTGTCTACAAGAATTAAAATATTTCAAATTATTTCGCAATGTAACGAATTTTTGAAATTTAGTCATTTCGAAAAATTACAAATGTAATTCTTTCAAAATTCAATCATTTTTTTTTCTTGAAATTTATAAATAAAATTTTATTTATAAATTTGAATAATTATTCAAAATTTTAATCATTTTATTTTATTCAATTCTAAATCAATTCTTATTAAAAAGTTCTAAACGAGAATGAAATTATTTAAATAAAAAAATAAATAATTTATTGAATAATTGAATATTTAAATTTGAATTCTTATAAAGAACTTTTATCAACATTTTTTGAAATAATTGAATTTTTTCGAAGAATTTTATTCAAATTGTTAAGAATAATTGCGTTATTAGAGGAATTAATTTAAAATTCTATTGAAAATAATTGAAATCCTGTGATGAGTTTTATTATAATTATGAAAATAATTGAATTTTTGTCACCAAACTTTAATAAAGTTTTTCAAATAATTGCATTCTTGAGAAAAATTAAAAAAAAATCTTTTTAAAAAAATGATTTTTATCAAAAAATTTTATGAAAATTGTTGTTTTAAATAATTGAATTTCTTTGAAAATTGTATATTATTTAGGATGAAAATATTTGAATTCTTTCAAAAAATGTTATTAAATTATATTGAAAACAATTCAATTCTTATAAAGAATTTCATTAAAAATTTTTTAAATAAACTAAACTAAATAAAATAATGGAATTCTTGCAAAGAATTTTATTAAAATTTTTAAGAATAGTTGCATTTTTCGCGGAATTCATTTAAAATTGTATTAAAAATTATTGAAATCCTGCGATGAGTTTTAATATTTATAAAAATAATTGAACTCTTGCGGCGATTAATATTAAAATTTTTAAAAAATAATTGATTTCCTGACAAACAATTTATTACTCATAAAAATAATTGAATTCTTGCGAAGAATTTTATAAAATTCTATTTAAATGATTGATTATTTTCGAAAAATATTATAGGAAAATTCTGTATAATTGAATTCCTGTGAAAATTTTTTTATTCATGAAAATAATTGAATGTTTGCGAAGAATTTTACAAACATTTTTTTTTAAATTCAATTCTTTTGGAAAATTTTTTATTTAAATATTAGATATTAAAAATCATTGAATTACGACAAAATTTGTGAAAATAATTGAATCGTTTTAAAGAATTTTATTAACATTTTTTAAACCAATTTTTTTAATTCAACTGCTAACAAATTTAAAGTAGTGTAAATTCTCAAACATGGAAAAAAGTAGCTATTTGTTTTCTATTAAATTTGAATTGGAGAGAAGGGATATGGCCCACTTGAGAAAAAAAATGCTTTTATTGTAAAGCATTGTAATTTTTAAAGAAGGCTCCAGTAAAATTTCAACTCGCCAAAAAAGGTTTTTTTAAAGTCCCTATTTCTCTCATTGTCAGTCATTTTAAATTTAAATTTAAATCTGTTCTATTGGTAAAAAGCAGTACACATAAATTAATGCAGTTACATTAATAAAATAAAATATTGACGCTAAAAAGTAAATTAGAATTAAATAAATTAGAACTAATGATTAATTTTAATTTTGATGAGTTGCAATTTTATCAGGACCATTCTATTCTTAAATTAATCAGCAAATACTAACTTGTTTTTAAATTTGTGACTCGCTCCGAAGAAAGTTATAAATTAGAAGCAAAAAATTTTAATAGTTCGTAATTTTTAGAATGAAAAAAATGTCTAATTTTCTTCTTTACTTCTAGAATAATTAATAAAAACTAATTTTTGTTGTAAATAACATTTAACACGTATACTTTTAATTAAGGTAACAAATAATCGTAACCTTAAAATGATTTACTTCTTATCCTTCTTTCAAAGCGCGTTATATTTAATGTATTATTAAATACCATTAATCAAATTAAAGCTGTTAAATTCTTTTTAAAGTTGAATTACAATTTTTCAATTATATATATTATGCTAAAAATGTAATTCACTTTTCTCAGTTGCTTAAAGATTTTTAATTACGTCTTACACTTTACAATTAAATTAAAAATACGTTTCAAATTGCTCTGATATATTAACACTTAAAGCAAATACATATTTTAAAAATCAATTTTTCAATTTATGTAAATAACAAGTTTATAAATATTTTTTTTATAAATATTGAACAAATAAAAATCACTTAACTACTTTTAAGTTACTTTAAATAATAATCTTTATCAAAAACTTTTGAGTTTCATCAAAGCCAAAAAAATTAATTAATAATTAATATAATAATTAATAATAATTATTATTAATTATTATTAATTAATACATTTTATATTGTAGGAAATTTCCCAATTTTAACAGAATGTAAAAAATAATAAAGAAAAATTTAGTTTTTTCAAACGTTAAAAATTTGAACAATAATTTTTGATAAAGACTGATAAAAAAATACATAAATCTTTTTAAAAAAAAATGGAAAAATATAAAAAAATTGAAAATAAATTAGTAATAAATTCATCTAAACTGAAAATTATAAACTCAATAAATAAAATGTATAACAAAATGCAAAACTTGACTAGGTATTAATTAAGTAGCGACTAGACATTAATTTGCTTTTACACTTAACACGGAATTTGCACTTTTCGCGTCATTTTTTTTTGGTTTTTTTTTTGTTTTGTTTTTTTTTCTGAAAAATTTTTGGTCTTCTTCATAAATGTGAACAGGTATTATGATTTTTTTACTCGTTTCGCTCAGTAAAAATCTATAAAATGATTAAAAGGGATCTAAAAACCTTGTACGATTTCAATAATTTGAACGATTAATATGCGATCTGAAAGGCCATTATAAAATCCCGGGTGAAGTGGATTTTAATCTATTACGTATAAAAATTCTGTTTTGTTTTATAAACGCAAAATAATGCTTGTGAATGATTCCTAAATAAATCGGGGCGCATGACTTCCCCCAAATTGTAATCTTCTTTATAATTTTTATTTAATGCAATTTTAATTAATTAATTAATTAATTAATTTTAATTTTTTTTATAATCATTATTTACTCGAAATTCAGGTGGCCAAGTATTATAATATAAATTACAATAAATTTCACAATAAATTGTGCGTAATATGAATTTTCTTAAATAGAATAATTATTTTTTATAAATGGAATCTAATTTATAAATTAGCATAATTTTTAACTAGCCAAATTAAAAGTAAAATAATTATTAAAAATATAATATTTATTTCTCATAATTATTATGAAATCTAATTGTTAATTAAAATATTGTTTTATATATTTTTTTAAATCTGTAAAATAAACAATGATCATAAAGTTTAAAATTAAGTTAACAGAGTTGCCACAAAAATTTAGTTTTTTTTTTTTTTTTGATTGATTTCCAGACAAATTTTTGACTTTTTCCATGATTCTAAAGAATATTTTGATTCACACTAAAAATTATAAGATACTCAAAAAAATGTTCTATTACATATTTTATTTACGAAAATTATTCGAAAACATCAATAGCTTTTTGTTTAAATAAATATTTAATCATTATTATTTTTCCATAGGAATTAAGATTTTCAAAAACTTTTAAATTCAAACCTTTATGAAATTCTACAACTTATAATAATTTAAAATTTCATAAAATTTTTCAAAAAAAAGAAATTGAATTATTTACAAAACTTTAAATAAAATCCTTCGTAAAAATTCAATTATTTTCATAAATAATAAAATTTTTCATAGAATTTCAATTATTTTTAATACAATTTTAAATAAATTTTTCAAAAAATTTAATTATTTAAAAAAAATGTTTGACAAGAATTCAATTAAATTTTACAAATAATGAAACTCTTCGCTGAAAGTAAAATATTTTTAAAATCTACTATTTTAATAAAATTTCTCAAAAGAATTGAATTATTTGAAATTAAAATGTAATAAAATTCTTTGCAGAAATTCAATTATTTTCATAAATAATAAAATTCTTTACAGGATTTCAATTATTTATAAAAATTTTAATAAAATTCTTCGCAAGAATACAATTATTTTCATAAATTATAAAATTCTCCACAGGATTTCAATTATTTAAAAAAAATGTAATAAAAATTCGTTACAAGAATTCAATTATTCTCCAAAATAATAAAATTCTTCACAGAGGTATTTAATTATTTTTAATACAATTTTAAATAAATTTTTCAAAAAATATAATTTTCAAAAATTTTATTAAAATTCTTCAAAAGAATTCAATTATCAATTTTTTAAAATAATTTTTGCAAAAGTTTCTTGAAAATTTTCAAGTCCATTTCTTTATAATTAAATTTTACAAACATTTTTAAATTAAATATAGATTAGAAAATGAAAACTTGAAATAATATTTAAAAAAAAAATCATTTAAACTTTTTCAATAAAATGAATTCTACAGAATTGTTCATTAAAAGTAAAAAGTTGATAATTTGGATGCAGTCATGCGCCCCAATAATCCAGTATTCTCTTTACAATACAAATATGAAATACTGTTGTGCTATCTTGTTAAGCTTTCCATCTTCGATGTATGCATTTTGAAAGAAATGAGAAAAAAAAAGATTATGGGTTGGTCCGGCTTTGTGCTTCATTCTTTCGCTTTGCATTGTGCCTTTCTTTCGACTTTATGACTTTTTTTTTTTTATAAAAATTGAAATCTAAGTCCTTGAGAGCTCTCAGAGTATTATTTTCTGGGGTTATTCGTAAGGCAGTGTGATTGGGAAGACAATTTTTTTTTCTTTTAAAAAAATCATCTCGAATTGAATAAATAAACGATAAAGTCGTTCGTTGTTTGACGGAGTATACAATGAAGTTGAAAGCATTCTTTCGCTGAAAGAAAGCATTATTCCACTTCATTGAATTAAGGAGAATAATTTATGTCGTGATTATGCCTATTTTTTCTTCGGAAAATAAATGCAAATATCGATCGTAGACGCCACCAGCGACTGTGCTTGCGAACTGTCGAGCGTGATCTTTCTTTCGCGCGAATTTGTCTTACCAGTGAATAGAAAGCGTCGTCAATAAATTGCCGGAGAGCTGCCGAGGTCTCGTAAAATGGACATCCAAGTTGATTTGCCAAAACTTTTCCTTCTTCAGTTGTCACCTGAAATATTTTTACTTTTATTATTTTCATGTTATATTTTATTCAATCGAACCCAGGCTTGGCACTTATCTACTAAAGCCTACTACTTACTACTTTTTTTTACGTTATTATAACATTTTTCATAGAAATTTAATTTTTTAAAAATTTTTTGATAAAATTCTAAGCAAGAATTCAATTATTTTTAATACGATTTGAAATTAATTAATCAAAAAATTCAATTATTTTCAAAAATAAAGTTTTCCACAAGAATTCAATTATTTAAAATAAAAATTTCATAATATTTATTATATTTCGAAAAAATTAATTATTTAAAACAATGTTTATAAAATTCTTATGAAAAATTCAATTATTTAAAAAAAAACAAAATTTTTCACAGAAATTCAATTCTTTTTAAACATTTTAATAAAATTTTTCGCAATAATTCAATTATTTTCATAAATAATAAAATTCATCGCATGATTTCAATTATTTTAATAATACAATATTACAGGAATTGCTCAAAAAATGTAATTATTTTAAAAAATTTAATTTCAATTATTTCCCAAGTATTCATTTATTTACATAAATAATTCTTCAAAAGAATTCAATTATGTCGATAAATAACAAAATTATTTTCGAAAATCCAATTATTTTCAGGAATTTTAATAAAATTCTTTGCAAAATTCAATTATTTTCATGAATAACAATATTCATCACAATAATTTAATTATTTTTTAAAGTAATAAATTTCTTCTTGGTAATTCAATTATTTTAAAAAATTCTAATAAAATCGTTCGCAAGAATTCAATTATTTTCATAAATAATAAAATGCTTTTTAGAAATTCAATTATTTTCAAAAAAATTTAATAAAATGCCACACAGACATTCAATATTATTCTCAAAAATTTTAATAGAATTCTTTGTAAAATTTAATCATTTTTAAAAACTTTTCACAATTCAATGATTTTCAATATCTACTATTTTCATAGTCAAACAGAATTCAATTATTATTTAACCATTTTTTTGTAAAAATCTTCGTAAGAATTTAATTCTTTTCATGAATAATAAAAATTTCTTCGGAAATCAATTATCTAAATTAGAATTTGCATAAAATTAGTCGAAAGAAATGAATTATTTAAAAATTTTTATAAAATTCTTCGCAAGAATTAAATTTATTAGCAGGATAAGAAAGAAGTAAATATTTTACTATACTTTTTGCTACTTTTTTAAAATTAATTATTGAGTGCGAAGTCTGCGAACCGTTTTCTGTATTTTATTTTTTACTTCGAAATTCTGCAAGAAAAATGTTTCACTTTTTTCTTTAAAAAATTTTTCTCTCTAACTTTGAAAGAATGTTTCTTTAATCTTTCTTCATAAAATAAAGAAATAATCAAAGAAAAAGTTCTTTCATCTAATTAGAGACTTTTAAACAATTATTAGTTAAAAATAACTTAATTTCAGTTTTTTTTTCAATTTTCCCTGAAATTGGTATTTTTATAGTTACATTCTTCTTAAACATGTGGCTTTAAATATTTTTTCTTTTAAATATAAAAAAAATTTAAAGGAAAGAAAAAAATACCTTCCGCTGTTGTTGGAGGTCGAATTTGTTGCCAACCAAGACTAACGGAATGTCTTCACTGGCCCTAACTCGGGAAATTAATTTTCGATATTCTATAGCTTCTTGGAAACTGTGTCTGTCTGTGACGGAATAACAAATCATAAAACCCTCTCCGCATCTCATGTATTGATCTCGCATTGCCGTAAATTCAACCTGTTTAATTAAATTCATTTTAGAGTTAGCAATTTTTTTTTAATTAATTTTTTAAAGAAAAATTATTAATAAAAATTGTTTTATTATTAGTGAGTTGTGAATAAAAGAATTTAAATCTATATATAAAATTTGTGAATATAACTATAAAAGAATGTAAAAACAAAATTTCTAAATTCAATTATTCAAAACTTCAATAAAGATGTTAAATAAATATTTAAATATTTAATTAGTAATATATTTTTACACTGAAGTTAAATTTGGTTATTTTTAATTTTAAAATTGTATTATTTTCATTGAAAAAAGTAAAAACTATAGTTTCGTGTTTATTTTTATAAACCTTCGATCATTTAAAAAATTTTCGAAAATGTCTTAAAAATTAACTTGAAAACCAAAACTTTTTTCAATGAAAATGTATAAAATTTTAAAATCTAAAAATAATTAAATTAAAGATAATTAAAATTACTATAAAAAAAGTGCAGTAATTTTTTTCATGTATTTTAATGGAATTCGCAGTATTTTAAAAATAGAGACGATAGTAAAAATTTGAAAATGTCCATATTTAATTAACCACCATCCTAATATTAAAAATGTTTTCAAACCTGTCCTGCAGTGTCCAAAATATCTAAGAGCGCAGCTTCTCCATCGATAACTGCTTGTTGCTGATATGAATCCTCTGCAAATATTGATTTTAGATTAGAAGAACTAATTACGAAAGATAAAAACTAAAATTAGAATATGTAAATAAATTTCTACCTATTGTTGGGTCATGATAATCGAGAAAACTGTGACTGACAAACTGTAGAGTTACAGCTGAAAAAATTGAGAAAAACAGTCTTAAAAAAATGTTACCTTAAATATGACATAAATAAGTAGATTTAATTAAGTGCTGAAGATGATAGAATTTTTCTCATTATTATACCGCGAGAGTTTAGAAATTCATTCGCGATAATAAAGAATTGAATTTTGTTTGCAATTTCAATTATTCGGAAAAAAATAATTTTGAAAAATTTCGATTAAGCTTTTTGAAGAAAATTAATTCCATAGAATTTTTAATTACAGGCATGAAAAATTCAGATTTTCAAAGATTTTAATTTGCAACTTTTACAAAATTCAATTATTTATAAAAATTGCAATTATTAGTAAATTCTCCAAAATTCAATTAATATCTAAAACTTTAACTACAATTAATTTTTAAAGCACTATTAGAAAATTCAATTATTTAAATACAAAAATAAATAATTTATTGAATATTTAAATGTTTCTTAAAATTGAATTTTCATAAAGAATTTTATCAACAAATTTTTCAATAATTCAATTTTTTCGACGAATTTTAATAAACTTTTTAAGAATAATTACAATTTTTGGTATTCAATTACAATTGCATTAAAAATAATTGAAATTCTGCAATGAGTTTTATTATTTCTGAAAATAATGGAATTATTGCGAAGAATTCTATAAAAAAGTTTCAAACATTTGATTTTTTTCGAAATAATTTATGCAAATTCTATTTTTAATTTCGAAAAATTTTTGAAAATAATTGAATTTCTGCGAAGAATTTAATGCCAAATTTTAAATCACTTGAATTTTTCGCAAAAATTAATGCAAATTCTATTTTAAATAATTGAATTAATAATGCGAGTTTTTTTTTCGAAAATAATTGAATATGTAGAATTTTATCATAATTTTAATTAATTAAATTCTTTTGGAAAATTTTATGAATATTTTGGAAATTAATTTATTTTTATTACTTTTGAAAATAATTGAATTTTGTCGAAGAATTTTGTTAATTGTTTATAAAGACAATAGAAATGTTGACATTTTTTTTAAGACTTTTTGAAAATAATGAAATTTCTGCGAAGAATTTTATTAATTTTTAAAATAATTGAATTCTTGTGATGAATATTGTTATTTATGAAAATAATTGCATTTTGTAATGAATTTTATTAAAATTCCTGAATATAATTGAATTTCGGAGAAGAATTTTGAAATGTATAAAGATAATTAAAATATTAACGAGAATTTTTTTTTAATTTTTGAAAAAAATTTAATTTCTGAAAAGAATTTAAAATTTAAAATAAAAATTTAGAATTGAAAATAATTTCAACAGAATTGAAAGTAAAATTTTTCAAAAAAATACTTCATTAAATGAATTATAAATAATAATTTTATGATAGTTATTTAAAAAGAAATTAATGTCAGAAATAGAAAAAATTGAAGGTTTTGGATTAGCATTTGTGGAAATTTCACAGTTTATAAGGTAAACAAAAAAGACACAAAACATCAGAATTTTCTTATAAATTCTAAACATTTAATTTTTTCCAGGTACTTTTAATAAAAATCCCTGACCCGTGGAAATCCTGTGTTTGTAAATTGGATTTTTGTTAAAAATTGAGAAATATTCCAATTTGAATAAACAACAATAATATTATTTTCTTATATAATAGTATTTTTGGAAAAGCAAATCTGCTTTCTGATAGTATTGATTTTTTCTCACATTTTCTATGAAAGAATAAATACTTTTTGATTCCAGTCTGCTTTCTAATTTTATTACTCGTTTTTTCTATAGTTCGCTATATTGTTATTAGCAAAAATATAAATAAACAAATACCTGATTTTCCAACTCCTCCGTCGCCCAAAACGACAATCTTGTAAACCCTGAGACCACCTCGAGTTGTCGGTTGTTTAACAACCGGCAAATCATTCTTGTTATCTGATGATCCATTATTGTCTTCAATTATGTCAACTGACATTCTAAAAAATTTGTCGCGCTTGATTTTTCTCTAATTCACTGTTTTTTATCGCCATAATTGATGTGATTTTTATTTTGAAAATTTATTTTTGACAAACAATCAGCGAGGAATGGAATGGAGAGTGCAGTGAAAATACGAGTCATTATGTTTTATTTTTAATAAGCTCTGTAGAGATGTTCGTCTCTTTTTCTATATAGTGATATATATTCTTTAATAGGCCAATATTGTCAATTTAATTAGTTACGAGAGTTAATTATCATCACAGCATTACAATTTACAAATAATCCGTCACCAATTGTCAATATACGATCGACGAACTGTCAGCTGTCAAATTTCAGTTCTGACAATAGAATTTTTCATAATTCTCTTCGTTTTCAAATGTTGCCTAAACTGATTGATTTAAAATGCTCAGAATGCTCTTGAAAATAAAAATTAAAAAAATAGGTTCATATTTCTTAAATTAAAAGTTGATTATTAATTATCTTATAATTGTTAATTAATTATTTAATAAGTTTTTTTAGATCTAGGCATTATTATTTATTGAGAATTTCAAGGATTGCTTAAAAAATATTTTCAAATTTTAATTGTAGACATAGTCAAATTTTTTAAAAGGCTCAGGTGGCTCAGGTTCTTCCGTTTGCCGGATTCGACATCAAAAACACAAATCGTTAGGTTGAGTCCACAATAGCACTCTTGGACGAAACGTTACGTTTACGTTCCGTTCAAGAGTGCTATTGTGGACTCAACTTTATTGTAGACGCACCATTATTTACCTGCCCTGAAATTATCTCACATTGCGCATGCGTTTAGTACTTCACTCCGTTGGCAACACTGATTTACATTTTTTTATTTATTTTCCTGCTTGCAGTAAAAACAATCTTACAATCACTTACAATAAGTAATAAAGAAAAGAAAAAAATACACATTTTAATTAAAATAAACGTTACTTAATGAATATTTAACATACACTACACATTTCTTTTACATTAAAATCAAACCTTTCGACTCGTCACTCTAGAGTTCCCTTGGAATGTATAAAAAGAATAAACAACAAATCAGCTGTTTTCTCTTTCACAAAAGAGAAGAGACAATGATCTGTCATTTTGGTAAAATAAAAAAATGACCATTTCTCTCTTCAATTATCCATAAGAGAAAATAACTCCCACTTGGTATTTTTATTAATATATTTGAAATTAATTTCCCGACATTTTTTTATCTTCTTTCCTTGTATTATCTTTTTCTGTCTATGAGCTTTGGTGTATGACTAATCGCAAAGTACTCTTTTCCGCTTATGTCGTCAATCAAAGTATCAAAGAAAAAAGAGAATTCCTAACAATATCACTCCACTCGATTGTTTTGTGAATTGCAAGCATTTGCAAGTAGGTCAGTCAGTGACAGTGACTTGTAGACGATAAGCATGAAGACGTCAAATTATTATCATTGAGTCTATGCAAAACTATATTTAATGCAATAGACAAAGGAAAGAGGAAAGTGGTTGAAAATTCGCGAGGAGTAATAATTGCAAACGAGTCGGATGAAGTGCAAGGATGGAAGAAGTAATCGTTGGTGGAGTTCCGGTCGAGTCCTTGACTGGGGAATTGGCTGGAGTTTGGTCAGGATGGCGAGCCTCGGGAGATAGGGAAGTCGTTAGAGAAGCTTCCGCGAAGGGTTTGCATATAAATCTGGCCTATAAGTTTCTCACCCACAGAAGAGGATGTTCCCACGACGAGGCCAAGTCCTATTTTTCCAGCGAGGTCGACATTTGGATAAATGAGCTGCTCAACAAGCGACAAGTTCACAAGGCTTCTCATATTCTAAAGAATGTGGCAAGTTTCTTTTTTATTTCTCTATCAACAAGAATTTTAACTATTTTTTATTTTCTTCCAATTTACAGGTCACCTTTTTAACTTTTTTAAATTTTCTCGCCTATTTTCTCTATTTCTGGGTGACAGTTTCAGATTTATTTTCGTATGAAGTTGAAACTGACAATCAATTGTCAGCATCCACTTAATTTTGGAAATTAAATTTAAATTAAATAAACATTCAAAAATGTTTGAATTTGAATCTTTTGGAGAAAATTGTAAAAATTTATTTGAATATATATTTATTATAATAATTTATAAACTATAATTTAATTCGTCATTTATTTTTTTATTTCTATATTTTTAGACATTATATATTAGAGATATGTTTTCAAATCATTTTATTTTAATCGAAACTTAATAATTAATTAAAATAAATTATTATTAATTTATTAAAATTATTAAACGAAAATTTCGGAAAAATCCAACTGTAATATTTTTCTTTAAGGGGAAAAATCCGTCCGAGTTTATTTGCACAGTTTGCTTAAAATGCAGAGAGCCGACTTTAAGAAATTACCTGGCTCATCATTTAATAATTATTAATGGCTTCGAGGAAGAACAGTTTGAGGCTTTGGAGATGATAAATTGGATAGAGGAACATGAGAAGAATCATAAGTAAATATTTGTGACAAATTGTCAAATAAATAAATTTATTTCTTTAATTTAATTAATTTATTCATTAATTTAAAAAAAATTAACGATTAGACTCGACGGTGAGCTGATATCCCACAAAAGTTTGGAAGATGTGATTAATTTGTCTCCGGACATTAAAAAATGTATTTACGTTGAATTATATTTTGAGAGTTTCAATGCGAAAATTGGACGAAAATTATCTAATGACGCAGTTTGGAACTATTTACTAATGAATAATAAAATTAAATTAATAAACAATTGGATCAGTATTAACTATGAATGTGATATAAAAGAAATTGACGACAAAGATGAACTGGAACAGAACTTTGAAAATCTAAAAATAACCGAAAAAATGATTTCCTCGATTGAAAATTCAAATGCAATTACACCAGTCATTCAAATGACTCTTAATCATTTTTGCAGGTAATTTTCAAAAAGATTAATAAAAATTACTAAAAAAAATTTTTAAATAAAAAATTAAATATTAAATATTAATTAAATGAAATATTTATTAAATATTTATTAAATAAAAATTTAAAAGTAGCATTCGATGAAACTGAATTTTTTTTCTTTCAGGTTTGGAGTATTCGCAAATAAAGAGAAAACGGATTTTAAATTAATTTTGAATAGACTATTTAGCAGTTTAAAAACGCCTTCGGAATTTCACGAAATATTATCAAAGGAATCGTCTAATATTGATAGATCAGAGTTTTTCAACAAAATTGACGCTGTGAAATATTCGAGAAATTTTAATCAAGATTCCACGGAATTAAACAGTCAAAAATTATTTCACTCCCTACGAGAAATGTGCGAAGAAAATAATGAAACGTACGAAATTTTAGAACAAGGAATTCTCGAAACAATTTCCCACATTTCTCAAGATTCTCTCGAATTTTTAAAATCGAATTACATAATAGCCTTTATGTTAATTTTATTGCAACACTTGAAGAAAAATATTGAAACGAGTGTCGTTGATAATTTAACAGAGGGAGAATTGTTAAAAAATATTTTTTCAAAACGAGACGAGCTTAAAATTGGACATTTAACAGTGCCTAGAGAAATATTGTCCAATATTTTAGATCGTTTTCCATATTTAAAAGCGGAAATTGATGAAAATTTGTCGCAAGTAAATGTAACGATGTATCAACTTTTGGAGGGTTATGAGAATTTTCATTCGAAACGAGTTTTTAAATGGCGGCAAAAAAATGAATCGATGCCAAATTTTTCCAATGGATATTTAACACATAAATATGGACATAAAGAGAAATTAACGTATATTAATTATTTGAAGGAATCGAGACCAAATATGGCGTATAATGTTCTTTATCGTTTGGGTAAAAAATCTTCATGCAACATCTCTTCTAAAATGTAAATTTAATTTAAATTAGAAAAATTGTTTTTTCTTAATTCGTACTTTTTTAATTTTCTAATGTTTTGCAATTTTATTTCAGGAAGTCGCAAGTTTCTCTCTCGGCACATATTTTTGCATTGAGGCATTTAAATGAACTGGACATTATCAGCAGTTGTATATCTTTTATTGAGTTATTGGGTGTTGATTCTGATAATTTGAGGCTTCATGTAACAGTTGCTGCTTTTGTGGAGAATAAATTAAATTTCTCTATTGGTATTTATCAACATTAATTTTTTAATTTATACTTAGGCGATTTTACTTCAAATTTAAAAATTTTTTTTGAATTAAAATTTCTAAACATATTAAATTTGGAAAAAAGTATTTTTTATTCATTTAGTAGAAAAAAAAGGCGTTTAAGTATTTTTTTATTTTTTTTATCAGAATTTGGCATTTGGCCAAATTCTTCAGTTATGGATTTTTTAAATTTTGATTAATATATTAAAAGTAGAGCTAATTTCAATGTTTTATTAACTCTAAAACTATTGAGTATAGAAAAAATTCGGTGGAAGAAGAAAAGATTGTTTCTCCTTTGACTTTTATAAAATAATCTTGACAAAAATTAACTTTTGGAAATTTATATTTAAAAAATAATCATTTTTTATGAACAAATTTAATTTTGTTAAGTTTGAATTCAATTTTTGTAAATTTTAATTTTTTAATACATTTACTTAAAAATAAATAAATGAAAATTAGCTTAAAAAATTATAATTTAAAATATTTTTTAAAAGAGCTTAATTAATTTTTTAAAATTTGATTATTTACTATTTTTAATTGCATATCTCCGAAAATTCGAATTCATAATCTATAAATTATAATTACATGAAAATTTTTACAAAATCTAAGTTTTTCTAAAATTTTAGAGAAAATAATCACTTTTCAATTTTTATTTCAAATTCTTCAAAAAAATTATTAGTTTTTTAAATTGTGAAATTGTGAAATTCTTGAAATTTTTTAAGTATAATTTTTATAATTCGATTATTTTCGAAAAAATACCTTACAATATTTTGAAAAGTCTAATTCTTGAAATTTTTTAGCACAATTTTTATTCAATTATTTTCAAAAAAGTAAATTAAAAAAATATACTTCTTTAGAGTTACCATTCGAAATTTAAAGAAATCATGTATTTTCATATTTGAAATTGAAATTCTTCAAAAACTTGATTATTTTTTTGTTTTACAAAAACTATTTTAAAAAATTCAATTTATTTTCCAAAAAATTTTTATTAAATTTCAATTATTGGGAAATTTTTTAAATTCTTTGCAATTAAAAAATCTATTATTTTAAATAATTGAAAGTTTGTAAAATTTTATTCAATTTTTATAGTATTTCATTAAAATTTTTAAAAATAAAATTTCGAAGAATTGTAATTGCAAATTTTGATAATAATCGAATTCTTAAATATTTTAATGAAAAGTCTTCAAATGAAGATTTTAAAACGAAAATTAATGAAAATCTAGCTTCATAAAATTATATTTAAAAAATTTGTTAAACGACTAATTCTTAAGCTTTCTTTATATTATAATGTTTTACAATTCAATTATTTTCAATATTTTCAATTGCATAAGTATTTCCAAAAATTCTAATTATAATTTAGAATATTTTAAAAAAATCTAATTTTTTAAAGATTTGATATTAAAAGTTTTCAGACATCAATAATTTTTAAAATTTGTTAATAAAATTCTTCAATTATTTTCAAAAAATTGTACTCAAATTTAAATTATTTTGAAAATTTTCAATTATTTGTACTTGTAATTGAAAAATCTATTATCTTTTAAAAAATGTTTAAAAATAGTTTTAATTTTTTTAATCCGATAATTTTTTTTAAGAAATTCAATTATTTTCAACAAAATTGTACTTAAATTTCAATTATTTTGAACATTTTCAATTATATGCACATGTAATTAAGAAATCTATTATCTTTTAAAAAATGGTTTTTTTATTAAATTTTTCCTTTTTCTCATTGTTCTTTATTTCGATGGCCTGTCGTTTTAAAAACTTTAAATTTTGTTATTCTTCCTTTTAATAAGCAATTATTGAGAATTTTATTTTCTTTACTATTAATTTATTCATTTAAATTTTTTGTTTTCTTTTTCAGGAAATTTATTGGAGTCTGTGGTGTATAAAGATCAAGAAGACTTAATAACAGTATTATCTCATTTGGAGCGCAGTTTTAATTTGTCACTGATAACTAATTTAATTAAAGAGCCACGAGAATTTTTATCAGCTTTAAAAACGTGGGATATTATCGTGCGATTCGCAAGAGCGCACAACGCAACTATCCCAACTTTATTTCTTGAATTTTTAGCATCTAATGATATGTGGTTCGAGTATATTTTAGTAGGTCAAATATTTTCTTATCCTTCCGAGCAGGTAAGGTCACAAATATTATTTTAAAAAAGTAATTTTTTATATTTTAAAAAAATAATATTTTATATTTAAAAAAAATATTTTATATTTTAAAAAAATAATAATATTTACTTCAGGCATTATTTTTTCTTTCGTAATTATAGCAAACTGTAGAAATTTTTTTTTAAATATTGTCCGCACTAAAAAAAATCTAAAACTAAAATTAAACTAAAACTGAATTAAAAGAAAAAGAAACATAAACAATATTTTTGAGAAAACTTGAATCGTTACGGAAAAATAAAAGTAGATTCTTAATAACTACGAATAATATAATATATTATTATTAATTTTAATTATTATCAGTAAGGTTTTAAAATTATTTAATGGAGATATTAATATTAATTTCAGATTTTAGAGAAGATTGTACTGTTTAAAAATCCGAATCTTCGGGAGCATTTAATATTATCATTAAACAATCCTTATCTGTTGAGTTCAAATTCTATAGGAGAGGATTCTAAAGTAAAGACTCGAGACTCCAGACAGTCTCTCTACAATAAAATTGGAGTTAAACAAGTACGAATACTTTCCTATCTACAAAATAAAAATGTATCTGAATTTAATTTGCATTTTGTGTCTAAAAATATAATTTTTGTCCTTAATAGACTTCACCAGAATCAAGTTCTCCAAGTTCGGAAATATGTCATTCAGCAAAAGCGCATTCTACGTTTACTGAAAGTTCAATTACGAATTTGGGAGTTCGTTTATTTAATAATGACTTGTGGCAAATTGTTTTGAAATGTCATCAGAGTCAAGATCCACCGAAAGCTTTATTAAAGGCTTCTCGAACTTTAAAATCTCCGATTCTTACGGTTTTGGCTTCCTGTTACGAAGTAATTATTATTTTATGCACTTTATTCATTTATTTAATTTTGCTACCTCGTGGAAATTTTCAAATTCGATTTTTCACCTTTTTTTTTACTTTTCTTGACCTCAGGGATCCAAAAATCGTATTTTTATAAAATGCTTAGTTTTGTAGCGCGCTACAAAACGCATCTTTTAAGCACTTATTGAACACTTTTCGTTAATATTAGCCAAAGTTATTTAACTTTTTAAAAAATCAAAATATTGAAGAAAGTTTCCTACTTTTTTTAGTAAAGTCAGGGAAATGTCAGTAAAACTTCTGGGTTGTAAATAAATTATTGTTTAAAATTTTTTGTTTTTATATTTGAACCCCAATTGAATTTTTTTCAAGGGAATTAGGGATCAAGTATTCATCTTGTTTTAAATAAAAATTCAGTTGCTAAATTTAACTTTATTAATACAAATTTATCTAATCTAATCAAATTTTAGTACTAAAATTGTAAGAAAAATGTCTCTAGATCCAAATTTTAAACTATTAATTGTACTTTCTTTTGTTAGCCATCCTCTGCTGCAACACATTGTTATTTTTGGCTCCTAGTGTCTGTGGAAGATTCAGAATTTTTTCTGAACTCGAAAGATCCTTTAGAAGATCAAGTTTGGTCGGCGGATAATGTTATGGAGCTTTTTAATAATTTAGTTTATCACAACTATATCAGTACTTTTAATAAGGGTCTGACGATTTTCATGCCTGTAAGTTAATTTTTTTTTAATAATTTAAATAAATTGCAATTCTTTCTTACGGAATTATTTATAATTATTTTTTTAGTACTTTCTTTAAATAATATTTTTATTTTGTATTACCTTGAAATAATTGTTTCTTAATAATTACAGGACAATCCATTAAGACTTTTTTCCGAATTTTTGGTTGAGTGCATATGCTTGGGAGATTTCGAAAAATGCCAGACGATTTTAACGAATTTTATTTCCAGTTGTTCTACACTCAAGTGTAATGTGAGTTTTTATTCAGTTACAATTTTCAGTCAAATGAAAATTAAGTAATAATTAAAATTATATGAAAGAAATAATTAAAGTAAATTAAATAAATAATTAAAAGTAAATAAAAAAAGAAGTAATAATAAATTTTTTGTTAGAAAATGATGGACTGGAAAACTGACGAATCGTATTTAGATAACATTTACTGGATCGAAACAGTGGTAGTCAAATGCCTTATAACAGCTTTGGGAAAATGTTTTCAAAGTAAATGTTTACAGATAAAATTTTTAGAAATTTTGACGAGTTGTGATTTTTTCAAGAATTTAACAGGTGACTATAAAAAATATTTTTATTCACTTTTATTATTTAAGCATTTTAAATTTAATTTTATTAATTTCATCAAAATGAAAATTAATAGATCTTCATAATTTCTCAAATTATTTTTCAGTTAATGCTCCAAATTTTTATTCACTATTGGAAATTATGAAAATTTTGATAAAAACGGACGTTGCATTTAATTTTCTATTTTTTGACATTGTTGATAATGAGCAAATTTTTAATAATGAAATTGAAAGGTGTATCAATGAATTGTTGGAGAAAGAAAATTATACAAGTGCCTTAGAATTGTCAAAAGTAGCAAATTTGAAACCGTCGAAAATAATTCTTGCACAGGTAAAATGAAATTCTATCAAATATTTAAATTTCCATCAAACAGTTAAATTATTAAAAGAGTGACCGCTAGACCGGGAAACCTATATAAAACTGGAAAATGACAAGGAAATATTTTGTTGACCGGGAATTTTGAATTTTTCTATTACGGTGTTTTTTTTTTAAATAAAAAAACTTGTTAAATTTGAAAATGAATTTATTTTAAAAAATTTTGCGAATAATTTTATTTAAGAATTTAAAAAATAATTGAATTTTATAAAAGTTGCGCTTTTCATTTTTATAAATAATATATGAATATTTAGGAAAACTGTCAATTTAATTTATTATAATTTTGTATTATAACAAAATTTTTTACTTTTAAAAATTATCTTCAATTGTTGAATAATTTCAGATACAAAATTTAAAAAAATTCAACTTTATAATAAAATTCTTTAAAACAATTCAATTATTTTCATACATATAATAAAATTCTTCACAGGAATTAAATTATTTTTTAATATAATTTTAATAAAATTTCTTGAAAGAATTCTTTGAAAGAGTTTAATTAGTTTCACAAAATTTTCATAAAATTCTTCAAAACAATTAAACTATTTTAAAAAATTTTAATAAAATTCTAAGAAAAATTAAATTATTTCAGATTAAAAATTATAAAAAGTTACAGAAATTACAAAAATTAATATAAAATGTTATTAAAAATGTTATATTTTATAATAGAATTTAGAAAAATTGAATTTTAAAAAATTTTTATTAAAAATTCTGAATAAGTTAGTTTTTTCAAACAGTTTTCTTTACGTTTTTTTGAAATTAGTTATATTTTAAAAAAAGGAATATTTAATTGAAAAATTTTCAGTTTTAGGTGCATTTTTTTTTTGAAATAATTGAATTTTTAAGGAATTTTCCCAAAAAAATATTAAAAATTCTTGAATTTAGAGAAGAATTTTAATTACAATTTCTAGAAAATAATTGAATTGAAATCTTGAAAATAATTTTTGTGTATTTTTCTTTATGCCCCGGAAAAATAATTTATGATCGGGAATTTTTTTTTATGAAAAAAGCGGTCACCCTGATTACGTTTAATTTTGTGATTTGATTATTTAATTATTTCGTTAAAATTTCGTAATTTTTAACCAATTTTTTAATTAACTTTTTTTTAACTTTTTAATCCAACAGTATCGAAGTGAATTCAAGAAACAAATGGGCGTGATTGAATCAAACTTTTGGAAAAAATGTTCCGCCGATTTTAAATTGCATAAAGTTTGTTATGAAAAAGCGGCCGAATTTTTTGTGGAACATGCCGAAAAAATTCAGTCTAGTAAGGAAAGGTAATTTCCAATTAAGTTACCTATTATTAAAAAATTTATAAATTATAATTTATTCTACTTTAGATAATTGATTTTTTCTTTCTTAGGTTTGAAATTCTAAAATTGGCTTTAGAGATTCTCAAGGAAAATTCCGATGATTGTCAAACTTGTGATAAAGCGGAAATGGCTATGTGGAAATCCTGCATTCTAGCCGGTCCCGAAAATATTGAGATTAAGAGTGAAAGTGAACTTTTTCGGAAACTGAAAACTGAACTCCTGTCTGAATTGAATAATTTGCAAATCACTTGTATTCTCAATGATCCTCAGGAAAAGGCCGCTCTAGAAGCGTTGATTAATAAATTATTAGACGCTGGAAAATTGGATAGAGCACTTAGAATAAGTGCAATTTTTAACTACAAACATAAAGTACGTAATTTTTATTAGTCGATTTTCATCAACTAAAATTTAAATTATTGTTTTGTTTGAAGTTAAATATTTTTGTCTTTTTTTTTATTTCCTTTTTTTAAAATAATTTTTCTTTTCAAATATTTTGATTTCAATTTTAATTTAAAATACTAATTTAGTGTTTTGAAGATAAAATAATAACAAAAATTAAAAAAACATAATTATTTTGAATAAAAAATTATAATTTATGTAATTTGTAAATTTAATAAAAGTTATTGCTAATTTCAGTTAGTAACTAACTTTTTGCTTTTGAATTAGTTAAAATAAATTTTTTTTCAAAATCTAGTAGTTTATTAAAATTTTTTGTACCGTTATTTTCATTTTTTTAAATTATGAAAAAGATATTAATATAAAAACGTTTTATTTTTTCCAGGACGTACAAATCTTGATGCTGTGTTTAAGTTTAGCCGAGGGGGAGATTTTGCCCCATCAATTAACAATTCAGCAAAAAATGTTAATATCCGAATCAGGAAATACAAAGCAAAGACTTGGAATTTTGAGAAACAGAGGACTCACCAGATTGCCATCATCATCTTCTTGTAATATTTTTTATATTTATATTCTTATTTGAATTAAATAAATTTTTTTGTTTATTTATTCTTATTTGAATTAAAATAACATTTTTTCGAAAATTAGATATTAATTTGCTACTTAAATTAAATACTGTTGAGTCAGTTAAATTTTAATTAATTAAATGAACGGTTTTTTACTAAAAATAATATTTTATTATTATTTTGGACAGTAAACTTGAGCGGCACTCACGAAGCTAGCGAATCAACGACTGCAGTTAATCAAGAGGAGTCGGATTGTTTGATGATATTGACGAGATTGTTGAAGAGTCTACAGAGCGGCGTCGCTATCGGAACGAGAATCGTCACTTGTTACAAATTATCTATAACTTTGGGAAAAAGTTATTATTCTTTACTGATTCTCAATGACCCGATGAGACTCTTGCAGGAAGTTGTTTTAAGTAATTACGATCGTACTCTGGAAATCGCTAAGGATATAATAAGTGCATATCAAATCGAAAGTCGTCAAGTTGCTCAATTTTTGGCTGAAGAGATTGTTGCTTCAATTACACGAGTCGTAGAAGGTGCGATGCATAAATTAAATTAATTTAAATTAACTCGTTTCGTTATACCAGTTATTTAAATTTCAATTATGTTAACAAAATTTTTACAAGTTTCGGAAAAACAGGAGCATGAGCTCCTGTTTTTTTTTTTTTTTTAATAATTTTACTAAAATATTTCAAAATGAATTGAATTTTAAAAGAGTTTCTTTTACAATATTCTTAAATAGATAAACTTCAAAAAGTTTCAATTTGAAATTTTGTAAAATTTAAATTTTGAAAGAATTTAATTAGAAATTTAAAAAAAATCTGATTTTTGAAAAATTTTAACAATTAAAATTATTTTGAAATTAGTTAAAATTTTTAATATAAATATTTAATTAATTATTAAAAATAGTGGATTTGTAGAAGATCTTTAGTTAGAAACACAAAAAAAAAATTGAATTTCGGAGAAGTTACAAATAATTGCAGAAATTCAATTATTTTCAAAAGTAATACAATTTTTCGCAAAAATTAAATTATGTACAAAAATTAAAAAAAATTCATGTCAAACTTTCAACTATCTTTATAAATATTAATAAAATTCATCTCCGAAATTCAATTATTTTCTGAAATTTCATTATAAAATTCATGGCAAAATTTCTATTATTTTGAAAAAAATTTCTCAATTCAATGATTTTCAATATCTATACTATTTTAATAAAATTTTCTAAAAGAATTCAGTTTAAAGAAAATTTTGATAAAATTCTACGCAAAGATTAAATTATTTTTATAAATAATAAAAATTTCACAGGAATTCAATTAGTTGCAAATTTTTTTTATAAATTTCTTCACAATAATTCCATTATTTTCATAAATAATAAAACTCATCGCAAAATTCCAATTAAAACAATTTTAATCAAATTCCTCGAAAAATGGAATTATTCTTAAAAATTTTATTAAAATTCGTCAAAAGAATTCAATTATTTAAAAATTTCTCGATAAAATTCTTTATGAGAATTAAATTTTAAGAAACATTCAATTATTGAAGAAATTATTTATTTTTGTAATTAAATAATTGAATTCTTGTAGAATTTTCTAACAAAAATGAATTTTAGTTAAAAATTGAAGAAAATAATAATTGAATTGAAATGATGACCATAATTTTTTTATTAGTTGTTTAATTTCAAAAGGTTTGAATTTCAAATTTTTGAAAATCTTACTTCCTATGAAAAAAATAATAATTATTAAACATTTATTTAAGAAAGAAGTTATTGCTGTTTTCGAATAATTTCACAATTAAAGAAATTCGTAAATAAATATGAAAGAACATTTTTTTGAGTATCTAATAACTTTTAGACTGAATCAGAATATTCTTTATATTCAGGGAAAAAGTCAAAATGTCTGGAAATTAGGGAAAAGTCAGGGAAAATCAAAATTAAATTTTTATGGCAAACCTGTAAATATCAAATATAAAAGTTCAATGATCTAATATTCTGTACAATAAAATAAAATCATTAAAAAATGAATATTAATAGCTAAAAAAAATTTCAGATGGAAATAACGATTCAACTGTCTGGAGCTACCCTCTCGATATTAGTCTTCATTCTGTGATCGAATTATCCAAAGATACTTCAATTTTGGGATTGAAATTACTCGACATTGCCAGTAAATTATTAGGACATTCGAATGGTGAAAAGCGAAATGGTACCTAAGAAAAAGTTTAATTTACATTTTCCAGATTTAACAAAATCAATTTTTTATAAATATTTTTTTTCCAAAAAGAAAAATTCTAATGAAAGTTGCAAATTTTGTTTATTTACAGTGATAACTCTAAAAATTGCTGTTGAATTATTAATAAGATCTCACGACTGTTTCACTACTTCCTGTAATATGGAAGGTATCGCTTCAGTTTTGAGAAAATGTCAACAGTTGGCTAATGCTTTACAAAATTTAAAACTCTGGAGTTTATTGGTAAGAAAATTTTTGTTAAAGTTTGTATTTTAATTTTTGATATTGCATATTTAGTTCAAGAAATTATTGTTTGTTAATCTAAAAATCTGATTTTTTGGCATGAATTTAAGCTTCACATTTTACAAGAGTTTTTTTAAAAAATTGTTACTTGTCTTGTCTTATAGAATTTTGTGGAAATTTTTTTTAACTAAGATACTTTCGAAAAAGGGAAATTTAAATTAGGACCAAAAATATTAGACTTGGGATGAAATGAAATTAGATTAAATTAAATTAAATTAAATTATTTATTATTATTAGGATTATTAATTAAATTAAAAAAAACGATCAGTTTAATTATTTTTGAAGAAATAATTAATTGTGTACCTAATTTTTTCAGGTGCGTCTCGTTACCGGAGTGGGACGTTTTACTGAGATGAATTACGTTTTCAAAATACTCAAAGAACACGATCAATTTGAATTTTTATTGGGAAAGGGCTTGGACAAAGTTCCGGGTTTAAAAATGGCTCTTCTCGACTTTGTCAAGCGTTATTGTCCAGAGAATAAGGAATTGTTGAACATCATTGCACTTCACTTTCATCTACATTACGAAATCGCTCTCACCTGGGAGAATGAAGGGCGAGAAGTTATCGACGAATTGGTCAGTGAAGCAAAAAAGGAGAATCTAAAGTCTCAGAACTCCTTTCCAATCGAAGTGAAATTAACGAGGGACAAAATCACAGAGAAGAGATTACAATTGGTCATCTTAAACTTTACTCTCGCTACGCACTATTTTTTACAGGTTCGAAATATTATTATGATTATTATTATTATTATTATTAAAAATATTTTTCTTTCGAAAATTAAAATCAAATGAAGGGACATGATTGAACTATTTTCTTCTTTTTCTTGAGTATGAAGAAATAAAATGGTTTTTATTTTATTCTTTTTAGGACAATAAATTAAATTTGGCAAATCATTCCTCGCATCAGGCAGAGTTAGTGGCTTTGCAACTTTCATTGTTTTATGTAGTCCAAGAAAATCATCAGTTTGCCTGCATTTTAAATTTAAATAAAGATGAGGTTGATAAAGCGATTTGTCAGTTTTTGAACTTTCCACAAGCTCTGATTGTCGCGAGAGCTTATAATCATCATGTTGACTGGGCGAATGCTGTTTACAATCATTGTATCCATCAAGGGGAAACCAAGTATTTAAAGGAATTCGTAACGTCCAATAGATTTACAACATCTATTATCAATGATTGTGTTAGAAGGTGAGAAATCTCATTCAATTGTTATATATTATATTATTAATTATTATTTTCATAAATTCAGGCTTCACAGTGCCCCTAAAAAGTATTTTAGTGGAAGTAGGGGACTGAAAATTAAAAAATACTTTTTCCTGATTTCCAAACACAACTTTGACTTATATTTTTCCCTGACCCTAAGGAATATTCTGATTCACGACAAAAATTATTAGATACGAAAAAAAATGTTTTATTAAATTTATTTACAAATTTCTTCAAAAATAAAATTTTTCGAAAACATCAATAGTTTTATTTAAAATAAATATTTAATCATTTTTTTTCATTGGAATTAAGATTTTCAAAAATTTCAAATTTAAACCCTTTGAAGTCCAACAACTTATAAAAAAATTATAAAACATGAAGACATCGATCACTCCGAGTCTTCGACTCGGAGCAATCGATATCTTCATGTTTTATAATAATTAAAGATGACCGACTGACAAAATCATTATTTTATTATTATAAGAATATTTTTACTGTAATTTCTTCAAAATTATTTCTATCATTTCAATTCAATTAACATTTTCTAGAATTTTTAACTAAAATTCTACTTTCAATCAATAACATCAATTATTATTCAATTTAACTTTTTCAAAAAAAATTAATTCTACAGAATTGTTAGTTAAAAGTACAAAAAATAATAATTTAATTCTACGAGAAATTAATTATTTTAATACAGAAATAAATACTATTGAATGTTTCTTAAAATTTAATTTTGAACAGAAGAATTGTATTAACAACTTTTGAAAATATTTAATTTTTTTAAAAGAATTTAATTCAATTTTTAATTAAATTTATTATATTAAAAAATTTTATAACAATTTTTGAAAATAATTGAAAACTTTATGAAGAATTTTATTAATTTTTTTAAAAATAATTCAATTCCGGAGAAGAATTTAAATAATAATTTTTGAAAACAATTGAATTCATGAGAACAATTTTATTAAAATTTTTGAAAAAAATTGACTTCTTGAGAAGTATTTAAAAAAAATTTTTGACAATAATTTAATTCTTGAGAAGAATTTCCCTACCTATTTATGAAGATAATTTAATTCTTGACGAGAAAAGAAGAAGAAAAATTGAATTCTTGCGATGAATTTTGATATTTATCAAAATAATTGAATTTTGGAAAAGAATTTTATTAAAATTCCTTAGAATAATTAATTTTATGGGAAGAATTTATGCGATTTTGTTGTTTATCAAGATAATTGAATTCTTTTGCAAAATTACTTAACAATTTTTGAAAATAATTGATTTTCTGCGACGAATTAAATGTCATTTATGAAAATATTTGAATTATTGCAACGAATTTTATTGTTTTATTGAATAATTGAATGTTTCTTAAAATTGAATTCTTTCAAGTTTTAATAAAATTTTTCAATAATAATTGCATCTTTCAAGGAATTTATTTAAAATTTTATTAAAAATATTTGAAATTCTGCGATGAAAATAATTGAATTCGTAAATGAAATTTTTATTATTTATGAAAATAATTGAATCTTTTCGTAGAATTGTATCAAAAAAATTTTTCTGTAATTAAATCTGTTGATAAATTTTATGAAAATAGTAAATATTTAAAAACATTGAATTGCGAAAAACTTTTAAAAATAATTGAAATGTTGCAAAGAATTTTATTTAAATTTTTTAAAATAATTGAATTTTTGGCGAAAAATTTTGCTATTTATAAAAATAATTGAATTCTTGACGAGATATTCATTAAAATTTATAGAAATAATTGAATTCGTGCAAAGTATTTTATTAAATTTTGTTTAAATAATTGAAATTTTGCCAAGAATTTAATTAAAATTTTTGACAATAATTGAATTCTTGAGAAGAATTTTGATATTTATATCAAAATAATTGAATTTTGAAAAAGAATTTCATTAAAAATCCTTAAAATAATTGATTTTATGGGGAGAATTTGGTTGGTTATCAAGGTAATTGAATTTTTTTTCTTTATTATTCAAAACTTTTAATTTTTAAGGAAACTAACAAATTCATAATTTTTTTTGTATTTAAATGTTATTATACTTTTACATCAATTAACACTTCTAAAATTTCTTCTCTTCTTATTTTCTAAAATTTTAACTAAAATTCTTTTTCAAATCAATTTTTATCAGAATTTAACTACGAGAATTCAATTATAGTTTGACCTTAATATGCGGTTTAAAAATATTTAAAAAATTTTGACTTAATTTCTATGAAATAAAATGATGCATTTTTTTTCTAAATTCAAGATATCGTCTGGAGAAGATCATTACCAAGTCCATGACAGAGAACATGCGGATGCTGGTGGCTCATTTGAATGACGCACAATTTAAATATGTTATATCAAGTCAACTTGGTTTTAAAGATATTATTGAAACAATGTTAGAAACTCCGGCTATCGGCTCGTATCTCAAAGATACAGTCTGGAAGAATCGTTATGACGATTCGGGTTTTTTAAGTTAGCTGACGATTGTTTCGAAGTGAGTGATTTCTTAAAAAAGAAGGGTGGAGTTAGACTCTACTTAAATGAAAATGCTCTTTAAAAAGAGTAAGAGAATTTATTCTCTAATAATGAAATTTATTATGTACATAAAATGTGCTGTTATATCTATGATATGTATTTTTTGTATGGGATTTGTTTTTAAATAAATGTTCTGTATTTTTTTATTATAAATAATTTTTTATTTAAAATTTTCTTATAAAATACTTTTCCTAATACCAATTTCTTCCGTTTTTATTTTCAGGACAAAAATACTATTTTTTCAATGGATACTTTTATGATTGATTAACAATTTTATGTTTCTTGTTGTTTTTTCTTACGTGACAGTAAAAATTTTCTTAGAAATAATTAAGGACATATTGTAAGTAATTATGAACATGACATGCGTGTTCTTTATTTGATATCTAGTTTTCTGGTTTATAATTGGCATTCGAATATAAAATAACCTTCGAACTTGAAAATGAAAAATAATTATTAAATGAGAAAAAATATAAAAATATATATAATAGGTATTGAAAAGATGGTACAAATTGTGATAAGGAAAGATAAAAATTTTAAAATTGAAATTTTTTATGAAGAACTGAATGGAGAGAAAAATTAATGATTGCGAATATTTAATGTGCGGCTAAAAAGAGACAATCAGTAAATAACGAATAAATGTAGAAGAGGATACGAGTTATCTAATCCGTCGTTTTATTTGGCATTCGTCGGTATTGAATATCATTCTTACAGTAGTCATTCGATGGCGTAGACGTGTTGACTTTGCATTTTTAGTTCTAAGAATAAAAATTCAATAGACCTTGTATTTTTATTATTGTTTAATTTTTTTTATTTAAATATACCGGAAAAATGTAATCTATTCAAAACTACGAGATTAAGTGGAAAAATTGAAAGTGAGAAAAGTAAGTTAATATATTATAATATTCTTAATAATTAATCCTAATATTTTTTAATATAAGTTAATAATTTTTTTAATGACAGATTATAAACTTTGTTGCAATTTTATTGCACACAATGAAATATAATCAGAGGACTTTCTCATATCATTTTGATAATATAGTTGATTATCAACATTTTAGATGCTTTACTCATGCTTCCAAAAGTCACAAAAGATATATATTTATTTTGTCTGCAAAGGCAATTAAGATTTTTTATTAATCAGTAAAATTAATAAATTCACTGTTTATAAAGGTGAACAACATTTTATAATTTGTTCTATTTAAAAAAAACATAATTAATGATCTATAATCTTAGATAAATTATTGCAAATGTTATACATAATAATGAAGTTTAGTGTTATAATATAGAGATAAATTATAAAAAAGTGTTTGAAACGATACTTAAGTTTTTATTGCAGCAAGTAGTTATTAATCGTTTCTTCATAAATTAAAAGTCCAGTCGTCTATGCTCATAAAAAAACTTAATTTCATTCTACGGGTGATTAAATTTATAATTTCATGTTCGGTTACTTTTGATTTCATAATGTTTAGTATTAACAATATTAAAATTTGGTGTTGTCAATATTTTTCTTTGGTTAACTAGCATTTATTTATTTCATTTTTTTTATTTTTTTTTATTTTAAATTAAATTAAAAAAATCTTAAAAATAAAATTTTTAAATTAAAAATAAAACTTTTAAATTAAAAATAATAATTAATTAATTATAATAATGACCGAATTAATTTAAAAATCAGGCACAGGCTAAACATGTTTGGTACTGAAAGTCATTTTTGCCTTCGAAATATTGTTTTATAAAGAATTTTAGACGAGACATATTTTTTTCTATTTTGCTAAAAAAATGATTTGTTTAATATCATAAGGATTTTAAGATTGAAAGTCGGAAACTGCTTTGTTTCTAAAAAATTTAGGGGGGGGGAAATGTTTAAAGTGTTGTAACTTTTTAAGTATAATTAGGATATGTATAAGCTTTTGAAAATTAGTCTTCTTTTAATAAACCAAAATTTCAAAAATTTGGGCAGTTATAAAAAAATAAGTATTTAATATGTTTCTATAAAGAACGAGAAAAAAATATGTTTAACCGATTTTAAAATGTCATAGAAAAATTTCACGTGGAATTGCCCATTTTACAGTACATAGTACTAGTACCGCGCAAAAAGATGAAATTTTCTCGATTTTTTTTGACACCATAAATAATATTTATTCAAAATATTTTGTCAACGTCGAATAGTAGATGTTTCTAAGTACGTGTTGAAATTTTTTCATCAATAAATAATCAAAAAGTTATAGGCGAATTCCAGGAACGCCTTTTTTTCGACGTGTTTTGCGATGGACATCATTTATCTCGAAAACGGTTCATCTGAAATAAAAAATTCAAAAAAATTTCGTTAGTTTATTATATTGTCTAGTCGCTGAACGAAGGATTTTCAATTTTTTAGAGTAAAACCTCGAAAATGTTATACATTGAAAAATTACATTTCGTTTGTCGTAGGTATATGGAAATAATATCATAACCTGTTTGAAAATCTTTTAATTCGCTTCAACCCTCACAAAGAGATAAGGTGTTAAATTTATAAATTTATATGTGTCAACTAACATAACATATTCACAAAGCATAAGCCTAATCGGCCTATAATCCAAAAACTCTTTTGCCTGCTGAGACAGTTTATAAATTATGCCCCTTATAAATTCACGTATGTGTGTATAATTTAGCTCACCACTCGTCTAAAGTAAATCAATGGAAGCGTGCGTAGAGGCCAACATTATTCTTTCAGAGGTCCTTAACGTCAATTTAGTGAAGACTGTCAACATTCATTGCTTTGATTAAAAAGAGACATTACTACCAATTACTATGCAACATCAATCATTGTCAAATAAATAGCCACGTACGAGCAACAATTATAGGTGAGTTTTGTTGTTCTTTTATTTGTTATATCACTTTTATTATTTTTCTACAAAACTAAGATACATAATAAGTCCTGCACAGAATATTTTCTATTAAAGAACATGTAAAAATTAAATATAATTTACGAAAAATTCTATAATTGAACATTAGAATAATATATGACTTTTAACCTTAAATTTGAAATCATTATCAATTTTCCACTGTTTTTAATTTTCTAATATTTTTATTTACTACGATTTTAGGATTTAATTAATTATTTCTTCTACAATCAATGATGTTGTTTAAATGTAAGGTTTAAAATCCACTTTTTCATGGAAAGATGGAAATAGAGCAAATTCCTCAGAAGAGGTCAATTCGAGAACACTTGCAATTAATTCCTGAACGAATTTCTCAAATTGTGGAACACTTCTTTTATCAGTAAGCTAAAAACAAACAATTATTCATTTGATTATTTACATTTAAATTATTAATTCTTATTGCGATATAACTGAAACCTGCATGTATTTCAATTACTATGAAGAAAATAACATTTAAATATTATTTTTGTCTTGGCCATGTAGTAATTGAATTGACGCACAGCAATAATTAACTCGATAGTTTTGTGTCAGTGTCATTTATCCACAATAAATTAAATAACAAGTGTTTCTCTTACAGGCATAGAATTTTTTTTTAGTTTTCTACAGTAAAATATCCTGATGTTTTTTAAGAATATTAATTTCTATAAATTTTTACAAAAATTAAAAATTTTTTCAATCATAACAAAACTTAAAAGATTTGAAATGTTCACATTTCGAAATGACGACTATTCGTAAAAATGTCGTTTCGGACTAATAACATTTAGAACAATTTTTAAAAAACAAATATGCATTAAAATAAAATGAAAATTATAACAGTTATGTTATATAATTGGGTCAGAATTTCTAAAAATGATCACCTAGGGAAAAATTTTTTTTTGGGTGATCCGTTTGAGAAATTCTGACCCAATTATACTAACAATGCAATTTATTTTAATATTACTGAACCAGAAATTTTTACAGGCTAGGTCTTAAAATTACAAGACACCCTGAAAGATGGATAATAGCTTCATTAATAGCAGTTGCCTGTTGTACAATAGGATTTTACAGATTCAGACAAGAAAAAAATCCTTTAAAATTATGGGTTCCTCCAGATTCCGATTTTATTCGAGATACAGAATGGCTAATGTCACAATTTGGCGAAGCACAACGCCAGGAAACAATTATATTGACTGGCGATGATGTATTAACTCCAGACGCTCTCTATGAGGTAATAAATTAAAATTATATTATATTTATATTAATAAACTAAAGACTTCAACTGATGACTTTAAAAAATTGTGATCCACTTTTTGCACTTAGAAGAATTTTTAAATTTTAGCTGAATGAAATAACAACGCGCATAATCGGAGCGCAATCAAGTCATCCGCAGATAGCTTGGACTGACGTATGCTTCAAGTATTTGCTCACATTATTTTATTTTTTAATAATTTAATTCTAATGAAACTTGATTTTTGGTTCTTTATTAAATTGTGAATTTTCTTTTTAAACAGAGTTCCAGTCGTTACTAAAGTCCGTTCACGAGAAAGAAGAGACATTAACGAATTAGACAATGACTTTTTCGATGAAGAGCCTGGAGCGAGATTGAATAAATCAGCATTTGAACCAAGTGTCCATGCATCCTCTAAAACGTACTGCTCGATTTTTAACAGCCTTCAAAAAGGTTGCTTACTGTTCAGCATCCTTGATATTTGGGAATTTGATTCTAAGCTCATAAAATCTCAGTCGAAGGAAAATATTATTAAGAAATTAAATATGACTCAGGTTAGTCCAACATTAGGTCATCCAATGAATTACACGGAGCTTCTTGGTGGAATAACGAGAGACGAGACAGGAAGAATTATATCGGCAAGAGCCGTGAAAACGGAGTTCGTCACTCACGTGAATTTTTCAAAAGTCAATTTAGATAAAATTGGAAATGACGCAGGAACTACCGACTGGGTAAGGTGAGTTTATTTCAAACAATTTTTCGACTCTTTTATTCTAATCCAGTTTTAAGATTCGTCATTGTCTCTTTATTGGTAGGCAACTATCGAAGTTTTAGAATGGGAGTCGGCTTATCTGAACCAAGTGGAAAAGAGTAAAAACCGATTGGAACAAATTGGAGGAAATAATCTTCAACTCTGGTATGAGGCAGGCAGAAGTTTTGCAGATATTAGTTCCGCAACTATGTTTCAAGATGTTGATAAATTGTCTATAGGAATTATTTTAATGTTCCTGTATGTTCAACTAGTTCTCTCTAATTATAATTGGGTCGAATGGAGAGTAAGTTTCTTTTATTTATATATTACTTTTTACAGTATTTTTCAATAGTTTGAAGTGCAATTTTTAGTTGCATCATTTAAATACCCTGAAACGAATTAATACTTTTTTAATTTTGTAACGAAGGGTTATAATATAGCAATAGCATACATTGTACAGTACAGCGAAACAATATGAACTTCACATACTCAGAGAATACCAACGAAGACTAGAAAGTAATTATGAAGCTTAGTAATATTTGGAAATTCCTGTACACACTTTATGGTAAAGCACAATTATGAAGACTTCTTATCTAGTATTGAAAACGACAGAAAGTCAAGGTGATGTACAGTCAATCAAGGATATAACTGAGTATATGGACACACCCCCGATTACTACCAGCAAGATAGTACTGCAAATGGTACAATATTAGTTGTCCGTATGGATTGCCTAGAAACATATTTTCGCCACAGAAACACAAGTTTTAAGAACGGATAAAATATACAAGATTTCGACAACAGAACAACTCTCCGACGATTTATCAAAGTAATACTTTGGAGAAATACTTCGACTCGTTCAGCTAAAAGACATAACTTCAGACACATAGTTTAGTATTGAAGCAAGAATATTTTTCAGCAAAAGGGAGCGTTCACAAATGATGTCACGTTTTTAGGGGTAGGGGGGAGGGGTTCTCTACTAAACGTAACACAATGTATTTTTACATGTGAAATTGCGTGACAGGGGGGAGGGGGGGGGTCTAAAATCCCGAAAAATTGCGTGACATCATTTATGAACGCTCCCGAAAGGCAAGTCAAGACAGTTCCTAGAAATACATAAAGCTTTCAGTGATGGATCGAACAATCAAGAATGAGAATACTAGTTGAAGCAGTACTTGAAGAAAATGAACTCAGGAGTTAGTGAAGATTAGATGAAATCATCGCTTAAGCTTATGATACAGATTAACCAATGAAATAATATTCTAAAAATTTAAAGCTACATTGTTAATTTTTTTTATTTTCTTTCTTTCGACGCTCTTGCTACTGCAAGAGAATGTGAAGAATGTGAAACCATACTCTTACACCTGAGGCTAAGCCACGGAGATGAATTCTTACCATAGAGTGCTACCTCGATAAGAAATCGCCGTTGAGTTTTTTATTTTACAATCTTTTACGTCGCTCCTCAAAGTGCAAGTCTTGGTCGCGTCAGTCACGATAGATCATGGGATGAATTCTAGACTATTTCAGTATTTCCGTAAAATAAAAAAACCTGCAATGCACTATATTCAGGCGGAAATGAATAAACACGTAAACTGCATAGAGTCACAATAGGTCAGAATTAACGAACAACGGATCATCGAATGTTAAAATAATTTCTCAATTGGTTGATCCAATTTAACTTGATAGATGGTTCTTTCTTGATAGAATTAAGTTTCTCGAAATTTAATTAATATTTAAGGGAAACATCCGGCGAGCGAATTCCCAGCACAAAAAAAGCCTATCATTACAATTTGTCTGAACAAATTTTGTTATTGTTTCAGTTTTTTCTCTCTTCGATAGCTCTCTTGTGCATTGGCGCTGCTTTCTTAGCCGCGGTTGGTGTTTGCTCTCTGTTTGGCGTTCCTTACGGACCAGTGCATAATTCCCTGCCATTTATGTTAATGGGTCTCGGAGTGGATGACGCTTTCGTTATGGCCGCATCCTGGGAACAAGTGATCTCTGAAAAAATAAATCGCAACAAACCATTACAAGAAAGAGTTGCTCTAATGTTGAGTCACGCCGGATCGGCCATTTCTATCACATCTCTCACCGACGTCGTAGCCTTCATCATCGGCACATCGACTGCAAGTTTACTAATTACAAAAACTATAAATTACTTCCTGTATTGGAATATAAATTAATTGATGAATATTTGTCGAAATTACAGATTCTGCCTTGCTTGCAGTCGTTTTGCATATACGCGGCAGTCGGAGTGCTTGTTACGTTTCTTCTGCAGGTGACGATATTCGTCGCTTGTTTCATGATGGATGTAAAGCGGATAGAGGGAAAAAGAAACGGTGCGATTCCGTGTATTGTGCATTCAAATTATCAGTCCAAAGAATTTGGCTCGAAGCATTCGATATCATGGAATTTTATAGACAGGGTATATTCCAAAGTTATTTTAACTCGACCAGGGAAAGTAATTGTCCTTGTCATTACGATCGTTCTGGCAAGTTTTGGAGGTTTGGGAACCTATCAATTGGAACAGTGGTTCGATCCTATGTGGTTTTTGCCAGAGGGAAGTCATCTCAGCGACTTCATTCAAGTTCATAGCAAAGAATTTCCCCAACGGGGCCAACCTGCCTATTTCTTCTTATCGGAAGTTGATATTCCTAACAACTTTCCCAAGATACTTCATCTTGTGGAAGATTTAAGAAATCTCACTTACATCGCTAATGTCAAGTCTTGGCCTCACGATTTCGCCGAGTTTGTTGATATTTACTACGGGAAAGGTACCACTAACTTAAATTTATTCATAATTATCTAATTTCAACGATTGGAATATTGGATCTTTAATATCAACGAATCATGATTAAATTTCAGATATAAAGAAGACAGTCGTCGAATCGAAAGATTTTTATTTCTACTTATCCAAGTTTCTCTTCAGTCAAAAAGGAGGAAAATACCAAAGTAACTTTAGATTTGAGGGCAATTTAACTTGCGGCGAGAGTGCACCAGAAATTTTTATTGCAAGTGTAGATTTTACGTTCTTTAAATTCTCCTCGCCTAAAGAATGGATTCCGGCAATGGACGAAAGTAAAAGAATTGTGGCGAGTGCAAAAATTGATGGATTCACGTTCGTTTGGAGTAAAATGTTCGCCTCCTGGGTTACTGATAAAGTCATCGCTCAGGAAGTGACGAGAAATATTCTCTTGGCTTTGGTCTGCGTTATGGGAATGACAACATTATTGATTGCCGAGCCTCAAACTTGTTTTTGGATTTTACTTTGCGTTTTGCTCACGCTTCTAGATGTCTGTGGATTTATGTTCTACTGGGGACTGACAATTGACATCGTTTCTTGCATAGGTATAAAAAATTAATTATTATCTTATGTCTATAATATTGGATATTTCTTTGTATATTGTTTAGAATTTTAAATTTCGCGAATATTTTTTTTTAGCATCAAGCAATACAAATATAAAAAACGTCATGAAGAGGTAGAGTTGCAATTTTTAGAATTTTAGAAATAATCAATTATTTATTTTTATATTTAAATAATTGAATTTTCTCGTAGTAGTTTCTGAAGATAATTGATTTAGAGATGAATTTTAGTTCAAATTTAAAAAAAAACAATTGCATTTCAAAAGATTTTATTCGAAAATCTGGGTGAAAATCTTAATATATTAAAATATTTAATTAAAAAACTTATCATTTTTCTTCCTCATAAAGGAAGCTTTGTATTAGCAAAATTTTGGATTGTCATTTTTTGACATATTTATAAATTTTTTTTTATTATGCCTAATACTTTAGTACTTTATATATGCACAGGAACTCCCCGTATAAATGTTCTAAATAAATAAAAAAAATTTTCGACGTATTTTGAACTCCGAAGTCCAAAAAACGGATTTTAAAATTTTGTCCCGATGTGTGTGTGTGTGTACTAATATTACATTTGCCTCAATATCTCAGAACAAGAAAGAGCTAAAGGCCTCAATTTTTTTTTAAATTGTAGGTCTCCCCGGGGGACATAAAATGAGAGTATTTTCAGCCCGATTCATGAAGTTAAACTATTTTTTTTTTGCATTTTTCATTTTGTAAAAAAACGTTTTTTGGACATAACTTAAAAAAATGTTAGGACACTTATAAATGTTTTTCTTTAGTTTTGTAGAGTTTTTTCACACCCATCTTTTGAGCCCTAATTGAATATTTTTCGTTCATATTAACCGGAAATATTAAACTTTAAAAAATCAAAAATTTTAGAAAATAAGACTTTTTTGAGAATTTTGTTGAAAAATGTAGAAGTTTAGTTTTGTTTTGTATTTAGTTTTGTAGAGTTTTTTCAGACGCATCTTTTGAGCCCCAATTGAACATTTTTCGTCCATATTAACCAAAGATATTAAACTTTTAAAAATCTAAAATTTTTAAAAATAAGTCTTTTATAAAAATTTTTTTAAATTATGTAAAAGTAACTTCAAAAAATTATTACCAACTTGAAGAGCATTAAAAAACGCTTCGATTGACCTATTTTTGAACCTGATTCAGGCAGAAATTATGAAATTATTGGTATTTGAAAAATCAAGAATTGTGGAAAATATCATTTTTTCAACATTCTTGTTTATTAACTTATGTGTAATTATTGAACTATTATTACCATCTTAGGGGCTGTCCATAAATTACGTAACACGTTTAGGGGGGAGGGGGGGTTCGAGAAAATGTTATCATATGTTACATGGGAGGGGGGTCAATCATCATTGTTACGTAATATTTATAAGGAACTTAATCTCTTTATAATGGATATATTTTTGAAAAGCTGTCCCTTGCCGCCACTTCAATATAAGTAAAAATCTAATCATTTCGCGAACCGATTCTTGGGAATAATATACAATTTTTATTGTTAAAAAATCAATGTTATATTTTTGGTTGTTCAGTATGATTAATAAAATTATTCCTCTAAATGTTTTTTATATTTAACTTAATTTTGTATTGCTATTGTACGATATAAATACTAAAAATAACAGTAATAAACAAATTTGTTTCGAAAAACGTTAGTAAAAAAATATTTTTAAAAATTACGTAACATTGATAAGGAGGGGGGGGTGTAAAACGATTTTGTTACAACTTGTTACATAGGGGGAGGGGGGGTTTAAAATTTCACTAAAAACGTGTTACGTAATTTATGGACGGTCCCTTATAGAATATATAAAAACACATTTTTTGGACCAAGATTTAATGATTTTTAACCCTTTTATAAAAAGTAATTCTTATATTTCAATTATTATTATTTTTATGAGGAAGCAAAGTGTTCATGAAATGAACACCAAAATTATAAAAATGTACAACTTGGCAGCGGTTTTATTATTTTTTATTTAAAAAATTGTTAAAGTTTTGAATAATTTTGTTTCAAAATTTTTTTAAATAATTAAATTTTGGAAGAATTGCAGTTAATATTTTTTACTATTTCTTAAACCTATGTTATTAATTAACGAGTGCGAAGCCTGTAATCACAGATCTGAAATGGAAAATTCAATTATATTGTGAATAGACAAAAAATTAATAATTAACAATATCTTTCTAAAAGCAAGCCTTGGATCGACTTTAAGACCCAAAAAAGTCGCTTTAGTCGATTAAAAATACAAAGTATAATATTTTCACAAAAATTAGGGGAGACCGGGGCGTAATGGCTAAGGGGCGTAATGAATAATTGTAATTTGTTTAAAAACCGTAAATTGTAATAATTTCGCACAATAGACAAGTTATTGTACTTGGTATACTGCAAGTTTGTCGGAAGTTTCATTAATATTTATTCATTATTGTAAGAAATATAGTAGAAAAACTATTTTTGACATACGAAAGTAACTTTTCAAAATTTTCGTTTTTTCGTTCTATTTTTTTCAAAAATAGCTTTTAAAAAAAAACTGAAATGAGGTTTCGATCTTGACACGTTTGTTTTTAAGGGACAATTCGAGATTTTTGATTCACACTTCCGGTATTGTTAAAAAAAGCCAAATATTTGCCGAGTACCCCCGGGGCGTAATGGCTAGTTTTTCCCGGGGCGTGTTGGCTAATGCAATACGCTATGTATAAAAAGCAACCTACCATATCGGCGAAGTGTAGGTTTGTTTTCGCGGTTACTTGTCACTTAGTTTAAATATGTTTAGGTGTTTTTAACAAAATTTTAAAGCTTTGGTCTAAAATTTACAAATAGTAGATTTCAAGCTACGATTTTAATGAGAAATTACAAAAAAAATTGAGAGAGTGCCAATATCACAGAATATTATTGAAAAAGCGATAGTTGAAGTATTGCTGAATAAAAATAGCATTCACGGAATACCCAGGAACCTTAATTTACAATATGCAATAAGATTGGAAACTGTAGATAATAATTAGCAATCATTATTCATTACGCCCCGGGAGTTATCCATTACGCCCCGACTCGGGCCGTATTTTGGAGCTCTGCATTGCTCCAGAAAAACTGTTGTAGAATAAAAAGTAAGAGTCATATCGGGACGTTTGTAGTCTTAAAAGAAAGCTGAGATACCAGAGTAAATTTTCTGGAAGATAAACATTCAATTAGAACAAAAATGTCCGAGTAAAACAACAAAGAGTGAAAAGTTAGCCATTACGCCCCGGTCTCCCCTATAATAAAGATATTCTTAAAACTAATTTATTACACATATTTTGAAATAAGTTTTGAAAGATAATAGTTTTTCAATTATACACAATTGAATCCTAACAATTGAAATTTGGTAAAATCTTTTAAAAATAATTGAATTTTTGAAAAATATATAATAAATAATCACATTTTTGAAGAATTTTAATCATAAATATGAACATGACTTCTCCGAAATTTTAATATAAGTCTAAAAAAGTAAATTTTTAAGAATTTGAATTTACTTTGTTCGAAGATAATTGAACCTTAAATTTCGTAAGAATTCAATTATTTTCATAAATATGTAGTAAAATTTTTTGCAAAAATTCAATTATTTTTAAACAAAATTTAAATAAAATTTCACGAACGAAAAATACAATTATTTTCTAAATTTTTAATAAATCCTTCGAAACAATATAATTATTTTTTAAATATTAAAATCTTTGCAAAAATTCAATTATTTTCAACAAAACTTCACGAAAGAATTCAATTATTTTCAAAATTTTAATAAATCCTTCGAATAAATCAATTATATTTTTAAATGGTAAAATTCTTATCAAAATTTTAATTATATTCAAAAGAATTCCACAAAACAATTCATTTTTAAAAAAATTTTTAATAATATTTTTCAAAAAAAATTCAATTATTTTTAAAAATATTTTAGTGAATTCTTCGAATAATTCAATTATATTTATAAATAGTAAAATTCTTATAAAAAATTCAAATAGATTCAAAACAATTTCACGAAAAAAATCAATTTTAAAAAAAATTTTAATAATATTTTTGGAAAAATTCAATTATTTTATAAAATTTTAATAAACTTTTCGAAAAAATTCAATTATATTTTTAAATATAGTAAAATTCCTTTAAAAAATTCAATTATTTTTAACACAATTTTAATAACATTTCATGAAAGAATTCAATTTTTTTTTATTTTTTAATAATATTTTTCGAAAAAAATCAATTATATTCTAAGGAATTTCACAAAAGAATTCAATTTAAAAAAATTTTTAATAATATTTTTGAAAAAAATCAATTATATTTTTAATTTTAATACTTGAAGATTTTTCATTAAAATTTTTGAAAATTTAATTAATTTCAATATTTGTAATTAAAATTAAAATATGCTGAGAATCTTTTAGAAAATTAAAAAATGTTTAAAGTTATTTTTTTGAAGATTAATTTTAACTAGTCTAGATTGCTTTATTTGTAACACTAAAGGTAAAATTGTTATTATTATTGTACGGAGTTTTGAAGCTATAAGTTATAATCAATATTCAAACAAATGCAGGGTGTCTACTGGTCCTTGAAGTCCTGGAATTTGAAAAAATGTCTTGGATTTTCAACCTGAAATATATTATACATTTATATTCAACTTTAAAATATTCAATATTTAAAAAATTTTACTCAAACTTAAAAAAATAATTTTTGTGATCTATCAAAAAATAATTTAAATTTGAAGTTTGATTAAAGAAATAAGTATCTACAATATAGATTTTTAACTCTTCATATGATAATTATATGCTAATCGTAATATAAAATAATATTATCCATTTGAATGTCCTGAAATGTTCTGAAAATGTCCTGAAATTTTAAATCATATTTTCAGTAGACACCCTGAAAAGTCAAAGAACTACAGAAGGATTTTCAAAATATTTTCTATGTAGTGATAATAATAAATTCGGTTCTGTAATGTTTTCAGGTTTAGAGTTGGCAGTCGGATTAAGTGTCGATTATGCTGCTCACGTGGCTCACGCTTTTCTGATCGCCAAGTCGCACGATGGAAAATTAAACAGAAGATCTCGAATTTTGACTGCAGTTCGTCATATTGGAGCTGCCGTCACATATGGAGCAGGTTCAACTCTACTGGCACTTTCGTTACTCGTATTTTCGCGAGCCTACGTATTTCAATCATTTTTCAAAATATTTCTTCTTGTAATAATTTTTGGTCTGTGGCACGGTTTATTGCTCCTGCCAGTAGTTTTAAGTACAATTGGACCTCGAAGTCTTCATAGGGAAATAGAAATTCAAGAGAGAGAACTACAGACAATTAAAGGACCCGCCGAGGAGGAAAGCGTTCCTTTAAATAAATCGTAAAATCTTTACACTGTGTATAATTATTTTTCATAGTCATTTAATTACTAGAAAATCGAATTCGATTCTAAAGAGAGTTTACAAAAACAGTTTACAAAACAAAACAGGTATTTACAAAAAAAATATTTCAAAACCTATATTATTAACTTCTTTCACATTTAATTATATAATGAGAGTTAACATAAAAATAAACATAAGTTTTATACAAAAAAAATGTGTAGAAATAAAATTCTAATTTTAAATTCATTTACTAATTTTTATTTACACGCTTTCTAAGCTCAAAATATGGATTATTTGAAAATCTTCAAATTGCCACTCGAGAAGCATTCTCAACCACACAAATCACTTTCAGTCGCGTAATCTTCTTTTAAAATAAATATTTTAAAATAAACTTCCACATTGCATAACAATATTGACAATACAAATAAATAAATATTTCGATATCAGCTTTTACATTCTTTTCTTTACAATTTCCGCTATGCAATTTATAAAAGTCAATTATTTTGAATAGCTAATTGAATTTTTTCTCTAAAAAAAAACAAAACGATTAACAAAGAACAATTATGTAAAAATCTTTTTGTTTCTTATGTCCTAGGAATTGTGCTCTAACTCGTTAGGGAATTGCGAACGAGTTAATTATTGTCTCTTTTCTAACTAATTAAAAACAGTTCGCTAAAATAAATAGTTTACGATTTTTTTTTGATAATCGAAATTAATGTTCACTTATAAATTAGACGGATTTCTTTCTCCTTCTCGTTTTACTTTGAACAACTGACATCGAATGCAAAAAAAAAATTGCAAGAATTTAGGAGACACTTTTTCGAATTTTGGAGAATTGTTATCTCCTTGTTCGTACAACTTTCCAAACTGAAAGTGGTCTCGATTGAAGGAATTCAATTTTTCTTCTACCCCATTTGAACCATAAACAGCCTATGATGAAGCACAACATTATTTCTATGTAATAACCATCTAACTGTATAGTACACGAGCCATTGTTTTTCACGCAGAACTGAAAAGAGAAAGTTGGTTGAGTAATTAGAGAAATTCGAAAAAAAGGCATTATTGTCATATTTAATGGTTTTACTTTATGAGGATATAAAATGTAGGTTTTAGTATTTTTGTTTTATTACCTCCTTTTCTTCACTTGTACTGCAGTCATTGGAAGGATCAGTGGTACATTTTCTAAATGTTAAAGCATCGACGAACCAGAGCGCAGCTGTTGTTGGCCAATTTCCTCCGAGATTCGCTATTGTATTTAAAAATGTCATGTATGTTCCGCCAACTGCTGGATCACTGATTTTTGCAAAGAATGCCATTGAGGCGACAAACATGCTACTAATGCAGATCTAAAAAAAATATACTCAATTAATTGTGGATTTTGTTAGAATTTTTTAATTAATCCAAAGATTTTTGGGACTGCTGATTACGAATCTGATTTACAAAATGGCCCTTATTTTTAAGGGGTTACCTGGAAAAGTCAGGGAATTTTGATCGAAATCCTGGAAAATTGTTATTTTCTAAAGTTTATTATTGAAATCTAATTTTACATAAATATTTCAAAATTAATTAAATTTTAAAAAAGTTGCGTTTACAATTTTCATAAGTACATAATATGAATTTCAAAAGATTTTAATTTGAAATTTTGTAAAATTTCAATTTTTAATGAATTTAACTAGAAATCGTCTTAAAGAACGTAAATTTTTGAGAAATTTTAATTATTCCAATTCTTCTGGAATTAGTTGAATTTTTTAATATTTATTTTCGTTTGATTATTAAAAATAATAGGATTTATAGACTAATTTTAATTAGAAACACTGAAAGAAATTGAATTTTTAAGCAGTTACAAATAATTCTAGAAATTCAATTATTTTCCAAATTAGTAAAATTCTTCTTAGAAATTCAATTATTTCCAACAATTTTAATAAAATTCATGGCAAAATTCCAATTATTTTCAAAAACTTTCCTCAATTCAATGATTTTTAATAAATCTACTACTTCAATAAAATTTTTCAAAACAATTCAATTATTTAAAAAAAAAATTTTTAATTCTACGCAAGCATTTCATTATTTTCATAAATAATAAAACTCATCTTATAGACTTTCAATTATTTTTAATACAATTTTAATGGAATTCCTCGAAAAATGAAATTATTCTTAAAAGTTTTATTAAAATTCATCAAAGAAATTCCATTATTTAAAAACTTTTAATGAAGTTCGTCTCAAGAATTCAATTATTTTCAAAAGTAATATAATTCTTCGCTGAAATTTAATTGTGTTCAACAATTTACAAAAATTCGCGACAAAATTTCAATAATCTTTATAAATTTTTCTCCGAAATTCAAATATTTTCAAAAACTTTAATAAAATTCTTGGCAAAATTTTTCAATTATTTTCAAAAACTCATGAAAAAAAGTTTCAAAAACTCTTTTCTCTTTGGAGAAATTCAATTATTTTTAATAAAATTTTAATCAAATTTCCGAAAAATAAACTTATTCTTAAAATATTTCTTAAAATTTGTCAAGAGAATTCAATTATTTAAAAATTTGTTGATAAAAGTCTTTATAAAAATGAAATTTTAAGAAACATTCAATTATTTAATAAAATATTTATTTGCATTTTATTTGTATTTAAATAATTGAATTCTCGTGGATTTTTCCAGCAAATATTGATTTAAAAATGAATTTCAGTTAAAATTTTAAATATCAATAATTAATAGAAAAAGTTTAACAAAAAAAAAGAATAAATTTTTATAAGTTTTTATAATTTATTTTAATATTATAATTTTATTTTTTTTTAAATAATTTTATAAGTTTTTACAAAGAATTCTATTAAAATTTTTGAGAATAATTGAAAGTTTGTATGGCGTTTTATTAAATTCCTTATTAAATAAATTAAATTAAATTTTTATTGAATTCCTAAAAAGTATTTCATTATTCATAAAAATAATTGATTTTTTCGAGGAATTGAAAATAAATTTTAAGAATAATTACATTTTTTGAGCAATTCCTGTAAAATTGTATTAAAAATAATTAAAATCCTGTGATGAATTTTATTATTTATGAAAATAGTTGAATAGTTGCTAAGAATTTTATTAAAATTTTCAAAAATAATTAAATTTCTGAGAAGAATTTTATTATTATTTATGAAAATAATTGAATTATTGTGGAAACTTTCATTAAAAAGTTTAAATAGAATTTAATTTTTGTGAAAAAAAATTTTTTTTTAAATAATTGAACTATGTTATAAACATTGTTTTAAATAATTAATTTTTTCGAAATCTATATTAATAAAATCAGACTTCTGTCTGTACATTACTCCAAACTTGAAAATTTTTATATATTTTTTCGTTTTGAGACATTAGAATTCGAAAAATGTAAAAAAAATTTCTGTCTGTCTGTCTGTATGCAAAACTTTGTTCGCGCATCAATTAAAATTCGGTTTTTTGAATTTTTGATAATTTTTAATAATTTTTGATTTTGTACCAAAGGTAAAGTATTAGTAAAAATTAGTAATTATAGTATTATAGTATTATAGTATTAGTATTATAGTATTATAGTATTAGTAAAGTAAAGTATTTTTTGAAGAGCACAAAAATAATTAAGCTAAATGCCATAAAAAAGAAGGAAAAATGTTGAATTTTAAGAAATTCGGTTTTTTGAATTTTTTCGAATTTTTGATAAATTTAGATTTTTTACCAAAGAGTCGAGACAATTTAATAAGTAAAGTATTTTCCAAAAGCACAAAAATAATGAAGCTAAATGCCATAAAAGAGAAGAAAAAATGTTTAATTTTAAGAAATTCGGTTTTTTGAATTTTCGATAATTTTTGATAATTTTAGATTTTTTACCAAAGGGTGGAGACTATTGAATAAGTAAAGTGTTTTTGAAAAGCACAAAAATAATGAAGCTAAATGCCATAAAAAAGAAGGAAAAATGTTGAATTATAAGAAATTCGGTTTTTCGAATTTTTGATAATTTTCCATAATTTTAGATTTTTTACCAAAGGGTGGAGACTATTGAATATGTAAAGTATTTTTGAAGAGCACAAAAATAATGAAGCTAAATGCCATAAAAAAGAAGGAAAAATGTTGAATTTTAAGAAATTCAGTTTTTTGAATTTTTGATAATTTTTAATAATTTTTGATTTTTTACCAAAGGTTGGAGATTATTAAATAAGTAAAGTATTTTTGAAGAGCACAAAAATAATTAAGCTAAATGCCATAAAAGAAGAGAAAAAATGTTGAATTTTAAGAAATTCGGTTTTTCGAATTTTTCATAATAGCTAATGGTAACTAATTATTATTTTTTTCCGGTCAAATTAAATTCCCGGCTATTTTCTGATTGTGCAGATTGGTAGAAACACTGTTATTGGTAGAAACTAGTATTTTATTGGTACGACAGCTAGTTTAAAATGGTATTAAAAATAATTGAAATTCTTACTTAGAATTTTATCAAAAAATGTTTTTAAAAAATTGAATTTCCATGAAAAATATTATTAGTGAAAGTAATTGAATTATTGTGAAAAATTTTATAAAAATTTTGTTTAAATAATTGATTTTTTAGAAATTTTTTTAAAAATGTTATTCTAAATTAATTGAATTCCTGTGGAAATTTTATTATTTATAATAATATTTTATATTTTTTTAATATTTTTTTTTTTTTTAATATTTTTTTATGAAAATAATTGAATTTTGCATGAATTTTATCAATTTTTTTAAAATAATAATTGAATTCTTTTGCAAAATTTTATGAAAATAGTAGATATTGAAAATAATTGAATTTTGAATATTTTTTGAAAATAATTGAATCGTTTTAAAGAATTTTCCTGCAATTTAAAGTAAAAATATTTAATATTCCGTCTGATTCTTTTCAAGTTACGATCAATGCTTCAATTGTGATAAAAATTCGTTTAAAAAAAGTATTACATTTAACCGACATTTTTAAATACTTTTCTTACTCCAATACAATTGCTATTTAATTCAGAGGAATTTGTGTTATTTGAATTGAAAAATGAATTGATTCGTTAAACCAGAATTTTAGGAAGAGGACAAGAAAGATAATATTGAAAATATTTACCTGATGCAAGAAATACACCATAATGAGACCAATGAAATAATAAGCAGGCACTTCTCCACTTCCTATAAGATGAGGAGTCACCCAAACTAAAGCGCCCGCGACTAAACCAAACGCTAATCTGTTAAAAATAAAACAAAATATTCCAATTAAAATAATCGAATAATTATTTTTGAATTTTGTAAATTCATATCAATTTTGTAGTTTCATATCTTGCAGATTGAAAATAATAAGCAAAAAAGTAAAAAAATACCTATATGGAATGGCCATTGAGTAGATATTCATAGGTTTTGGTCCCGCGGTATATTTTGATATAATTACAGGCAAAATTATTTGTAAAGGTATCATTGGTACGACAATCATGGCAAATTTTTCTTTAGGAATTCCAGCCTCCACGAGTTTTAAACTTGTTACTGCATCGCAAGCCGAGAATCCAATCTGAAATCCACGTATTATTTATTTATTTATTTATATCTTAATAAAATAAATTACAGTTGGGTCATTACATTAAATTTCATCTAAAAGTATTTGCAGACTTGAGTTTTTAGAATCTAATTTTTAAATATGTAAAAATACGATTATTTTTAAAAAGCTTTTCATAATTTGATAATTTTTAAATGCAGAACAAAGTGATTTTTACTTTTCTAAAATTAAACAGAATAAAGTAATGTAAAATGTACTGTGAAATAAATGTTTAAATTTTGTTTTAATGTTGTAAAGAAAAGTTATAAACCTCATACTTTTAATTATTAACTTCATGCAAGAAAAAAATTTCCATTGTAGTACAGTAATTTATTAATTAAAAAAGTCGCAATTACTTTCTCAAACGAAATTCAATGAATTGACACACATTTATTTTGGTTTTAGATGAAAAATGTTAATCTACCTTTGCAGTCAAGAGAAATAAGATCGTATTCTTCATGCTAGGCAATTTTACGATAGTCCAGAGCAGTTTGTACGCTTGTTTTATGTCCATGTCCACTTGTACATCTTTTGTTCCTTTACTTGAATTCTCGTGTTTCAACAAAGCAACTAAACTGGTTGTCACAATAAATACCCATCCCCAAAAGTATAAAAATCCTAAAAAGAGTTTCAATTAGAATATTAAAATTAAAATAATATTAATTTTGTTAAGAATTTAAAAATTAATTTATCATAATTGTCTCCATAATGTCTGCTTCGTTATTTATAAAATTTGAACCTTATTTTTCTAAAAAGAATTTTATTATTTACGAAAATAATTGAATCCGTGTAAAAAATTTTATTATTTATGAAAATAATGGAATTATTGCAAAAAATGTTATTGAAATGTTTAAAAAGAATTTAATTTCTGTGAAATTTTTATTATTTATAAAAATAATTAAATGTTTGCGTAAAATTTTATAAAAATTTTTTTCAAATAATTGATTTCTTTTGGAAAATTTGATTAAAATAGTAGATATTGAAAAGAATTGAATTTCCAATATTTTTTGAAAAGAATTGAAATTTTGCCAAGAATTTTATTAAATTCTTTGAAAATAATTGAATTTTGGAGAAGAATTTTATTATTTATAAAGATAAATAGAAATTTTGACGAAAATTTGTTAAAATTTTTGTACATAATTTGACTTTATGTGAAGAATTTTATTACTTTTAAAAATAATTGAATTTCTGCAATTATAAGTGTAATTTCTCCAAAATTAAATTTTTTTTTGTATTTTTAACTAAAATTCTTCTATAAATTCATTATTTTTAATAATTAATTAAATATAAGTTAAAAAATTTAACTAGTTTCAGAAGAATTTGAATTATTAAAATTTCTCTAAAATATATATGTTTTTTAATAATTTCTAATTAAATTCATTAAAAATTGAAATTATATAAAATTTCAAATTGAAACCTTTTGAAGTTTATTTATTTATAAAAAATTGTAAACGCAACTGTTTTGAAATTCAATTAATTTAAAAATATTTAAGTAGCTAAAATTATTCATTAAATAATTTCCAAGTAATAATTTTATGATAGTTCTTAAGTTATTTAAAAATAAATTATTGTCAGAAATATAGAAATCTGTGGCAACCCTGAGAATTCTATCAAATTACAAATTGTACAAATGAAAATTCTAAAAAATAAAAATACGTTGAAATAGAAACTATCATTTAAAAATTCGACTCAATCGAAATTTTCTCAAATAAAAAAATTTCTTTTACTAGATAATTCTGTTTTATGAAAATTATCTTAAATATAAAATTTTATTAAACAAAATTCATGCGCACTCAAAATTTTTCCAATTTTAGTAACAAATTTTGCGAACAGCGTTGTTTGGTATCACAACTTAAGTCCAATGTTTGAGAATTGAAAAGAAATCGAATTTTTAAATCGAAATTTAATTTTGAAAAGAGAAATTTGTAGAAACTTTGGTAGTAAACAAAAATTTTAATTTTTGAAGGTACATTTCATCGCTTTTACGAAAGTTTTATCAATTACCTGGTAGTGTGAGAATTCCTTCGTCTGAAGGTTCAGATCTCAGATAATCATTGCAGAATGTGGCAGATTCCAACGCCATAAAAATAACATAACCCAGAAAATACCCTGCAGTTTGACCAACGCTATTGCAAGTCGACGCGTATCCAACATTGCATCTAAAAATTAGTAAAAAGAAACATTTAAATTTCATCGAAATCTAACAAAAAATTTTCATCAAAAAATTATTTTTTTGTATTTAAATTGAGACTTTTTCTTTTTTTTAAAAAATACTTTTTTTTTGACTTTACTGATACGTGGACATCCTTAAGAATTTAATTAATTAATTAAGAAATAAATTATATAATAGACAAATAATTGTTATTAACCGTTTTAGCATTGTAAGAGCCCATCCGTCGACAACAATATCTTGAGTGGCAGCCAAAACATTCAATGAAAAAAATATGCACGTGAGTAATCCAATATTGAGATTCTCTTCGTCGGTTCCCAGCCACTTATCTACATGTCCAGAGAGAAATAACATGAATAGTCCCATTAGATATTGGATTGGAACGAGCCATGTTTTTCTTCGTCCAAATTGTCGTAAATACACTGAATCTACAATCGGTGCCCACAGAAGTTTCAGTGAAAATGGCCAATTCACTAAACTAAATTCCGCCTGTAATCAGTAATTATAGTTTTATTATTTCTTTACCTGAAAAAAGTATCCTTATAAATAGGAAAAAAAGTTTTTAAAAAGTACTTAGTAAAATTTTATAAAATATTTTCCCATAATAATGTTGGGTTTAGAAATGTAAAGAAAAACTTATTTTTTAATATAAATAAAAGAGGTGTTCTATTTTTAAACGATCCCCCTTGTAAACAATTACCAATGTAAAGCAATTTTAAAATAGAGCAATTCCACGTGAACTGATCTATTATAGAAAAAATGAGATATTGAGGGACATTGTTATATTGAAATTGATATAATTTTTACAAAAAATTAAAGAATTTTCATTTTTAGCAGCAAATTTTAAGTCACTTTTTGTGTACTTTTCAATGCCAAAAATACTTTTTCAAAAAAAGAAAAAATTTCTTAAAACCCCTCTTTTTTCAGAAATAAATCTTATTTTTCAATTTTTGCAAAAACTTAATCATTTTTATTAGAAAACTGAGATTTTTATAAATAAAATATGCAAAAATAAGTGGGGCAACAATTAAAAAAAATGAAAAAAATCAATTTAAAAAATTTTTTTTTTATTTTCTTATAAAAACCCTTTTTGGAAAAAAATCTTAGCTTTCCAATCAAAAATTATGAAAAATTGAAAAAGAGGTAGTTTTTTGTAAATATTGAAAAATGAGGCTTATTTTTGAAGAACGAGAGGTTAACATATATATTTTTTGAATAAAGACTTTTAGAATTACAGGCTTCATATTCAATAATTAATTTTAAAAAAGAAGCATTAAATAAAGACTGAAAAAAGTAGTAAAAAAGTAGCTATCGAAAAATTAATCTTGACGACTCAATTTTTTTCATAATTTCTAAATTAAATTATTACAATCGAAAATAGAAAAAAAATTTCAAATAATTAATTTAAATAGCTATTTAACTTTCCACAGGAATTAAAACATTTTAAATGATTTGAATGTAAAGCCTTTTTAAAATATAACTATTTCTTACAATTACAACTGCAAATCTGCAATTCTTCCAAAATTCAATTAATTTTTTGGAAACTTAAAATTATTCAAAACTTTAATCATTTTATTTCAAAATAAAAATTTTAATGTTATAACAGTTTTACAACAATTTAAACTTTCAAAGAATTTTAATAAAATATTTAACAATAGATATTTTTGATCTTCTTAAAAAAATTCATTATATTATTTATTTATTATTATATTAAAAATTTGATACTTTGAGACAATATTTTTGCATGTTTTGAGATAACAAAGTATGCATGATAATTTTTTCAAAAAAAAATTATTTTCTACATAAAAAAAAATTTTAAATTACAAGGACAGATAAAAATGACTCATTGATAGACAATGGAAAATATTTTAAAAACTTATAATTACTTCTAATTCCTTCAAATTACTTGTCGTTAAACTTAAAAATAAACATTTATTTTGAATTCATTTATTTTAAAAAGTAGTGCAAAATGCAAAGTGTAATTTTAACACAAAAACTAACTTCAAAGAGTGGACAGACAGAAAAAAAATGAAAGAATGAAATTCGAAGATTATTATAGTTATAATGTAATTCAATTCTCTTTGAAATATAAAGAAAACTACAGATATAATAAAGTCGAAAAATTTACATTTCTTTGCGAATTAGTTTAATTTAATTTAATTTATTTTAAAATGTAAAAATTTCATTTCATTTATTTCACCTTTAATTAATTCTGAAATGTTCGCATTGTGAGAAAGTATAGATATTTCTACTCGTGGCCTTTGCCGCTAGGTGGCGAAGCATCGGCTCTCTCAATAGTGAGATGAGATTCGAGGGGTATATATTTTTAGCATTCGAATGCAGTAATCATGTTTTGAAACAAAATAACTCTAACGTAATCTTTTTCCAGAAAGGGTTGATCAACTTCAACCCAACATAAATATTCAAAAATAATTCTCTTCTCGTCAAAATTTCAATTATTTTTAGAAATAATAAAATTCTTCTACGAAATTCAGTTATTATCAAAAATTTATTGAAATTCTTCGCAAAATTTCAAAAATTTTAATAAAGTACGTCGAAAAAATTTAGAGGAATTCAATTATTATTGTCATCATGAATAATAAAATTCCTCGCGGGAATTCAATTATTTTCGTAAATAATAAAATACTTCAGTGACCAAAATCAATTATTTAAAAGAAATTTTTATAAAATTATTTGCGGGAATTCAATTATTTACAAAAACTTTACTAAAATTCTATAAAGGAAATAAAAAAATTCAATACAATTTTAATAAAATTCGTCTAAAAAATTTGTAGGAATTTAATTTATTATTGTCATGAATAATGAAATTCTTCGCGGGTATTCAATTATTTTCATAAATAATAAAATACTTTAGATAAATTCAATTATTTTTAACATAATTTTAATAAAATTCTTCAAAAAAAAATTATTTTAAGAAATTTTGATTTATGTAGTTCGTTATAAGAATTAAATTTTAAGAAATATTCAATTATTCAATAATAGTTTATTTTTGTATTTAAAGAATTGAATTCCCGTAGAATTTTCTAATAAAAATTAATTTAGAAATGAATTTCAGTTAAAATTTTTGATTATAATTGAATATTAAAAGCATTATAGCCTGAATTTTTAGAAATAATTAAATTTTCAAAAGGTTTCAAATTAAAATTTTTGAAAATTAAAATTCTTCATACTTTTAACTAACAATTTAGTAGAATTAATTTTTTGAAATAGTTTAATTAGATTTTTTAAAAAATTATTTTAAGTTATTATTTTCCAACATTTAATTGACGAATTTCTGAATAATCGAAATTTCGTAAAATTGAATTGTAAACATATGGATTTGAAAATTTTCACCGAACTTTTTAAAAAATTATTGAAAATAAATGATTTAGAGAAGAATTTTAGTTAAAAATTCTAGAAAATTATAATTGAATTGAAATGATGAAAATAATTTTGAAAAAGTTACAGCAACAATATTCTTATAATGTAAATTATAATTTTAATATTGTTCGAAGTTCATGAATTTCAAAAAGGTTTGAATTTAAAATTTTTGAAAATCTTAAATTCTATGGAAAAATAGAAAATATTCTTTAAATCAATTACTTTAATTAATTAAAATTTTGCAAAAAAATTAATTCTTCAGAATTGTTAGTTAAAAATACGAAAAATAATAATTGAATTCTACGAGAATTCAATTATTTAAATACAAAAATAAATAATTCATTCAATAATTGAATGTTTCTTAAAATCTAATTTTTACCAAGAATTGTATTAACAACTTTTAAAAATATTTCATTTCTTTTAAGGAATTGAATTACAATTTTTGAAAATAATTGAAAAAGTTTTGAAGAATTTTATTAAATTTATTAAAAATAATTGAATTCCTGAGAAAGAAGAATTTAAATAATATTTTTTGAAAGCAATTGAATTCATGACAAGAATTTTATTAAATTTTGTTTAAATAATTAAAATTTCGTAAAGAATTTTATTAAAATTTTTGACAATACATAATTTAATTCTTGACGAGAATTTTGAAAAAATTTTGAAAATAATTTAATTTCTGCAAAGTACTTTAATACTTTTTAAAAGAATTGAATTTCTTGTGATGAATTTTGATATTTATCAAAATAATTGAATTTTGAAAAAGAATTTTATTAAAATTCCTTAGAATAATTGATTTTATTGGAAGAATTTATGCAATTTTGTTGTTTATCAAGCTAATTGAATTTTTTTTCAAAAGTACTTAACAATTTTTTTAAATAATTGATCTTCTGCAACGAATTAAATATTATTTATGAAAATATTTGAATTATTGCAACGAATTTTCTTGTTTTATTAAATAATTGAATGTTTCTTAAAATTGAATTCTTTCAAGTTTTATCAAAATTTTTAATAAGTAATAATTGCATTTTTCAAGGAATTTATTTAAAATTCTATTAAAAATATTTGAAATTCAAATTCTGCGATGAAAATAATGAATTCCTAAATGAAATTTTATTTTTTATGCAAATAATTAAATGTTTTCGAAGAATTGTATCAAAAAATTTGTTTAATAATTATATTTTTTGATAAATTTTATGAAAATTGTAAATATTGAAAATTATTGAATTGTGAAAAATTTTGAAAATAATTGAAATTTTGCAAAGAATTTTATTTGAATTTTTGAAACTAATTGAATTTTTGTCGAAAAATTTTTCTATTTATAAAGATAATTGAATTTCTTTCAATAAGTTTTTGTTTACAATAAAAAAAATTTGAATGTTAAGGTTAAATAATTTTTGTAAATTTAAAGTCTCACCTGTTGACGATAGGACACATTTCTATTTTGTAAGAGCATAGGAATAGCAGCACTCAAACCGAGTGGTATACCTTGTAACAGGTATAAAAAGAATAGAATAATAATATTTCTCTCATCTCCTCGTATGTCACCATGTTCGTGATGTTCGCCAATTTCACCGGAACCATCCTCCACCTTGTTCTCATTTTGCATTCTTTTTTTCATTTTATATTTTTTAATAAAAAAAATGCTAACTGTAATTAAAATCAAAAAAAAAATCTTAACTAAGTCGTAAAAATCAACACTAAACAATTTTTTTTATTAACAACATACAGAAACATCACTTTTGTATATTCGTAAAAATTAGGGGTTAGATTGTAACATGTAAATTACACACCTGAATAAAGTTATAAAAATCAAATGACGATGTTTATTACACTGCACTGATAGAAATATTAACATTATTCATCTAATTATTATAACAGCAAGCCAAATGCATGCATTGTTTAATCTAAAACTGTATATTTCACAAATTCATAACCATATTTCACGACTATTTTAACCTCTTTAAAAACCATTTTTTTTAAAATTGTACTTTAAACAGAAAAATTGCACAAAAATCCTATGTGAATGTATTTCATTATGCGAATAAAGACAGTGGGACAGTTAAAAATTTAAACTGAAAATAATTTTTTAAAACAGGTAACTCTTATATTTTATATTCCAATACCACGTTGACAAACAAACAGTCATGTCACGCCATAGTAAGGTTCGTTCACTTGCGCTCACCAAACGAGATTTACTTCACGTCGCGCATAATCAGCTGATTTCTTATAAATGTACACTTCTTGACATTATTTTCACACAGTATTAAATATACCGGCAGTTTATTTCGTAAAAATAAATCAATTTTCACCTGTTCGTATTATCAAACTTCTTTGACAATTATTTCTGTATACAATTAATTATTTTTCTTTCTAATGTTTCTTTGAAATTTAAAAAAAATTATTAATTGAATTGTGAAAATTTTCGGTGTATTGCTGTACTTTTCTTATCTCACTTCTGTGACTGTACAATTTCTGAAACTGTTTGATTGGTCAGTTTCACATAGATTTGTGTGGTCGAACCTGATTTGTTACATTAATGGTTTTACGGTATCACACGTGCCACGTTGTTTTACTTTAGATTGGGACACGTCATCCCAAACAATTTTCCTCTAATTTTTTCAAAAATTGACACTTGAGGAAAGTATTATTTAATCAAAATATAAAACAATGTTTTTTTTATGAGATAGCGGCAGCTAACCTCTATTAATTCTTGTAATTGAATAAAAATAATTACCCAAAGAGAGAAATCGTCAAGCAACTGTCAATTTTTACTATTATGGGTCATTCTCCGTGAAATTTTCACTAAAAAATGTTTTTTGATTAAAACAATTTTTTTTAAGTTCTTTATGAAAAATAAACAAATACCGATTTTTTTATTTGATAAAATTTACGGAAGTTATGATTTTTTTAAAATTTATAACGTCTTCAGAAGCAGATGAGGACTTTTGAAACACTTTTTTCTGTTATACCAAAATATTTTGAAATAGATTTGAAATAAGTATTCAAGAAGAAACAAATAATTTTCATATATTATATTATTTTGTATCTTTTGATATGGCAGAGAAAAAAGTGTTTCAAAAGTCTTGTGCTTCTGAAGACATTAAATTTAAAAAAATCATTCCTTAATTTTTATCAAATAAAAAAAATAAAAAACAGGTATTTATATACGTATTTTTATATAGAATTTTAAAAAGAAATTGAAGCAAACTTTCTGAAAACTTTAAAAATTTTCAAATAAACATTTTTGTATTCAAAATGTATGTCTTTTGTGAAATGTTGCCTTCCCTCTTAGGGAAGGTGACAAAATGTAGTGCGTAGCTCTATATGTCACAGAAAACTACTGCCACAACTATTTGCCACAAATTTTCTGTAAACTTGCATGCAAATTTTCAATTCAAACTTTCTGCAAAATGCTGTGCTATCTGGGTAATTCCTTTACAAATTAAAATAAATCAAGAAATCTAAAAGTACTCACACAAAAAAGAATAAGTATTATAGCGTTTGCTAAAATATCTAGAACTGATTTTAATTGAAAATCATTCCTAAACTTTTTGGGATTGAAATCTAAAATTTAATATTCCTCCCTACGATAATAGAAATTACTCATATGATTTTATATTCAGTTCGAAATCTGAATTAAGAAAATAGATGGAAGTATTGAAGCACGCTTTATACATAATTAATGTTGCTGACCCTAATTTTTCATTAGCGACATAATAAGGAAAACGGTAGTTTCTTAAACCAAATCCGTGACAAGCAACTCCATAATTACCGACTTGGTCCATAGTAATAAGAGCAATTGAATGTTTTGGATAGAATTTCGTCATTCTATCGAGGGCAGTCTGAGCTGCTTCTTGAGGCGTTGCTCCTCGTTTCATTTCTTCAACAGCAACAAAACTGCACAAAGATATAAGAAAATTTATGAATTGATATGGTGCAAAACTAACTTAAAAACTTTGAAATTAGAAAATAAAATGATGTTTTCTACAATTTTGAAAAAATTGGAAAAAATTGTTCTTGCCTGGGTAAAAATCGTAGTGAAATATCACCAACGCCAGTACAAGCGGCGTCACCAACATTCGTATCTGCATAACTACCAGCACCAGCAACCGGAGAATCTCCAAGACGGCCAGGAATTTTATAATCTAAACCATTAGTTGATACTCCGGCAGCTATATGTCCATGAACATCCATCGCAAGTACACCCATTGTATCATGGTTCGTTTCACTATCCAGAGGTTTATCTCTAGTCTCTTGTTTCATATCTTTTTTATCATCCAGTTTATAAGGACCACAAGATGTTGATGGATACGGCAAAACATTCTATAAACACAAAAAATCATTTTATTAACATTTTTTTCTCATAGAAATCTAATAATGGAGAAGAAAAAAGAATAATCATAATAACCCTCCAAAAATTAGGCTGACAATTAGTTTCCTTCCATGTCTTCCATTGTTGTGTTGAATTTTTTGTTGACAATTCTTGAGTTTCAAAGCCCATTTGAAGAGCAAATTGAGTGACACTTTCACCAACGAGTAGAGTATGATCTGTATTTTCCATAACTTTACGTGCAACTGATATTGGATTCTTTATATCTTTAAGGGCATCCGGGAAATAATACTGGTTTCGTGATAGACGTCTCATTTAAAAAGAAAAGAATATTTTGAGTCGGGAATTTTTGGTAAATATAGAGAAATGCTCTGGGACCAGCGGTCCTCTCGGATTTTGAAAAAATTTTAATAAATAATTATTGAAAAAAATTGTTTAAATATACGGAAAAAAGGGGTTTTTCACGGTTCAGTATAGACGTCTCATTTTGAGAGGATAAAATATTTCGGGTTCATATTTGGAGGGGTGATAGAGGAAGACTCTCCGAGGAGCGGCCCTCTCCGTTTTTGCAATAATTTTGCGAGGAAATTATTTTATTAACGATTGAAAGTGGAGTAATTTGAGGTTACTACATTTCCCTCAGTTCAACTCGCGACCACTTCCGAGAATTGGCGCCACCTCCTTGACCACTGACACATAGATCCACTTGTCTGTGTGCTCGCCGCCATATTGTCTCTCACTTTCGCCCAAAATCCAACTTTTGTAATTTCGTTTTTCAATATTTATTTCAAAAATTACTTGCAAATTTCGAGAATATTCTTTATCATCACGAATTCCCCTAATTATCATGATAAATCCGAACTAAATATCTCTAATTATTTAGGAGTGAGACGACACGCGGGAAAACACTTTTTGGGCTCGATTTTTCCCGGATGCCCTTAACGGCACCAACAGCTCCAACGTTCATAGTTACCCTAAACAATATTTATTGTATTAATTCAAATTTCATTTTTTAAAGTTAACAAAATTTATTCATTAAACAAAATCTTGCAGCAAGATTGCTAAAAGCTTATATATGGAATTTCCTACTCACAGAAAGCTTACTGCAGTATACCAAAAAGAAAGAATAAAGTTAAGATTCAATTTTATTATTACCCATCCATAATAAGTGCATCTAGTGTAGTTTTTCCATTTTCATTAGGAGAACCTCCTATACCTCCCTAGTAGAAAAATTTGGTGGCGCTAGTAAGGTGCCACTCTCGCACGCCATTGCGCTGTAGTGGCGCTGACAGCATTTGAAACACTTTTGTGCTCTAGCACCTTCCTCGCATTCTGCTCGCAGTGCTAGAATGCGAACATAACAGAATGTACATAACCTCACCTGCCAAAAATTTATTTCGCGAATTAAACAATTATTCTTATATGTCATTTCATTTGATGACTTTAAATAAAAGTATATATAAAAAATATTTACTAATTATCTGTTTACAATGGAAATTATACATATTTAAAGAATTAATTACACTTTTCGTTTTAATAAATGTAATCACACTTCTTAACCTTGTGGAATTATATATACATATATTAGTTTATGAAAATTATCTCCAAAAGTTTAAATTATTATTACAAAATCACTTATAATTTAATTGCAAAAGTTATGTTCTTATTTAAAACCAATAAAACTGTTCTGACAGGTCAATTAAAAATAAAGAAAACATAAATCCAGACGTTCGAGGTTATGTTTTCTAATTTGAATTTAGAGAAATTAATATGTTTAATTCATCAAAAGTATTTATTGTTATTCTTGGTGATAAATTGTTAGATTAATTACTTAAAATATTTTTTAAAATTTCCTTAACAAAAAAACAAACACCGTTGATACCTTATGCGCCTTATGCAACAGCGATATTTGTGGTTATGTTGCATTCTAGCAGAAAGTGCTCGCGCCATGCAAGGCGCTAGAAGACGTCGGCGAGATAAACTGCCATACAAATTCCAGTGGTGGCGCTAGCATATATCTAGGCTTCCATTAAATTTTTCTACCTGGGCTACTCTCCAACTACATTCGGTACCATTATTCTCACATAAATTACAGCTTTCTTCAATGGCATCTAAAGCACTTCTTTTTTCAACAAATAATGTCTCCCATGCTAAAAAATTATTACAATAAGTCAAATAGTACCCATGTGGAAGAGTTACGGAAAATTTCCGGAAGAAACTTCCGAAGTCGATTTTTCTTCCGGAAATTGATTTTTTGGACGTTTTTTTTTCTGAAAGTCGACTTTTCTTCCGGAAATTTTCCGAAAATTGATTTTTTTTTGACGTTAATTTTTTCCTGGAAGTCGATTTTTCTTCCAAAATTTTTTCGGAAATCACTTTCAGAAACTTTCCAGAAATTAATTTATTTTTGACGTTTTTTTTCTGGAAGTCGATTTTTCTTCCGGAAATTTTCCGAAAATTAATTTTTTTTTGACGTTAATTTTTTCCTGGAAGTCGAATTTTCTTCCGGGAATTGATTTTTTTTTGACGTTAATTTTTTTTGTGGAAGTCCATTTTTCTACCGGAAATTTTCCAAATAATTTCCAAAGTGATTTCCGCGAGATTTCCGGAAAATTTCCTGAAGAAAAATCGACTTCGAGAAGCGAAAAAAAAATTGACTAATTAAATAAAAAAAAAATAATTATTAAAAAATTAACGTTAAAAAAAATCAATTTCTGGAAATTTTCCGGATAAAAACTATTTTCGGAAAGTTTCCGGAAATTTTCCGCAACTCTTCCACATGGGATATTAATAATAAAAAATTAAACAAATATTTTGTATG